ACTGAAAAATGCTCATTCTATATGCAGAAGATTGATTTCTTAGATTATATTATTGAGATAAATGACATTTCAATGAACAGAAGCTGAGTCTTCATCATTGAGAACTGATCAGTGCTGCAGATGTATTATAAAATACAGATGTTTCTAAAATTTATGAATTTCTACAGATAATTCATCTATGTATATTTATAGATTACTGCCTCTCTTATAGATCTGTTAAAGAGAAGTATGAAGAATAGAAAAATAAGATTATTTACTCTCACTCAAGACACTGTACAGGTATTTGCAGAATTGAAACAAGCTTTTATAGATGTTATAATACTAAATCACTTTAATCTCAATTTACTCAGTCAGTGTGAGACTGATGTATCTGAGAATGAGATCTGTGAAATCTTTTCACAGTTGACACTGAAGGTCTTTCAATATTGAAAGAATCAGAGAATAATCACTTCTGAGAAAACAGATAATGAATTATCTATAAAAGAAGACTTTTTCATAGAGTCTATAAGATACTATGAATAAAGATCAGTGATCTTCTTCTTCAAGAAGTTATCACTTATACAGAGAAGATATGATATTCATAATCAGAAGATATTAGCAGTTATTGAATTCTTTAGATTTAATAATATTATCTTCAGAGTAGTAGATACTCAGTACAAGTTCTTACTAATTATATAAATCTGCATTACTTCTTGACAACAAAGAGCTTAATAGAATGTTAAGTCAGATGAGTGAAGCTGCTTTCAGAGTATAATTTCTATATTTAATACTGTTCAGATTAACTTAATTCTGTCAACACACTGTTTAAATAATCTGATTATAATATTATTGATGTGAAGAAGAATTCTATAAAAGAATCTCTGCTATCACTGCAGAAGAAGCTGGCTGCAGAGAGTTAAAATTCTCTAAAGCTTAGAAACAGTGTCAGAAAGACAGCTGTATGACTCAGTATAGAAGATGAAAGAAAATTCAGATTCTCATAGAGAATTAACACTGAAGATTATAAGCTTCTTATATTATATCTTACAATCATTGAATTGATAAAGAATAAAACAGTCTACAATCTTTCAATCTGACTATTTTTAAAATTTATTAATAAATTATAGAAGAGAAATGTCTCTACTGCAGCTTAAATTCAGAAGTTGAAGAAGAAAGAATTTGATTTAAACTTGAAAGAGACAGACTCTGAGTAGAGCAGTACTGTTAAGAAACTAAATCACTGATAACTAGAAGAATATGAACTTCTACTGCTGAATAATTCAGTCTTCATCTCTTATAGTAGAGCAGTGTATTAGAAGTTATTGAAAATTTATTATAATAATTCTCATACAGAACACTTCAGATTAGAGAAGACTGAGAAGCTTCTAAAATATAAATATATTTAGAATAAGCTTCAGACAGATATTAAAGAGTATATTAAAACTTATAATATCTATTAAAGAATAAAGATTCTGCAGTATAAGTAATACAGTGAGTTAATATCACTATCTATTTTAAAGAGTCTATAATAGAATCTATTAATGAATTTCATAGTTGATCTGCTGAAGTCAATAAAAGTCAAAGAATATAACTTAATTTTAATCATTGTTGATTACTTTATAAAGATAATTAAATATATTTCTACTTATAAAAAGATTTAAAGCCTCTGAATTGACTGATCTATTTTTAGATATTATTATTTATAATCACAGTGCTCTGAAATCATTAATAATAGATTAAGAATTCCTCTTCATCAGTAAATACTGATTGACTTTTTACTATTATTTTATAATAAAGTATCTTCTTAGTACTGTATTTCATTCACAGACAGATAATCAGACTGAATACTAGAATCAGATACTAGAATAGTATCTTCAAGTATTCTATTCATATTATTAAAATGATTGACTTAAACATCTTCTAACTGTTAAATTCATATATAATAATATAAAGAATATAATCTTAAAGATATCTTCTTTCTATACTTATTATAAATACAATTCTTCATTACTCAGTGATATTATAAATAACATTTCAAAGAGAGAAATAGACAGTTAGAATATTAAATAGATACAGAGAACAGAGTATCTCTCAGTATTAGAAGTAAAAGTAAGATTGAAACTTTTAAATAAAATTTATAAGAAGACAGTAAAAAGTATTCACTGTGCTCAGAAGTAGTAGATAAAATACTATAATTAAAAACATCTTTCAATGAAGTTCTTAATAGAGAATTAAGTACTATTTTTAACAAAGAATATCAAGATAATAAGACTGTATAAGAAGCTCAGTAAGTGATAACTAGAATCTTTCTCAGTAATAAGAGTAATAAGTAAGTAGATATATAAGTTGAAATTACTCATAGAATTAAAATTAATTCATTCTGTTTTTCATATTTTCTATTTAGAGCTCTATAAGCAATGTCTCAGAGCAGAGCTGTCTCAGCTGAATAATATTAAGATAGAGAGTGATACTGAATATCTTATAAAGAAAATATTGAATAAGTGAATATATTACAGTAAGCTTCAATATCTTATAAAATAAGAAGAATATTCATTATCTGAGAATTTATAAAAACTGTTTAAATATTTGAAAAATACTGAGAAAGAGATTGTAAGCTATGAGACAGCTAGTAGAGATTGCTCTATTACATATTAGAGACATTGAGTAAGAAATACTGTTTAAGACTTCTTATTTTTTTAAAGAGTTTTTTAAAGATAATCTTACAGTAATAAGCTGATATCTTATAAGCTCTGTAACACTCTTCTTCTATTTTCTTCTAAAGAGTTTTTTAGAAGTTTAATAAGACTATATAAGTGTAATATTTCTGAAGCAGTTAAAGAAAAGAAATATTTAAAATTAATAAAAAGATTAATATTATTAATCTGTGAGTTACTACTAATCTAATAAGACTACAGCTCACTGAAAAAGTGAAAAGAGAAAATCTCAGAGTCTACTTATTAATAATCACACTCTTATTAAACTTATTCTTTATCATTGAAGTCTTCAGTATTAGTATCTTTATCTGCTGAGAAGTTAATACTATAATGTCATAGAGAAGTATACTGTAAAAGAGTATAAGAGATACTGAAAGTATTAACTTATTAACTTATAAAGTATCTCAGTTATCTATTTTAACTGAAGTAAGATTCTCTTCAATCAGTAATTAATCTCTATAATACTTTTAATAATAGTATCAGCTGATCTCTTCTTAAGATCAGTCATTCTGAGATATTTTTTTATCTCAGAGACTCACACTTTCATCTTCTTTTATAAATTAGTAAGAAGAATCTTCTCAGTCTTAATAGAATTTATTAATACTTAAAGCTCTGAGACTCTCACTCTGTACTACTTAAGTATCTGAGCTTCTTATCAGAGCTGACACAATATCTTCTTATAAAGTAGATAATACTTATAGAGAGATAGAAGTCATTATTACAGATATAATAGAAATAATAAAAGTAAGAAAAGAAGTAGATATATAAGATTCTTCTCTTCTTCAGCTACTTAGCATAGTATAGATAAATAATAATATTAGTCAGAGACTGCACTGAAGCCTTCTTATAGAGAGAAGATAAAGAAACTGCAGAACTCTGCAGACTTAACTTAGCAGTATTCTAAATAGAGCTTAGATATATTATAAGAGAGAAACTATAAATTGAGCTTCTCAGAGTTACTATTCTTAAAATCAAGCTCTTTTCAGAGTTCTCTCTGAATGATCACACAGAGTTATATATTATTATATTGATTAAGAGAGAGAGCAGTGTTACAACAGTAATAAGAGAGACAGAGAAAGAACTGAATATAGATAAATTAATTAGCAGAAGAAATAATATCTCACTGCAGAGTATAGTAACTATTACTATAACTATAAGAGAAGTAGAAGAAGATGTGATAATGAGAGCAGTGCTTCTGCAGCTTATTAACACTGTTATCTTTATCTCTAACTAAGCTTTCTTAACAGTTACAGAGATCACAGCTGTATTATAAAGATATTTATTTACTAGAAAATATCAGAATAAGTTCTTTATTATTCTTCAAGAATGATACTCTTATACACTTACTATTATAATTGAAGAGAGAGAAAGAAAAATATTTTATAAAGAGAAGAATCTTTTTAAAAAATCCTGTTACTACTGTTAGCTTTGTCTCTAAAATACATCACTTTTATAGAGAATTTTATATATAGAACAGAATATGATAAGAGATCTGTAAGTCACTTATTAACTATATTTTTCTCATCTTAAATTAATATATAAGAAACTTACTTATTATATATTTAATTTGAATGAAGATGAGTAAAGAAAGATCTATACAGTTAGTAGAAAAACTTATCTATTTCTTTATATTATATATAGTATATACACTGTCAATTAGTTAGCAACTGTTGTTATACAACAAAGATAATTTCTAATTCAGTAATCTTAAGAGTATAGAGACTATACTCTTAAAGAGAAGAGTATTATCATACTCTTAGCTATGTCAGATCTTATTACAGTTTCATATAACTCATTGCTTTTATATGAATGATTTCATTCATCTCACAGACTGTCTGAACTGATTTTCAATCACTCTATAACATTATTCAGATATATTATAGAAAGATTCAATTGATGAGTATAAGAACCCTGCTTCTATATAAGATCAGCAGATTATTTTTTCTTGACAGTGAGACACTGCTGAGATATCACTCTGACTATTCTTGCTTATGAAATGAGAGAAGGTATTCACTCATTATCTATATAGAATAGCTAGATACTGGCTCTTCATGAAAGAAGTCAGTGATTCATTTTTCTTCTACTGAAATAGATACAAGAGTTACTGCATGCCTCATACAATCTTCTTAGTATACTAAGTATCATATCTGTGATATCCTTGCAATAACCCTGTAGCCTATGAGCTCGCTATTCAAGCAAGATAGTCAAGCCCACCCATACGGCTTCCCAAACAACTACCCCTACGTGTCGCCGCCGACTAGCCACCGCTTCGGTTCCGTCACGTTACACCAGTCCGCGAAGAAGAAGGATATCTCGACATTGATTACGGGTCAATCATTTTGGAGGAGTAGCAGGAGGTTCAGGAGGTTCTGATGGTGGAGGTGCAATAGTAAATAAGTCCATATTGAATCAGAGAATGATAATAATGAGTATAGGAATCGCGTATGTGTGGAATAAGAATAATGAATGAGAAGCTTGCTTCTTATATTATATGAGGATATTTAGAGACGCGGCACCCCAGAATGAACGTTAGAATGCCACTAAAATATTAGGGCGGCACTAACGAAAACACCGGGGCATACCTGCGTAATTAACTGTATGGCTAGCCAAGGACCTTCTGATGCGGCAAAAGGACCAATTTCTCTTCCTCGAAGCCAACCCAGCATACCGCCAATAGTGAAGTTTTATGTGGCCAGAGTGATTCCGCAAGCCGATATCTCATATCGTACTTTGAATGCGTTTATGAATAAAAAGCAATTGGCTGTGGCTTTGGACATCTAAGCATTGTTCTATTCCCGTCCCTTAGGAGTTCCCAGTCAAGGTAGGGAGGTCGATATTTGCTCAGTTTCCTCTTGGGCTGTGTTATATTCCTTTCCTTGCAGGGGACTAAGGGTTGTCCAGAAAATGTAATTGCCCTCAGCCCACCTACATGATATTGTTAACCCGAGCCCTTGCGTACGACAAGCCCAAATATGCCTTCAACCCGAATATTGAGGCTGCACGGAACTCCCTGAAGCACTGCGAAATATTACTGGAGAGCGCATAAGCGAACAATCACTCCAATACGCGTTGGGTATGTTGGGGTGGCGGTGAGGGACAGTTTTAACTCCTCCTCATGCACGCGATCATTCAAAGTCCTGGTCGGCGATGTGAATATCCAAGAGATGGAGATAATTTTCTCTTCCGTTCGGACCGGTACAGCTGGATGAAGGAAGGGGTGGTGAACGCGGAGCGAGATGGTTAAAATCATACATTCGTCAATTTATTTGAAACGGGCTTTTACCTCCGATTCCTCAAGAGGTTCGATACATTGTACAGTCTGCAGGATTTAAGAAATAGTCGCCAGTCAATCAATCAATTCCCCTCCATATTCAGGGTCTCTACCCTCTGCCACGGATATTTATCCCAATAATGAAACGAACACATTTCCTTATCTGGATCAATAGCACATTCAACGACCTGTCATTCCCCTTCCGCGCTGCTCTGTCCCTTCAGTAAAACTGCGCACGAAATAGTGGAATCCAGGGAGCCCACCCCTTGCATATTCATATGATATCCTTACCCAAAACCCCCGCTTCGTCCTCCATTCAGTCTTCTTTCCCTTTCTTGCTGAAAACCCCGGCCCCAACCCAATACTGCCAATGCGTCCAGGCAGGCCACATGCACACAGCCTCGATGTTATTGCCCACGGGATCCAGCACGAAAGAGCCGTAGTATAATTTGTGATACTGTGGGCGGGGCCCTGGTGCGCCGTTACACTTTCCGCCGGCAGCCAAGGCCGCAGCGTGGAAATCGTGGACGAGGGTGCGGTCTGAGCATGCGTGTAAGTCTAGTTACGAGTATGGGATGGGGGACCATATCTCAAAGATAAATATGAAGGCTAGATTGATAAAAAAAAATGGGCTGCATGAATAATAATAGCCTTTGGACAACAAGGGAGCTAGTTATGGTGTATGGTATACAGAAATAAACGAAAAAAAAGGGCATACTCTTAGCATCAAACGCAACGTGAATCGGTTTCCGTTTCAACCCGTTTTCAACCCTCGCGTCAGAGCCATCTTCTTCACCTTCCACTCCAGTAATCCAGAAATCTGGATAATACACCCCGAAACCCACGACGTGTGGCACGGGCCGCATGAGCTCCCTATACCCCAGTGGTGCCAGGGCAGCCTTATAAAAGGCAATGACTTCCTCCAAGCGTGCGGCGGGGACGCAGAAACCGATGTGGGAGAGGCCCATGATCTTGGGTGAAATCCCTTATAATTAATCTTGAAGAATGTATATGTCGAATACCTGGGGGGCTAGATGGCGCTAGAGAGATATATATATATATTTAATCTAAGCGTCTCATTTCTCTCAAGAGGCAGCGAGGAGAGCTTTATATAATAATGAGAGTAGTCCGTCCACCACTCAAGTCAGTCCCCCCCCTGCCCATCGCGTCGACTCTCGGACGTGTTCTGGATTTGGATATTTAGCTCTGAGGCGGCCAGGCAGCAGCAGCTGGCAGCTGGCAGCTAGGCAACGATGTGGGGATTTTCTCGCAGTCACGTGTCCCGCGTGCATGCGGTGGCCAGGCCAGAAGGTTGGAAGAACAGGTTTGCAAAACGCATCCTGTTCCTTGGTGGCGTTTGTTGTATGTGGCCCAGACAGAACTAAGTATGGGATTTGGCGTGTATGGAAAGCTTCCATGTCCACGGGCATTGCGTGGATTTTTCTGTGATAGCTTTTCTTCAATGCTAGTAATTGGGGGTCTGGGAGCAGAAAAAGTATCAAGCAGACTGAATCCAATCTCCAATACATGTGCAAGGAAGGTCCTGAGTGTGAATATTGAGCGACTGCTCGCTTTGGCGGCTTTAGCCATTTCAACAGGATGTTATGTGTAAGCTGTGATGATCACAAATTCCCAGTTATTCAGATTATTATGTATTTTCATTTTCAAAAAGCAAAGTGCTGATAACTAAAGATGAAAGAAATTACATCAACAGCCATAATTCATACGTACAAACATAGCAATCTCAAGTAAGAGTGAGGAAAAGTGAAGCAAGATACAAAGATCCCAGATGCGAATGTAAAAGAATAAGCAGACAGAAGTAGAAGAAACAAAATTCACCAGCCAAACTTCAAAAAGAACTTTGTAAATAAAACAAAAACCGCATATTTTCCCAGTAAATTAAAGTAGACAAGATAACGCCCGAACATCGTAAAACCGCTCCTATCTATCGTATCCATATTAGAACAACACCTCCTTGCCTTCCTCCTATTATGGCAGAATTTCTCCACGTTCCATCCGTTCCAAATCAAAAGTCAAAGCCAAACCAAGCTAATAAACTCAGGCCCCGCAACCCCGAAATCGATATAAAATAAGATATGCCTGGGTACGTTTAAGTAAACAGAGGGAAGAGGATCCATCCATCCATTCCTATCATCGCCCAAAGTACACGATATCTTGAAGGTATACCACATTAAGAAAAACGAAGTGCAAAACAAATAGGTGTGGGTGAAGGTAAATTAAGCGAGATTACTGAGGTTTTTGTGGTCGACAACATACTATATCTTTAGAAGCAGGAGTCCGTAGATACGGAAAAATAAATAGCCCCTTATTAAGGAGTAATATTTTTGGTCATGGCACAGAAGAAATTCGGAACGCCAGGGGTGAGTGAATAAATAGTAACTAGGCCGGGGGCACCGTTTTGAAAATTTCATCGAATTAACAGAGCCCATGCTAGTTTGGTCAAGTTTATCAAGAAGAGTTGGAGCTCCATATATTGGTGTTTTATCTTGCCGAATTTTACCCAGAAAGCCCATGGATGTTCCTTAATCAGCGTACAGTGCAAAATATTGAATTCTGGTGATCCAGACCAGGAGCACGGAGTGAAGGAAGGTGATCGAACCATGTGATGTCGACTCGAGAACATCTAAAATTCAAGTAAGGAAATCAGGATTTTACAGTGTACATGAACTCCTTCACGATTTTCACTGTTTGTACTCTTGGAGGTCCCTGGCCCAGCGAGTTAAACGAGGAATCCGGCGAGAGATGGGATCATGGGGATTGTTTTCTGCAGTGGCCATGTAAAGAGCTTCAAGACGTTGGATGAGAACAGCCATGATTTTCGGAGCGACCTCGTAGATCTCGGGGTCCTAGGCTATTGTTAGTAACAGGGTGGGATAATACTTGAACACTCAAGAGTGTGGTGCTATGCGCAAAAAGGACGCAGGACACAAGACTTACTCTAACTTTGACAGTCCGGAAAACACGCTCAAGCCAGTTGAGGCGATCCATCACGTTTGCTTCAAAAGACGAGGTCACAGCGGCGCTCACGGAAAGGACGACAAGTGGTGAGAGGTTAGAGAGGAAAGAGGGATCAAGTTTGACAAACAGATTGTTGAAAAGGTCTGGTTGTTGAGACGATTGGATCCACTACATAATCGAGAGAACAAGTTTAGTGAGAGGTAAAATACTAGAGGAAAAATGTGGTAGGGAAAACGTACCCTAATTGAAGCTTCTTCATATTTTCCGGCATTCAATAGTTCACTGATTCCCTGCAACTCAACTTCCTCTGGGGATGCTTTAGGTGGAACCACATCTGGAACGGGGCTTGGGGCCGATGCCTTCTCAGACGACTCAGCCTTGACCCCAACCTGACGGTTAATTTCCAAAATCTCTTTCTGAAACTGAGACTGGGCAGCTGCCATTGTCGAAATGGTCTCCGATAGAGACCGTACAAGCGTCGTGAGTTGATCGATTTTGGCACTATCATTTTGTTGTCTTATCTCATACTGCTTCATTTGGCCGACAAACTGTCGCTCAACCTCCTTTGTTGTCATTCTCGCTTGTTGGATGGATTCCTCTCTGAATGATGGGACGATTTTTTCGTGGAGAACCCTGGAGATGTCTCTCTCCACCCGCGTAGAAAGGGATACCGACATCAATTCAGAGATGCGGAGAAGTACATTTTCATTCGACATTGCCCGTTGTACGGCTGAAGGGAGAACCTCCTTGATAGCGGGTGGAACTATCGAATCAAGTTGTCGGCTAAGACCCTCCTTTATTTGCAGGTCCATAGACTTTGTCGTAGATTCAACGAGTGCTGGGACTACCATCGACTGGACATTGGTGGCAATAATACGGGACAGGTTTTTCTCCACATTGTCAGATAGGGTTGACGAGACAAGGCGTAACACTGCATCTTGTTTTGCAGTGGCTGCCTGTTCCTGAGAACGGCGGTCCTGATCAAAGCGGAGGTACAGAGCATCAAGTTCGCGGCTGAGGCATTTTGTGAACTCCATGGAAACCGCTTTCTCAATCTTTTTTACTTCCTTGTTCAAGAAATCAGAAGAGACGCCTAGGTTAATCGATTCCGCTGGCCCAGTATCAGCAGAAGCCTGGGAGGTGGAAGGACCCTGAGTTTCGACTACCGCCACAGGCGGAATTTCAGGCTGACTTTGATATACATCCTTATTCGAAATTTCCCTTGGCTTCCCGTTATCAGCTTTCTTCTTTTTCCGTTTCTCATTCTTGTCTGTGACAGTGGTCGCTTGGTCATGCTGATCAGAAGTAGAGACAGAGTCGCCTGCCTTCTTCTTCGGTGACTGCTTTGAAGGGGACTGGTTGCGGGAAGATTCAACTCCAACAACCGATTCTTGTCCACGCCCAACTGTCCTTTTAACCGGTTCCTTCCCCTTCGGAGCACCCTTTAGGGCTGCATCCCCATTGACTGACTGTTCATCGACTGGGGCAGGGAAGCACTGCAGGGGATTAACATCAATGAATCCCTTTTGCAGAGAATCCACAGGATCAAGGATCTTGTTGTCGCTGCTCCACCCAAGGTCTGACTTTTTAATATTAAGACAGGTAACCCCAAGAGAATGCATGACATACAGCTCGAATAACCCTGCTTCCTCATCCATACCGCGTTGTGAAACAGACGGTCGGGTAAGAGGTAAGAGCTCAAGGCTCCTGAGTTGGCCCTTGCTTCCAAAGGACAGCTCGCGGATTCCACTCATACAAGCTGTTGACTCCGGTTTTGGCAATCTTTCATCCTTCTCGGCTACCCGCTGAATATACATGCCCTGCGACATCGGTGGCAGGGAGTATCTCGGAGCGGACAAGTGGACGAAATAAATAGAATTGCGCGTAGGGTGGCCAACGACGATAATTCCAGAACCGGGATGATATGCAACACTGCATATAGCGTCGGATTCATTGTCGTGAGGAAATTTCAATTCCTGTACCGCTTTGCCCAGCCCAATATCCCAGAGCTGGAGCGTGTGATTCTGTTTTAAGCCAACAAGAACATAGCGAAGTGCCGATGCTTTCACATACGGCCGTAATTTGTCGATGAATAAAACAGAGGTAGGCCACGACTTCTCCGTAGGTGATCCGGTGACAAGTGTCAAAAGAGGGACGCGAATATCAGTTGACACTTTCGAAGTATTAGAGTTCGGGAAATCGCCAACTTCACGAATGTCCCAGAACCGCATCCTGCCAGTTTTGTCAAGCGAGACGATAACAGTGTCGTCATCGCTGAAAATAAAGTCCTTCCCAGCCTTGCCAGTGGCGATCCTCAACGACTTTTCTTTGAAAAACTTTTCAGTGTCCACTTCACGCTGTGTTTCTGTAACCCCATACTTTGGGGACATGGCACAATGGGGCCACACGATATGGATAAACTTGCCGCGGCCAATGGCGAAAAACTCGGGATGGCGGGAGCTCCGCCTAGCCCGTGTTTTTAACTGACCGCCAGAGGTATTTTCATCAGAGGCGGGAAACGGTGGGAAGATCAAGCTGTCGCGTTCTAGCGCATCATTTTCGAAGAGGTCATTATCTGCCTTGAAAATAGTCGCCCAGTAGACTGCGCCGCTAACACCGATCCCAAGAACAGCTTGCCCTTTGGTCCGCGAAGAACTTGGTGCTGTGGTCGATAGAGAGACATTGAAAATCCGATCATTGGTAGAACGAAACACTTGTCTATCTTGACCGTCGTCCTGTCTGACTATCCTCATACCACCGTTCTTCGCCAAAGCGTAAACGATGTAATCGGAAGTAGCTGAAGTGAGCGAACGGTCCAATTGGTCGAAATCCTTCTTGAGACGGGCAATATCCATTATCCCATCACTCCGTAGTGAGAAGGCGTTCATAGTATTACCTTTCCAAGTGATCGACACGAATGGCTTCAACGGAAAATTATACACGGAAATAACACGTTCAGTCTCAGATTCCCACGAGTCCACAACAGCACCATTGGTATCATTGGTAGACCCTTTTGACTCTGAGACAGCCGGAGGTGAGCTCTTGGGGGTAACCTCAGCGCTCATATCCTTTTCCAGTTCCTTCTCAACATCAAGGGCAGTCTGTTCAAGTTTCTCCGCGAGCGCGTTCAAAACGGCTTTCGAATCCGCCTCTTCTTCTTCTACTTTAACGGTTACTTCTTCAACGGCAGCCCTTGCTAAGGCATCCTCGACCTCTTTATCAACCTGCCCAGCAGTTTCCCCGAGAACCTCAGGAACGGTTTCCTTTTTGATCTTCATTTTTTTCTGATCGGGGCCCCGGAATTCCTCAGATGCACCTGAGCTAGGAGGAATTGCCACATGGTCGCCCGTTTCCAAACTCGACGACGACGGAAGTGTGTCCCTAGATGGCTCTGACCGTTTTCGCTGGCCATTGGTCTGAATGAGGCCTGATACCCCGCTTTTCTTGGTACTGGCGGCCTCAGGTGCAGAACTTGCGTCAGGGAATCCTCGTGACTGGTTTCCTTGGGGGGTACGGTTGCGGGGAGAAGCCGCGGCAAGTTGTTCGAAAGGATTGACATAGGTAAATATCGAATCCTTCGGTTGTGGATGAATCGGGGGCTCAAAAGGAGTGGTTTCACGACTCTCCCCTGACCCGAATAATCTCATTGGGGACGCTCTACGTTCCGCAGGAGGCTTAGCCCCAGCATCAGTAGAACGCTCTCGCGGAGTAGCAACCTCAGGTGATTTCGCACCAGGCACAGCAATTACTGACTCCTCCGATTGAGATGTATGGGGTTTAGGACGATTTAACAGTTTCAATAGCATATTTTGGGCATTGTCAGCGGGAGAAGAAGTGGTAGTTGGGCGTTCGGACGATTGGGCAGCAACAGGGCTACCAGACATCAACCCAGTAGCAGCAGATGTAGACGCAGTTGGTTTCCCCATGAACGAAGCCACGATATCAGAGGCAGATATTCCCCTTCCGTGACCACTTTGGACGGTACCAATAGGCGCATCAACTTGTGGCTCCTTCGGCGCGCCCGCGCCAGCTTGCTTTGGAGCAGCTACATTCTGCGGAGCTGGACTGAACTTGAGCAAGTTTAGCAAATTAGAAGTGCGATCCGTGTTCAAAGTCTGCTGCTGTGGGCTCTGATTGTTGTTACGTGGCGTTGGAACATTGGGACTGATAACATCCGAGCTGTGATGTGGAGGTGTGCCCGCATACTGAGGGCTGTAGAGTGGCGACGACAGAGTAGCTTGGAACAAACCGGTTGGAGGTGAAAATGGGAATTCGCCTGGCGGCGAGCCATTTTGACGTCGACTCTGAGCTTCAGGGCTCAGGGGGTTGGATGCATTGTTTGATGAAGGCCTTGGCTTGATGTTGGCAAACAGAGCCTGGAGGTCAGCCGGAGTGGACATTTCTGCCACGATCACCTCGAAAGGTGAGCTCCAGCACGCGTTAAAGCAGAACTAAAGAGGGCAGGAGAAGAGCACGGCGTACGCTACAGCTCCAGGTAACGAAGAAAAGGGAGGAAAGGGGAAGAAAACGGGGAGAAAGGAGGGTATTAGAAAGGAGGCACGCGGCGGAAGAGGAAGAAGAGACAACAAAGTGACGACGAAGGTTGAGGTTTGGTGGAAATTGAGTGCAGGCTTGGCAGCGAAGCGGGTGCTGACTCATCGGTCGCTGGGTCTGTTTGCTCGGTTTGCCTTTCTGAGGGGCACGGTTTGCCTGATGCTTGAAGCCGGTGACGTGCATACGAGAGATCGGAGGTTTCCAATGGCTTCGAATAAATAAAAAAAATACTGTTTCTCCGAAGAGAATCCTCTCTACCTGAGTAGCTAAACAAACTTCGGACTTGGTAGGGGAGAATTTGGATGACATCACCGGCTAGATGATGTCACATGACCGTCACATGACTAACCAGCGCGGATTATTAATGGGAAAGTAAGTCCCCGGCGCTGGCAACGAGAGAAAGAAACAAAAACGAGAGAACTAGGGAACATTACTTACTATGTTGTAACTACACTCGGGTATGATGGTCGCCTCTTTTACTCAGGTCCTACTCTCTATGTCACATCTGATATACTTTCCTACTAAGATCGCCGTTCCGCCTCCTGTTTGGTAGTGTTCATTGGTGCTTCCGGCCCTACCAATCCGCAACACGCCAGAGTCAAACATACCTACCACACTGCCGGCACAATGTTCTGTCTCAGAAGGTAAGGCCTCTGCGGAGTCACACTCTCTTTATTTTTACTTATTTTATCCTGTATGCAGAAATGGTGCTAACTGAAATGGTTTCTCCAGTTGGCTCCCTCTCCTCTTTATCCCCACAAACGCCAGCCCCCTTTTCATCCTCTCCTTCATCACCCTCACCTACCTCCTCCACCGACCATGCATCTACTGCTCCGCTCTCCTCCTGATCCTCTTCCTCTCTTCATGCCACTGGTCAGATCGCTGCTTCTTTGATTTCAAGGGCGACTGGTTTGCCCCTCGCCTCCCCGCTCCAGCCTCTCCTTCCTCACTGGAGAACTCAACAACCACCGGGCTGGCCGAATATGTACTCGAGACAGTGAATACGACAGCCACAGCGTTGGCCGGTGCTGCAGTCGATGAGATAAAGAAGCATTTTGCGTCTAATAATGGAACTGGAGTGGTGGGAGATTCGCACGCGGAATGGACGGGCATGGGTCTGGAATGGTTGCGAAGCCTGCTTGGACGGAGGGAGTGGACGTTGCCGTGCGTCGACGTGAAGGTTAGGCTTTGAAGTACGAATTTCATATTTGCGAAAAATCAGGAGTTGGGATCGTTTTCTTTCCTTTTTAAGCTTCCTCGCGCTTGTTATTTTATTTTAAAGCTACCAATTTTTTGCGTCTTGTAACGGCATAGCAAAAGGGGAAAGGAAAAGCTTGGATATATGACGTTCGGTTATTGTATTGTATATTTAATCACTAATAACTAAACCATTTCTTAACACATAGCATCTGCTTACAATTTTGCCCGTCAAAATTAATATTTCTCTCTAGAATTTCAAATGAATTGATTATTTTTCTCAGATGTGATTGGTAGGCCAGAGAGAAGAGTTCCTAGCTCCCTGTGCTGATATTTAGTTTTATTGTACTGCACTCTTGAATTTATCTTAGTTCCTGACAGGGTACAGACTGCTAACTCACATGGATTGACATGCATCCAGCCCAGCTTCACCTTCTCTATTTCCAAGCAAAGATATATGGTTCGCTTAGTAACGTTAACTACAAACGTCTTCCCCTCCTGTGACCTTTATCGTTCGGATCTCCCTCCATAACCTATATCGAGCTATTACACGTAAACCTACATTATTAGAGGACTATTCAATATCCACCAACTCGAGATCACAAGCCCACTTAATATTAATAACTCGTTGCTCGGACTTCGGCTTGGTTATAGATTAACGAACAACATCTGTGACTTCCTCTGGCAAACCCTCCAAGCCGAGCAAACCTCGAGGGAGCGGAAACACAACCGATGCGGAGCTTTGACGAATGCACCGGAAACAAGATGGATAAAAAGACACACATGCCTGAATCCGAATGCAAGATTTAGAAGGGTTCTAGCAGGTACTGCCTATTTCGTAGAATTTATCGCTTTCAGATGTGAACAACCCTGCAACGTGGGTAAACTATAGGCTTGCGCAGAAGTAAAGGAATCATAAGTCCTAACGCACAGCGCGATGGGCTGTGTGGGTTTTATTAATATAATGTTGGGGGATTTTAATCTCAGCATCGTCGTTGACAGGGGTTACATGAGCGATTTCATGTGTCTTCCTCAGGCCATTATCCGAGAGAGCATGCCGTATGGCGTACGTAGTACACAAAATGGATAAAGCCAGCAAAAAAGGCCGCGGCCACGTAGGTCACGGACAAGATGTACTACTGCACATGCATGCATACGCACACAGGTGTAGCGAAAGTCCCTTCCCTTCTTTCGGCCACACCCACTACTTCATCTTCCGTGCCTCAGGCAATTCAAGCATGAAACACTCCCCTTTCCAACTCTAGCCCTTCTAACCCCTCCCGCTCCTCCTTCGATTCCGCCCCATCCTCTCCCTCAACACAAAACCGAAACCCCACTACCCGCCAATTCAACTCCTGCCTCCAATGTAATCCATATCCGGTATATGGATCCAGCGCTGCATCCGCCCTCCCAGGACCCGTAGCTTGTAAATATACCACAGCCCGGAACCGCGAGAGCAGCATACCCATCGCGCAGCAGACGCAGGGTTCGTGGGTTATGTATAAGTCTAGCGATGTGCAGAGGTAGCCGCCCTGTGTGCGAGTTTGGATGTTAGGGAGAGAGAGGAAGTGAAATTCTAGAGGGGTGAGTGGGGGGTAGGGGAGTGGTCGTGGCGGTTGGGTTGGTTGGATGGGCTCGGGATCTAGGGACTGTGGCGACGGTTTGGGTTTCTTGGATGGGGGTGGAGAGGAGGTTGAAGGCTCTGTAGAAGATGATACAGCGGGTAGGGGGCCTGGTGTCGACGCAACAGACGCTGGTGCTGGCGGGGACATAGATATTGACGGTGTTACTGTGGGTGACGTCGACGAGGTAAGGCGCTTATAGGCGACTAATGATATGGCGCGCATCAGTGCATGGTGATCTGGTTGCCCTTCATTGTCTGGATCATATGATGTCGAAGGAGCAGCTCCCGCACCACCTTCCCCTGCATTTCGCCTGCTGCAGTACCGCGCGTCCCCGGCCACGGCTACAATACCAGCAAACTTATCCGACGGATCAGCCGCATCCGCCAGCGCAGGATCAACCACCACTGCACCAACAGCCCGTCCACATCCACTCCACTTCGCCTCCAGAGCAACTTTTCTAGCTAGCGCTAGATAGTTGCCCGCTCTGCGGGACACAGACTCCTGCGCGTCTAGTAGCAGCGGGCCACGGGGCGAGTGGGTGATTGGATGGGCAGCAGGATTGAAAATGGTCGGCCATAGGGTACGCGACCATGTAACCGATTCTTCCTCTGTGGTTGGTGGGGAGAGGGGTATACGAATTGATTGGACTTCGATAGGTGATATCGGCGCTGGTACTGACGCTGCAGCATCCGGAGCAGATGAAGCGTCTGAGGACGCTGAGATGGGCGCATATGGTGCCAGGAGTGTTTCCAAGAGGGAAAGCTCAGGTAATGGAGGTGGGATGAGGATGTAGATAGTTTGCGAGCTCTTGGATGCCGCAACTACCTCCCCCTCTACTGCTGCTGCGGAATCCCTTTTCAGGTGCTCCGGTAGAAATTCCGGCTTCACGAAGCGGCGCAAATGCGTGAGAGATAATGATGGGTCCTTGGGGGACTTGGACTCCAATAACCTAAGTTTTAGCTGTTAGCCTGAAGACTCGTGTGGATGGGTGGTATCTTTGTTTTCCTGACCCCTCCCTTAACCACAACCCGGATCTATAGAAGGTCGGGGATGGCGGAGAGTAAATACAAACTTTAACACTTTGCTCGCCGACTTGATATTTATTTCCGCAACATAGGCTTCGACTGTTTGTTTTATATAATTGTGCAAATTTTCTCTCAGCAATTTGTTCTTTTGACTTTCTATTTCCTTGTCCCTTATCCGACATGTTTTTTCTTGCGGATTCCTCCTATGTCTCTTAGCCGGGGAAAACTAAGGAATAAAATTTCTCACCAGTATCCTTCCCCGAACGAGTCTCTTGCACTGTCTTTAATAACGAGACCTGGCCCCGTAGCGGCTGGATATCTTTAAACGGATTGAGTATCTCCATTTTTGTGGGGATTTGTTTTATATATTCTCAAGGCTAGACTTCTTTGGTGCGGACGTTTCCAGGCGCTTTTCTTGCTTGTTCGGTTTGGGTGAGTGTTATCGGTGGAAAATATTTATAATTGATAGGATGAACTTGTCAAGACATCCGCCGGGTACTCCATATTTCTAGCAAAGGGGGAGGATTCGCTAAATCCTAGATTGGCCCAGTCTTCTACCTTTTTTGCTTCCTGACCCCTATATAAATTTAGGATGAAGTCACTTTGCCCAAAAAGTCATCATCACGTGATCTCCAATTAGGGGTCCATCGATTGGCGGCGATATATAAAAGGTTGTGATTATCTCAAGAGGTAATAGGTACTATGGCACTGCCCTGTATAGAGAGTCAAGATGGAGAATATAGAGTGGAAATAATTTATTGAGATCTTTCTTTGTTCTCTTTTTTAAATACACATGAAACAAAGTCACGCAACTCTATCGCGTTACTCCAACCAACTGACCAATCTCTCCCAACCGATGTCGTGGGAGGGAGAGGGAGGTAAATCAAAGGGGAAATATTAACCAAAACTCATAAAGGAAAATGCAAATCCAAACAGGAACCTAACGCCATACTGAAGAACAATGAAAGCCTATATACTGTTCCATATCCCCACCGTTTTGAAAATGCGCTTTCTGTGCAAGGCACACCTCCTCTAATAACAAGTCCAAGGTAAAACACAGAAAAAGCATGGACTGGGTGGATGAAGAACAAGAAAAATTATTCATCAACATAAGAAATTAATTAAAACGAAAAATAGTCATAGAAATAGGAAAAAATAAAAATAAAAACAAAAACAAAAAATAAAAAATAAAAAATAAAAAATAGTTAAACCGAGACACACATTGTATATATATACATATATAAATACTCGATATATGTGCACTTCGTCACATCTACAACCAAACAATCGTAGAGAGAGAACAGCATTACGCTCGGGAGTCTAGATAAATCGACATTCGTTCAAGGAGATATGTTGGCCATAGTTTTTTGAATTCTTCGTCCCATCGGTGCAGGTGTTAGCGATTAACGATAAGGACCAAACAAGGGTTGAAACAACTGGATGGGAAATAGAAGTGTGGTGGTTTTAAGCGGGATAGGGTAAACTAGAAATAGCTGTACTTCAGATCCCTACTCTGTTTTGGGAGTCGCATTAATCGTCGTAGAGGCTTTTCCTCCATTTCGCGCAATCGATGTAGATGAGGTAGCAGTCTCTTTCGTCGATGTAGACAGGGTGTCAATACGGTCTTCCGGCTGCATCACATACTCGTCACATCGCTCGACGAGGCGCTGATAATAATCCACCAGGACCTCAGGCTGAGGCACGATACGCCACTCAACCCGCCAGAGAAATTCCAGTTCTAATAGCGCCAGTTCAGCGACGCTGATTCCACCAACTCTGGCATAGGTCTTGTTTGTCCAAAAGCTGTCGCTGAGACCCTTGCTGGCCACGGTAGCGCTGCTGATCAAAAATCGATGTACCGTGAGGCTCGAGACTGTAAATGCAGGGTAAAGAGCACATAGTCGGTCGATATAATACACCATACTTAAAAGGATAGGAGGGGAAAGGGTGGCATGTGTTGTTAGACGTTGGAGGTAGTCGTGAACCGAGATTCGGGGAGGACTGCGCGAATGGAACCGTGTGAGGCGACCATCGCGAAGGGGTATTTGGTCGTTAAAACGGATAAGTTCCATTAACATGCTGGAGATCAGGAAGACGAGATCACGGGGATTCGTTTCTTCATAACGGCGTGGAAGGACTTTCGCAGCGGGTTTTTCGGGCCGTAGTCGTTTACACAGAGATTCGGCTGGGCTGTCAGGGTCAATTGATAGTGGGTTGTCGCCATCCGTGGGCAAAAGACTGGAAGTATCAGGAGTGTTGCGTTTCGATCCTACGAGAGTCGATGACATTTGCGAATCGGCCTGTGACTGTCGGCTTTCCTGGCTTTGCTGCGAAGCAGCAAGTTCAGAGGTGGCATTGGTGGGATCTGGAATTATCGTCTCACTAGTAGTCGCGGAGGCAGACTGTATCAGCTTGTTTTTTGCTGGGGTAGCCGGGCGAGAATATTGAGTTCCCGCATCTACAGTCTGCCTTCGAAAAGCTGATCGTATTTCCTCGACGCCCGAACTGCTGTGAGAATCAGACGAGCGTCGCCCGGGCCGTGAGGCTCTGGGAGAATGAGGCGGGTTGGAATGGGCTATTAAAGGGGAAGCCGCGGTTGTTTGGTCATTACTATGATTATTATTATTATTATTATTATTATTATTCCTGCTGGCGGTGGCGGTTGGATTGTAGTAATGCGGGCGGCCGGGAAAGGCATTGACGGGAGAACGGGTGGAATCAGAGCGCAGAAGCGCTGCCGACGTGGGAGATGACGCTATCATGTCCTTTGCTCACAGATCTCGACCAGGACGGGAGCACGTGGGCGCACGCTGCGGGAAGTGTGGGCAGGAAAGGCGGGAGTAGTCTGGGGAATATTGGAGGCCCTGCCACTTTTAAATGGAGACAGCGCCAGGGACCCGGTCCTTGTCCTAGCCGGATCAACAGTCGCAGCAGCAGCAGCAGCGACAGCAGCGACGGCAGAAACCGTAGCAGGAAGAATGGGAGCGGAAAGCGAAGAGGGAGAAGCCAATAAGCCAGAGCTTTCCAACACAGCAGACGACCCGCAACGGCGCATCTTGCTCTATGGAGACGGGGTGACACAAACTGCCAGGCTCGGGATTGCAAAAGTCTCTTATCGAACCAGCCGCTCACTCGGGCATATTGCTGGCGGTTGAATGGGGGCGTGCGCACAATTCTTCAGACGTCTCCTCTGGCTTCGTGGGCGTGCGTGGGGGAGACTATCGCGAACGCACATCCAGGTTTATTGGAGAGGTTGTGATTGGGGCAAACCAATGGATGACATAAGAACTGACTAAGATGCTCAAGGCATTGTGCCCCCCCCAAGGTCCGCGCTCCCATTGGTTGGATGAGGAGAGAAAATCTTCCAAGGTTTCGGCCACGGTTCAGCCACGTGATTAAAATCCAACCCTGTCGGGCAATATCCGGGTGACTGAGCTCTTTTGCCCCAAGTGCCTACAATATCAAGCGCATCACATGATATTTAACTTGCTGACTAATATCTTATATAAGCGTCGCATCATGTCATCGCAGGACGGAACTATCAAGAAATGGAGAATGGAGACAACCGGACATCTATAGAAAGAGACACAATGCAACATCCGACGCCAACACTCCAACCCATTCATATGCACACCTAATTAGCTTCCTCGTTGTGTGACATTATTTCATTTTCAATCTTCAAGTTCACTTGCTTGAAAGTACTGTACATGCTTATATATGGCAAATACCTCGGCGCTTCGTATTAGTTAAGCATTCTCAATCCGCTCGGTTGAAGCTCCGGTTAGTTCAATTTACAATCCTCCACTGGCTCCCATCAATCATCCAGCACCAGGTGTTGTTTGTCTGGCCAAGTCATTTTGCAGAACAGTCCTCCTTGCTGACTTGATACGTAAGAAAGATCAAATATCTCCCAAATCTCCACCCTCGTCTCCAACACTCCAACTCTTGCCATAACCCGGCGTTTCCTCTGTCTCCTCCTCACTCCGAAGCCTGGAACTCAGCATCCATTTCCCAACGAATTTCATAGTCGCAGATCCATATTTCCAGAATGACGAGGGCGGCTGCTCCTCATATTATCTCTGATATCCAAAATCCTGAGTCGACTGCTTCACGGATTGCGGCTCTGCGGCTGTTGAAAAATGATATAATTGGGCATGATCAAAGAAAGGAAGCTTGGGTTGGACGGGGCATCGTTCCATTATTATCACAAATCCTAGCGGGCCGCAGGGGTACAGGAAAGAAGTCTATCGTTGGAGAGGTTAATGGACATGCTAAACAACAATACTTGGCCGGGCGAAGGAGCGGTAGGTCGGAGGAGGATGAGGCCTGCTTACAAGCTATTATAATCATTGGCAGCTTAGCTCAAGGTACGCAGTTTCTCGCCCCGCTTGCCGTTTTCTGTTTACGCTGTTCGTTTCGAAGAAGAATGTGTTTGCAGTGAAACCTCATGTCCCCTAAAGTGAGTTCTAGGAATCTAATGTCGGTGGAATAGGGGGCCCACCGTTCATATCTCCCATTGCTGCGGGTGACATTTTTCCCTTACTACTGTCAATATTGTCCTCACAAGCACAAGACTGCGACCCATCACTTTCCCTTGCGGTGCTTGAGACTCTGAATACAATCGCCGGTAAATTTCCGCTATATCAGCAACAAAGCTTGTCGCATGCGAAGCAACTATCTTCAATCCTTTACTCTCGGCACCATGTCGAAACTCTTCGTAGACTAATAATCAGCTCGACATCGACCTCCTCATCTTCTAGCCAGCTGTCTGTTGCCCTTGCTGCAAATTTAATCGCAGAGACATGTGTCGAAGAAAGCCACAAGGCTGTGCTGGCGGAGTCTGGCGTTCTGGATGCACTAGCTTTCAAACTCTCTACCTTTGTGGTCGCACAGGGATTTGTGCTTCCTGGCGCGGAAAATAATACTATGGATCCGGGCACTTTGAAGACCCTGCCTCCTGCTGCACCACCGAATGCGCAACTAGCTCCTATTCTCCGAGCCATTACCGTAATAGTCCAAAATTCAAAGTCTCGCGCAGAGCACTTTATCTCATCTCCAGCGGTGGTAACTGTGTTTCCCAAACAGATCCCCGAATTTTCACCTAATGATATCAAGAAGTCGCCATGGGGAGCAACGTATTTCTCGGGGTTCGCCGTTCCTCGCCATAGTGCCACGAACCCAATCGACGCAATTCTCCCCTCTGTCCCAGTCGCACAATCTAAGAACTCAAATTTTCCACCGCTCGGTTCCCATACCTCATTTGGGAGACAAGGCAATTTCTTTAGTCCGCCCCTTTCGTTTTCCGAGACGTCTGCGTCAGATGAGGAGGAAAGCGCCCTCATATCATGGTTGTTCACTGTTATCCTGGCGGAATCGGGTCTGACTCGTCTCGCGGCGGCGATGCTGGCAACAACTCTCTTCCGATTAGGATTAGCGAAGAAGCATCGAGTACCAATGTTCGGTTACCTGTTGATCCCACTCCTTATTCGCGTATTTGAGAAAGATTATGAAGCTTCTGAAGATGTCGGTGTTCATGAAAACGGGCTGATATCGACTACTCTACGAGCCAAGGAACAAGCTCCAGCTATTCTTGCGTCTCTGGTTATGGATAGTCGTGAACTCCAAAAGTATGCAGCCGAAGGCGAGGCGATACCGAAGCTTTCACAGATGCTAAAGGAGTCCTTTAACGCAATTGCGGAGACTGGGAAGCCTATGTGGAATGCAGATAAACAATCCGCCGCATCCGAACCCACTCAACCAGAACTGTGTCTTGGACCTCGCGGTTGTTCTCCCATGGTACACCACAAAATGAAAGTTCGCGAGGTAGTTCTCAGAGCCCTGGCTGCTTTATCCCTTTTTAAGGAAGATTACCGAAGAATGATCTGTGACAATGGCGTCGTGCCATACATTATCGATGCTATGAAGCCATATGAAGACGAGTCTATCGACGCCCTCGATGGCAACCCACCTTCAACGCTACTTGCAGCCTGTTCAGCTGCAAGATCCCTAACGCGATCCGTGAGCGCACTGAGAACGAACTTGATCGACGCTGGTGTGGCTACTCCAATGTTTACACTGATCAAATATCGGGATATTGCCGTACAGATTGCCGCAACGTCCGTGGTGTGTAATTTGGCAATGGACTTTAGCCCCATGAAAGATGTATGCCAAATTCCTTTATTTCCTTTAGCCTTGTTCTTTCATTCATTCTCTATATAAATTATGTAGAGGACTTATTTTCTCTTCTTTCTGCTCGCTTTGTCTGTTGCCTGGTCGTCTTAACGCTAACCACGATGCATGTTATAGGCCATTATCGGAGCGAACATGATACCCATACTTTGCGAACATTCACACTCATCCAATACTAACCTACGACTAGAATCTATTTGGGCGTTGAAGCATATTGCTTACAACTCCACAAACGACATTAAAATGAAGATAGTTGAAGAACTTGAACCTGGGTGGTTAAAGCAGGTCATTTGCCACGATCCTAGCGACCCCCCAATCCGGCGGAAAGTAGATGACGTGGGCGGTACGTTGTCTCTTGGAATGGGAACTCCAAACTCTGCTGGAGGACGAGTCGACATTCTCAATCCTATGGAGGGGGCTGAAGGCGAAACGGCACCATCCCATGATGGAGACCATAAAATGACAGACACCGTTATGCCACCCAAACCAACGGGCCTTGACGTTTCTCTCATTGACCATTCCAGGCGGCGGAAGCTGGCTGTTAGCGGCGACATTGACCAAACAAAACAAGCTCGACGGGATGATCTGCAGGTACAAGAACAGACGCTTGACTTACTCCGAAATCTGATCTGCGGTGTAGGAGCACCAGAGATGATAGATTATCTTTTCCAGGAAGTGGGCCAGAACGACCTCTTCAACATTCTTGCAGACAAGTTGCGCCCAAAACCGCTCTTCAACCATGGCGGCCGCAAAGATTCCGCGTCTTCTTCATCCAAGTCCATTCCCGTGCCAACAGAGATTCTCTGCTCAGTTACGTATATCATGATTCATATCGCTGCTGGTCTCTCTCGGCATCGGCAACTATTGATTCAGCACCCTACATTACTAAAACTCATGATGCCTCTGTTCAACAACCCGGACAAACAAGTGCGGGTGAACTGCGTGTGGGTAGTTATCAATTTGACAATTGCCGATGACCAGATGGATCACAACGGCTGTCGCGAGCGGGCAATAAAACTCAAGGGTCTGGGCGTGATGGACAAGCTCCTAAGTTTGGAGGACGATCCCGAATCAGATGTGAAAGAGCGGACCAAAACTGCTTTAACTTTAATGCGTGCTTTGCTTCAGTGACATCATCAGAAGCATTCACGAAATTATATAATGGAAGCGGGAGCGATTGTTGTTTTTGTGTGTTATTTTTAAACTGGTAACTCAATTGATCGGCTTTTTTTCGTGTCATTTTTGCATGTCGAAAAACTTCGTTCTATTTTTAAGTAGCTTTTTGGCCCACGCCTCCTTTCCCTCTTCCTTCCACCTATTTCGCTCCTCCCTTACACCTATTCCATGACATTATTCTTCTATTTTCTGAAAACCTATGTAGGGTGACTCCCATAGCCTGCGATGAAAAATTTCCTTTCCGTATCCAATTTTATAGCGAGACGACCTTTTTTTCACCGCAGGGAGCCCTTTTCTTCCTCCTTATCCATCACCTTAGATACTCTTCGCCAGAACGAATCCCTCCTTCTCTCCGCGTTAATCTTCAGGAAATCCCATTCATTGCTCTATCCGAACATCATTATTCTGCTCAACTTCTTTCTTTCTTTCTTTCTTTCTTTCTTTCTTTTTTTGGTTGTATACATGTATACACCTAGTTCCATAAATAGGGCAGAAAGTTCGGGGAGACAACAGAGAGAAAGAAATAATATCAAAAAATCGCGGATAAAGAAAAACAGAAAAAAAAAAAAAATCCGAAAAGTTGACGCAGCGCGTGAGCAAGGGAGACGAATGCCAGCGGCGCACTAAGTTCTTCCAACAAGGTATATTGTAATTCTTCATTGTTATGCTTTAAAAATATTAACAAGGGGCGAATCGCGGATTGGCGTATAGCTCCTTACTGTCTTCCATTTCTCTTCTCCTAAAAAATTACTGTAACTATTAAACATATCGGGTGAATGCCCGTTTCTAGGTGGCGTAACAGTTTCCAGAGCTCGTAGCTACATTTATCATTTTATTTCCCACCCTACCATTTATTACAGATCGAGCAATTAACTACTGTACCTAGGGTAAGTTGTTGAACTCCCGAGGTTGAATCCCGGCTGTGTTTCTTTCATCTGTTGTTCTGGTTACTTGGTTATACTCCAGAGAACATTTTCATTCCCGTTCTGAAAATTGCGTCCAGTGGGATAGTAATAGGTAGTAAATTTGGATACGAACTCGTCCTTTCACTCCCGTCACTATATACACAAACAACCTCTCCCCGTGAGTGTTAGTTTATGCCTGGTCTCTCATATCTCACGGAAACCAGCATGTTGAATCAAATGCGAGAAGTAGTGAAACCGGCCGTCCTAGAGTCAAACAAACACGATAAAGGGGGAGAAAAAAACTATTAACATAACTTTCCTCAACAAATTTTATTTCCAGAGAAAAAGCGACGAAGAAGCAAAAAAGAGGGGGAAAAAAATTCACCGGGCCCAGTCCTGCGTCGCCAAATTCTCATAATACACCTTCTCACTCATCGTATTCTTAAAACTATCCCTCTCCCTAAGCGCTTTCTCCCACTTCCACCACCGAGCCCAAACGCTCTCATCCTCCCCCGCCTTCCCCTCCGCAGGAATCCCAGTCCCACCCTCAATGAACTTCTCAATCAAAAAGAACCTAGCCACCCACGGCGCCAGCGCAATATCCGGCAACCCAATCTCCTTGCCAAGGAAATAGGGGCCCTCGGGATCCATCGCGCTGGTAAATTCCTTAATGGCTTTGAGGAACTCTGCGCGCGCTGCGTCCCGCTCCTCCTGGTTCTTCGCATACTGGATCTTGCGTTGGGAGGGCGTGATGCGGGCGCCGACGAAGTCGATCCAGATGCGGGCGCGGGCGCGCTCGAATGGGTCCTTGGGTAGGAGATGTGGGGTGTGGTCTGGGTAGGCCTCTTCGAGGTATTCGTTGATGATGTTGGATTCGTAGAGAGGTTTTGTGCCCTGGTTGTTGGGGAGGGGGGCGGCGATGGTTGGGACGAGGCCCTTTGGGTTCAAAGCGAGCAAGGAGGGGGATTTGTCGTATGGGTTTATTTCGATGTATTGGTATGGGATCTTCTTCTCTTCGAGGGCGAGCCAGGTGCGTTGGACTAGTTTTTTTAAGTTAGTTGTTTATTTTCTTGGATAGGGATTGCTATGATATTTTTTGGTGATTTCGAGAGGTCTTTTCCGTACCATATCTAGACATTTAGGTTAGCATATTGATTTAGACTAGAATGAAAACAATATGGGGAAACATACGGGCAAAACCAGCCAGCGTATAGCTTCAAGGGCTGCTCAGCCGCACGTTTGTCCGCAAGAATTTTGGCAGCACCGGTTGCAACCGGATGGCGAACGATTTGGGTCATGGCTGCGATTTGTGTGAGGTTGGATTGGAGTGTCTGAAGCAGGATCGTCAAAATTAACACACAAAGTAGACGAATTGAATATATGAGGGAGATTATCGAAGCCAGAAGGAAGGATATCGACGATAGATATAAATGTTACAGAGTTATATATAAGGGTAGCATACATGCAATGAGGGGTCAAGGTGGGGAGTGCGGTGGTACGGTACTCCAGCAAATGGGCGCATTTTCTTCGTATAACTTAAAACAATCCCATTTTGAATTTGAAATCAATACCGACTAGCAGCAGCCAAATTATGATGCAATCCAAGCCGCCCTCGTATTGACGGGCTTTGGCGGGGACTCGGCAGTGCGACGCGATTGCCGAACCCTGGGCGGATTTGTCACCAGCGCCAGGCCCAGACTCCGGCAATCGCCTCATTGCCGGATTATTGTTCATAGGGATTATACTACAACCTGCTACGCCACTCGCATTACATCTCATCTCCTACTTGCATCCATAGCTAGCCTAGCATGCAGATGCCATGTGGATGATAAAAATTCGTTTTCGGATGGCAGGTGTATTTTACGTGAAGACAAGGCTAGATGAATTGGCTGCAAAAAAAAAGCTGCTAAAACACTACAACTGCGATCTTCTACGCATGTTTTCTGTGTTCATCACTTGGCTGTTATTAGGTGACTAACAAAGAGCAACTCCAGGCCATTCGGATTGCCTGTATATTCCCTATGTTCGGTATTTGGTTTCTCGAGCCATAGTGTGCCTCATCCTCAGCAGGGATGATAGAGGGGAAGCTTCGGAAGGATCACAAGAGCGTTGACATGGATAGCCAACACATCGCCGGAGAGTAGTTAATATATTCGAATCGCTGGACCACCAAAATGGAGAGCGCATCCGGGGTAGGCGAGGAGGAAAATATCTTACCCAAGAAGACAACATCCAGCGTGGCATAACAGCAGTCTCTATTGAGACAGGCTCCGGCTAGAATGACGAATCCAAATACGCGTACTTAAAACGGCGCATCTTGAGGAGCTGGACATAATGAACCCCCGCAGATTTGATATCATTTGGACGAGAATCATAAGTGTAATACTGCGCAAAGTTGTCGTGTGGAAAAGTCACTGACAATCCAAAAGGTATGTTCAGAGTTATATTTGTGAGATCCCTGCGGTTCAGAAACAGAGGAAGATTATCTGAGTACATTTTGTAGCATTAGCAACACATTCATTTACCAGCGGTTTAACTTCCTCTCGGAGCCAGCCATTTGGATACAAAACAACCAGACACAGTGCAAAACTTTTATTTGCAGAACTCCACTGAAAGAAAAGAAGGCCGACATATACCAATACAGTCACTCAAATGCATAAACTGAGCTGCGTAAATGATGGGCAAGCAACTTCCAAGGTGTGTGGCATTCCATTATTTTGGGAAAGTGATTATAGAGCCCGTAAGATACTCTCTTTGCAGCAGCGAGCGCTGTTCTTTATCCTTCTCTAGCATCTAGCCCCTTCTTCTCCTATCCTCACCCAGCTGGTCTCAAGCAGTGGGACCAACCAGGAGTTGAGAGATGAAGGATCCTTAGCACGTCATAGAGATGAAATGTTTCCCTTTGTATCTTTGCGCTTAGTTTGTCATGGAGAATGTAGCGGATATCATCTTTGTTGCTAGATGAAGACGGCGTGTTAGTGACAAAGACGAAGAAGAAGAAGAAGAGGAGGAGGAGGAGGAGGAAAAAGAAACGAGATGTAAGAAAGCGCTGGAACCTTCACAAACAACCTTATGCTGTATGTCAAGTGCAGCTGCGACGTTTCCCATTTGAAATAGTCCCATAGTCTCACTTGCTTTTAAGATCGCTTTCTTTCCTCCTGGTACCGAAAATCATTCTTCAGGCCTATTCATCATTCTCTCTTCATCTTTAGGTTAGCAAGGAACGCTGCTTCACCTTGAACTGGACATATTCAGTACGGAAACCCTCCAGTTCAATTCACATGCTTGCATTGCACGCCCTGGATACCTGCCCAAATCTATCTACTTCGTCTCCTACCAAACGCCCTCTACTCCCGCTCCCTAACCTCGCAGCTTAGGGTCTCGTCCCACTGCGCAAGATGTTCCAATGCGCTACGTGCGGGATCCGCCTGCAATTTCACCAAAATTATCTTCATCATATCCAGAAAGGCCAAATGTTGCAGTGTGTCAACTGCAATGAGACCTTCGATAGCCTGTGCGCTGTGAGAAGTCATCGACGACTCGTTCACCCTAGGTAAAAAGCACAAGTCTAGAAACTAAAACTAGCTTGGTCCCTGAGAGATAGGAGTATCACTGACATGATAAAATCTGTACATGGACAGGCAATTCGAAGAAAGTCGGAGCATGGTACAGGATGCCGACACTGCCGTAGGATTATGCCCTCGTCAAGAGAATTCCAACAGCACTGGCGATTCCGCGCACAACAACATGGGAAACGAGAATATCCCTCCACACTCCAGCGGAATTACCCCTATAACTGTCGAGACAACTAGCAACGAGGACAGCGAGAGCAAGACAGAGAGTGGCTACCAACCAGTGTACAGTCCTCGAGGTCGTAATTTTAGTATGCCAGTTCTGAAGCCCGATCAGCCGGAGATCAAAAATGGGGGAGATTTGATAGATCTCAGTGAGCAAGATAAGAAGCCTAGTGACTTAGACATAGCAGTCGAAGCTTTGATACAATCAATTAGGAAACGAACTCAACAAGGGGAACGACACTCTCTCTTGAATCCAACTAAAAACTCTATGCCGTCCACTTCGCCATCTACAATCCCACACCAAGTCAAGAACAATAACGGGCACAGTGATGTGAAATGTTCAGGGAGGATGCAAACAGCGCAACCTGAGATGGGCGTGAATAAAGAAAAAGCTCCGACTAACAGTGACGAAGCGTCACAAGATTCAAGCATTTCAACGCGGTTCTATACTCCGCAATCCGAAAATTCAGATCGAATTAAGCGGGCTAAGCATAGCGAGACGAAGCAATTAGACGGCCTAGCAATTGCAGAGCCCAAATATCTTTGTCAGTACCACCAGGCGCCAGAGCCAACGCAGCAAGAAATTCCTGGGGTGAGAATCGTCTGTTTCGAATGTGAGGCTACTTTCAACACAATTATTGGTCTCCAGCACCATCAAATCATGTACGAGCACAATTATTGCAAATTATGCTTAAGCTTCTTCAACGACCGCTCGCTCTTCCAACTCCATATCCAGCTGATGCACAACTTCCAATGTATAGAATGCCAATTGACCTATCAGAGCTGGGAAGAGAGAGGAGAGCATCAACGCCTGACAGGTCACGGGTATTGTAAAGATTGTGGCGGCTATTTCTTGGACCGGGAGAGTTATGCTAAGCACCCCAGTCTTCACAAATCTACAAAGTTTGCATGCCCCATCTGCAAGGCAAGTTTCGCGACCGAGGAAAGCCGGAACATGCACCAGAGTGCAACCAAACATGCGTATTGTGACGAATGTGGACGCTGCTTCCGGGACCAAGCGAGCCGGGCCAAACACGTTAATGTCCACAAAGCCGTCAACTTTGCCTGCCCTACCTGTGGAGCTGGATTCGTAACGGAAGAGTGCCGGGACGCCCATCAGCGAGAGCATAGTCATGGTGTCTGCTCACGATGTGATAAAGTATTTGCAGACAGGGCGAGCGAGAAAAGCCATACCGGCGTGGCCCATAAGCACAAATGCCCGGAGGCTGGCTGCAAACTTTCTTTCCCGACATCTGGTCTCCTGGAGACACATAAGGCAAAATCACATCACATTTGCATACTATGCGATCGTAAGTTCATGGATAGATTGGCGCTTTTAACCCATGAGAGAACTTCCGGCAAACATGCCAAAAAGGGTGCAGCCATCGCGTGATATCAAAGTGTTGAGCTAGGACTTTAAGAAAGGAAAGGCGGTTAAACACATAACAGGATTATCCTGTCAGGAAATTTGTTTCATGAAATGATCATCTTTCCTACTTCTTTTCTTCTTCGTGGAGTCTAGGATGTAGCACATGAGAATGCCGGATATGTAGAGTGGGCTAATGGAGCGGGTCTAGAGGCGGGATCAATTGAGGTTACGGGGGAAATAAATTGGAACAATAGTTAACAATCAAGCCACCAATGCTAAAAATAACCAAAACAGCTCATCCTGGTGTTCTTAATGCTCTTTATGAGCTGACATGAAGTCAAGAAGTCAAGACGTTAAAGACGAGGGAGGCTCAACGCTGGTTGAACTGCGGTCCGGAGAAACCATTGATCCAGGGCCGGGCATCGTGAGCTTTTTGTTCTTCATCCCCAGCGCAAGAAACTACAGGAATGACAAGATATATGTCGGTGACGGTGTTTTCTATAACAATACAATATAAAAAATGGCGCCTGCGAGGAGTGAGTCCTCGCGCCAGGATGCAAATAATAATGTTCATCCACATATTCCTTCCCCCCCAGGGCCGCATCCCTCTTATATCCAGGTTGCGAAGCCATTTATCTTCGAACGGACTGTCCACGCATGTATAGCAGCCACTGGCGTCGACCAGCTCAGAGAGGACAACATTCGACTCCAGGGCGTTACCTGGATCGATAATGTCCGGAAAGCTCTTCATCTGTTTGTAGACTTCCTCTATGCATTCCATGGTTTTATTTTATTACATGTATATTTTAATATCAATTCGATCATTGACTGATATATCCCATACAGACCAGTCCGCACTTTCAACACTGCGGCCATTTATTATCATAAATTCAGGCTTGTGCACCCTGACAACGAGTACAACTACCTCGTATGTCTGATCCCTCATCTATTTTTACTTCAGTTTTTATTTTATTTTGGCTTCTCATGCTTACTGTTGACCTGACAAAAGGATGCCGCGGCAGCAGCACTCTTTACTGCGTGTAAGATTGAGGACACTCTCAAGAAATCGCGTGATATCCTATGTTCAGCATACAATCTCAAGCTCCCACCAGCGGAACACCTATCTGCAGATGATCCAGTAGGTGCCCTTCTTCAGTAGCATCTCCCACTTTCCTCTGCTCTACTGACATGAGATTACGCCGCAGTTGTTTGAATCCCATTCACGCGGGATAATAGGCCTGGAGCGGCTTATGCTAGAGTCATCGGGGTTTGACTTTCGGAACCGCCACCCTCAAAAGTCACTTGTGAAACTGATAAAGCATTTTAATTTTGACAAGACCTCGAAAACATCGCGAGTCGCCTATGGCATGAGCCTTGATCTTTACCGGACCTTTGCTCCTCTCAAACAGACTTCAGCAACCATGGCCTTTGCTTGTCTTGAACTGGCCGGCCGACTTCTCAACGATCGGCACGAACGCGTTGAGTCCGGGAGGGTATATAGACTTTGGTTGACTTCCCGCGAAGAAATAATGGGTGAGTTTTGACTGAACTCCTTTGTCCTCACCTACTCTAGCAAAAAGAATAATCTCATTACACCGTTTCAATTCCGGCGCTAATATCACTCGATGCAGAGACAATGCTCGACTTGCTCGAACTCTACACCCACAACCGCAGCTCAACCTCCATCGGTCCTGATTTCCCCCTCGATCTCTTCCTCAACATCCGCATACCGCTCAATCAAGAGGCGGATTCCAAAAAGCTTCCCCGCTTCACTTACTGGGAATCCAAAAAGTCAAGCGCCAATGGGGTCAAAGCATCGAACGGGATGAAGTACAATGGTGATGGCCCCAAAAACGGACGCCTGCCCAACCCCCTAACTCCAATGGCCGCCCATGAATCACGAAGCAAGGCAGGTGAACGGGGTCGGGAAGGTACTCTTCGATTCATGCTCTATCCTGAACAGGTGAAGGCGGAACGGGAAACTGTGGCGCAATACTTCAAGGTGGAGATGGAGGAATATGAAGTGGACGAATAGGCTGGGCCGTTATCTCGACACGTCACAAACTCTGTGCACTATGCTTGAGATGGCATGATTCGTTGACATGCGTAGCAACTCACAAGTGCATCCATCCAGCCTTTGAGTGGGGAAAGGTTGAGAGCCATGAGTCTCTCAAGCGGTGCCTGGATGTATTATCAAACCACAGGACGATGATATTTCTCGCGCGGGGACATCACGTCATGGCCATGAGGCCATAGGCCATAGGCCATCGTATTCAACACCATCTCCATCACAAAGGCGTTCACATAGAGGAACATCACCCTTGACCTTTTACCTCGAAACCGCCACCTCAGCTACATAACTCTTTGAGCTGGACGGTCAATGATACCAGCGCGCGCTCCACTTTCTACTGACACCCCCAATCCAAAAGCGAATGGACACTGGGCGAAGCGAAAGTGCAGCTTGAACATGTATCACAACACATTGGATAAAAAACGCATCCCGCACAGCTTGAACAGACATACACCTTCAGGAAATTCTAGCCAGCACCCCACGTGGGATTATTCTATTACATTCTTATACCCTATTGCTTATACCCCCAGAAATGCACATCTTGTACATGTATGTACATTACATCTAACCATCCATCCACGAACTAGTTGACATATCAGAAGGGGAGAGGGGGGGGGAGACCACCGGGAGAATGACGAAGTTGAACTTGGGGTACTATATACCATTCATATACCAACTCCCACGTTGAGGGAACGCAGTAGAGAAGATGTCTAAAAACACGCTATTATTAATTACACTGATGAAAATATTCCGTCGGTACACAGGCACAAAACCACTCTCCCCTCCAAGCTATTAAAGTATGTACGAAGTTGCCGAGAGCCATTTTGCAATATCGAAAAATTAATCTCTTTCTTGCCTTGCGCAAAGTACAAAGTACGTAGGGGAGATCGAAAACGATAGAAAAATTACAACTTAATATTAAATCAATCATTTTCTGCTGCATGCCACTTTGCACACACTCTCTCTGACAAAAATTACATTCATGCAAATAAACAGTTATTTTAAAAAGGGTTAGAAATATGGAGGGAAAAATAAAAGTAAAAGGAAGAAAAAAGGGAAATTCATTTCTTGCTGTGCAACTCTCAACCCCATTCTCACCCCACCCACAGGAGGAAAGATACAAGAAAGTAGAAAGTTACGTTATTTGAAAATAAAATATAAACCTAGAAGAGAAAAGGCGTAAAAGAGAGAAGGAAAAAAGAAAGGAAATGCAAGGTTTAGGTAAAAGACGGAATGGAATGACACTTAGGAATGGCTATCCATGAAAATTAAAAAAGTGAGTTTATAATGTCATAGAATTAGAAAAAGTAATAGAAGAAGAGAGAAATAAGAAATAGAAATGAAAAGAATAAAATAAACTAATGAAAAGGGCACAATTCTGTTGATAGGTGCAGGCCCTTGCCTGCGCATGCATCAAGTCCCACGCTACTCTTCGAACAATCTCACTTAACACTATCAATAAATCAAACAAATCAAGAGAAATCCAAGCCTAGAAGGAGTTGTCGTTGACCTAAACCTGACCGCACCCGACGAAGCCGACAGGAAAAAAGAAAGAGAAAAGAGAAAGAAAAGGAATAAATTTATGCGACCGCGGAAAGAAACAACACAATATAAATGCAAATGCATCGGAAAAAAGAGAAAGAGTCCAGAGTTGGGTTTTCGTCATCACCAGAATGCAACGGCAAATAAGAATAAAAAGTAAACAGTGTTTATAACCAGTAGAGTGAAAAATAAACAAAATAGGGAATCAGCAACCGAGGAGGATAAAATCTGCAAGGCAAGGACTTAAGAGTGTGAGGATAAATAATATCGTTTGACAAGATGGGGACTTGCTGGGGTTAAGGCGGGTGGGAGAGTTTGATCATCATCCGGAAGAGTGAGTAAGTGTTTGCAGTAGCTATGTAAATTATATATACTGTATATGGCGAATTATTATCGTTTTAGGCGGAAATCTGAGCTGAGGCATTCGAGCATCTAAGCAAAAAAGTCAACAGAGTCAGTAGCTGCATTAACAAGAACGTCACATACTCGTCAGGAGAAAAAATGGGGGTTTTGGTGCGGGAAAAATCTTTTGTTTCTCTTGCTCACATTTTCAGAAACCTCGCCCTGATTATATAGGTACTTGCTCAAGCCCCGAATGACCTCTAGTTGCTGATCAACCGTCAAACCGTTAATGGACGCCTCGATAACATTCCCCACGCTGGCCTTATACACCGCAATAAAGCTATGGTAGTACATGTATGCGAAAAAGCCCATGATGAACTGGCAGTCCATGCGATCGGTGATGCCGCCATGGCCCGGGATCGATTCGCCAAAGTCCTTGACTTTAAAAGTACGTTTCAGTCCCGAGGCGAAAAAGCCGCCAAATGGAGCAATTAGGGATGCGAAGGTTGCGAAGACGAAGATGTGGATTTGCATGGGGGCGAAGTAGACGGTCTTGGGGGGCGAATGTGTCCAGGGTGTCCAGGTCGGCAGCTGATATGGCTGCGGCGTGAAGACGGGGTTCGGCGTGCATTCTAAACCAGTCAGGGCGTTCGAGCCTAAATCGTTGACGGGGCAAATGAAGTATTTATGTTTCATGAGCACATTGGTCATGCCGTAGCCGAATAGGATGGTACAGATCCACGCGCCAACGAAGCCTTCAACGGTCTTCTTGGGGGAGAGTTTAATGAGCTGCGTGCGGCCGAAGGTGATGCCGCAGACGTACGCAAAGATATCATTTGTAATGACAAGGGACACAGGAAGGAAGAACCAGATCATGCCTTCGAAGATGTTGTTCATGATAAAATGAGCCTGGACCACAATAAGGTAGAGAGCCATGTGTGTCCAGGCAAACTGAGTAAACTGGAATCTATAATGCCCCTTCTGGAGCGATCCCACAAAGAAAACAAAACCTGAGGAGCCACATAGATTAGCAACGGATCCAGCGTGCTCCATCCCTGCCAGTGTAACCGAGGAATAAACCAACCCATAACGTAGAGCATGAAGCTGAGGAAGCGATGGTGCGTCGCCAGGGGCAGCAGCACTTTATCGACCAGGAGGATGTGCTTGAAATAATATATTACGCTTTCTCCGTACAGAAAATACATGGTCGTGGCGAGGAAGTACCAATTGAGCGCCTTGGTGAACTTGAGGTTCTTGGCCTTGCTGGGGACGTTGGCAATGGCAATGACCTCTTTGAACGAAATGATCTGGACAACGGTGATGATGGCGATGAGATAGATGTGGCCGGAGAACATGGCAATGAAGAAGCCCGCGATCATAACAAACGTCCATATCGTTCGGGTTATGAAGGTCTGTTTCTTCTTCTCATACTCAGAGACGGCGGGACTCTCGGGCTTCTGCGACAGCCAAAGAACACGAACGGTAACGAGGTCAGCTATCAAAATATCCAAGGGCAAATTCAACAGCAGGAAATTCAAACGAGACACACCTCTTCCGAAGGCCTGTCATTCCCCCTCGAAGCGCCATTCTTGCCGGGGCTGGAGGGTTCTGATATGTCACTGAGGTCGGAGCTCTGCCTGGCGTCGGTGGTAGCGGCCCGATGCTGGAAGCGGACATTTCTTCGCGGCCTGCCCATCATGGCGGAATAGAATGGATAGGCCTAGAGATATCAAACGAGGCGTCTCGAGATCCCAGACGACCTTTGTAGCTGGAGAGCGGACGGATGCAACAGGGAGCAACGGGGTTGGTGGTTGGTGGTTGGTGGTGGTGGGAGCAGGAATTTGGAGAAATGAAGCGGGTTGGGAGAGAGAGCTGGAGGGAACAACAATTTCCGCCGAGGATGACGGAGGAGGAAATGAATTATTTAATAGAAGAAGATAAACTAGTTTGTGTTGGTAGATTGCTCTTCTTCTATTATTTGTTATTATTATTATTATTGTTGTTGTTGTTGTTGCAAGTCAATAATGTCAGAATAAATATATTTACTTTTTCTTCCCGCTGCTGCTGAAATATTGATGTTTATTTATTTAACTATTTAGTTATGCTTTGTAACTACGGATTATCTATTATTTATTTAACTATAGTTATTTATTTATCTCTATAACCAACCAATGCGCTCAGCCTCGTCTCGTTGTCCGCACCACCCACAGCACATCAGCCAGCTTACATGTAAAATATCTCAAGAACTCGCGATTCCTGCAGAACATAATAACAATAACTACATTCTCTCAACAGTCAATCCCCCCTCCAGCTGTATTTTAAGAAACCGCGTCGAACGAGGGTTTGGGGTAACAATCCAAGCCACGATCTCGCACATTTCCCCACCCACCCTCGAGTGCTTCTTCGCGCATTATACTTACTTGCCTGCGAACAAGCTGCATTGGATAATAAATACAATGCGTGCTACAACGATAGGGCGACAGTATTATTGATATATTCCTCACTGTACTGTCCTTTACCAACAACAGAGCACGACAACTGCTTGCGGGCAAGCTACCCCGCAGAAATCGCTGCCAGATGGCATGGACGACGACAAGTACGATGACAGTTTTTCCGACGATGGAATTGACGAATTGCCTCCCGGAACCCTTCTAGAGCTCGAGCGGAATGCCTTCCAGGCTAGCCAGCAGCAACGACCTGACTCCAGAAACGCCAGCAACAATGCCCCTCCAAAGCCCAGAAACCCCAGCTTTGCTTCCCTGGCGCGTGGATCTCTCTCCCGGACCGCCAGCCATACTTCCAGCCGTGGACCGGTCTTGCAGGACCCGTCGCGGCTCCTGCGCCCGCCATTGAGTTTTGGAGATGAGGATTTTCAGGATTTGGACGCTGGAGTCCTAGATGATGGTTGTGGCCCGGACCCGGTTGAATTACAAGATAGAGTGTTTCAACAAAATATTTCGCATGGCAGACTACATCCTGGGGGCCAAGAGGCTGGGTTATGTCCAGACAAAGGAGCAAGGGACATGACGAATGGAAATATTACCCGTCCTGCCGCCCAGCATGCGGCATCACTTGGGAACACCATCATTATGAGTGGAATGGAAGATATGACTACAGATGCGGCGCGGGAGGAACACGGCGCCGCAGCACCAGTTTCGGAAGTCTGGGCTGAAATCGAAGCGATGAAGGAGCAGATTGAACAGGTACGATCATTTTTCCACCACCTCTATAGAAGGTAACCAAAATTTCTGACTCCCAAAAAAAAACAGTTAACTCGAGAGCGCGAGAGAATTGCGCAAGAATTGGCTGCTGCAAAATCTATGACCGAAGCTAAAGCTGGAGAAATTGCTATAATTCGTGCAAATCAAGCAAAAGTCGAAAAGGCACATAGTCGACAACTGAGCACATTACGAACGCAAATGGCAGATGAGCTTAAGAAGTACCAGGCAGAAATAGAGGCTGCAACGATGGAAAGCAAATTACTGACTACTGAAAATGCATTTTTGAAACAAGATCTGAAGGATGAAACTCAGAAGCTGAATGAACTGCGGAAGGCCAAAGCCAAATTGGAGGAGAACCCTCCACTAACACCAAAGAAGTCCAAGATTCTCCCCCTTAGGGATGGGTTTGATGATGACGAAATTATGTTATCCCCTACGAAGTCTGCTGGCAGAAGATCAAAACGAGGTACCCCTTCAGTGTCTGGCGGGCGAAAACGTAAAGCAATCGATGATTCTCCTATCAAAGCTCCTACCTTGGAATTGAGCCAGTCATTTGAGACCAACCTAGGTGACTTCAGCGAGTCGGCAGAGCCGATGGTTATTAATTCCGGGCCACGCAAGCCTAACATGGAAGATCGCAATGTGCGATTTATGCGGAGAATCCTCAACCACAAGACTTATCCAAGTAAAGGACGAGACTTGGAGATATTTACCAAACTCGCCTTTCCGTCTGAACCAGGGCGAATGTTTTCGTCCTTTATTCTTGAAGCAACAACTGCAAAATCCTCGGAAAATTACGCAGTTGAATACGCAAAGGCCATAATATCGCTCTGGTCCCGGGCACTGAAGGAGTCTTTCTACGACCCTGTGGCGATGTTCATGGCCATCATCAAATATATCATCAACCTAGACCCCTCAAATATTGTACCACAACTAATCGACGACCTCCTTCCCGTGCTGCTTAAATCTGGATACGTCAACGGCGTTGCAAGATTCCGCAACTCTCCAGTTTCCCACCAAAATCTTGGCCAGATCAAGCAGACACCCCAGTCCGAGCTACATCACCAGGTGAACTCCACCGAAGCCCTGAACATCCTTTATCTAGCCGCCAGTAGCTGCCAACACGATTTCGACGCCCAACGCAAGTTCTGGCAAAACATCCTCTACGACTTCATCCTCGTAATGCTAAATTCCAACCAACCTATCGACGACATAATCATAACCCTAAACCTCCTCTCATATAGCATCCTCCCAACCTCCTTCGGACCCCTCCTATCCACCCCAGCCGAACAAACCGCCAACGAAAACTACATAATAGACCGCGTCGCCAACCTCCTTAGCGAACAACCCTACGTCGACGAGGGTGAAAAGCCCTACACACCCTGGCAAATCTCCACCCTCCGCATCGAAGCCATGTCCTTCCTAACGACCCTCGCTTTCTCCTCCCCACACCCCTCCCCTTCCAAAAACCACGCCGGCCGCCTCCTCGCTCTCCACCCCACAGCACTAGCGCGCGTCTTCCGCTCCATCCACGACGAGCTGGACGCGCTCTACTCAAACCCGCCCGAACGCGAGTTACACGTTGCCCTCGTCAACGGCCTGACGCGGCTGGCATACGGCATCATGAGCACATTCCGCGACGAAGTGAACCTTCCTGCGAAACTGCGTGTTGTGCCCGGCGCAACGCAGAAGCATCTTGTTGCGCTGACGCGGTTGGCGTTTTGTGAGGGGCCATTGCTGGAGGCGGGGATTGAGGATGATACGGTTGAGATGGCGCATGAGATGTTGGAGGAGGCGGTGAATCCGCAGGAGGCGGAGGCGTTGCTGGAGGCGTTTCGGGTGAAGAGTTTGGAGTGATTTGGGGGGTGTCTAATGGCCCATGCTTATGGTTATGTTTTATGCAACGGGTATGGTATTCTATGAGTTTAAAGATGATGAAGGTGGTGTTTTATGTCGTTTATTGTCGGCGGATTTAGCGTTTACTTTGCCTTGTGTGTGTTTTATCCCCTATCTAACTATGGCGCTTGGAACTGCTTTATTTTGTGTAATGGTCATGTTGGCTCTATATAATGAGAGGGTAACTAGGGCAAATATTATGTTAATGAACGGCTTAATAGGAGTGAGGCGTTTTATACATGTGCAGTTGAAAACTACGTGGTTGAAAGGCGCCAGTCAGATATGTTATTTTATGGGTATGGGGAATTTAGCTGTAGGCGTGAAATACATCAACTGATATATTCAAAACGTTCCTATGCTCATGATGAGCAGACAGAATAAGCCCCTGGTTTGCTTAAGATCTAGAAAATCATGTGACCGGGTCTTCCCCCTGACGTCACTCCTTGCTCATAGCCCCTGGAGACATTGATGCGAGCAGGAAAATATTCTGCAGAGCATGAAGAAAGCTACATTATATTATATTAATCAAAGTATTATTAATCCCCCAGATTGATCAGCCTAATTTTGGTAAAAGTGAAAAAGGTTTCTGTTCTAATTCTAATTCTTTCCTCCCCCAAGCTCCTCTAACTAAATAGCTAGCTCAGAGATTACGAAAGTAAGTGATGCCACGAGCAAAACGGGCGAAGAAATCCACTTCCTCCCCCAAACCGCATCTGCAATCTCAGCCCAAAGCAGTGCAGGGGAAGAAAGAAGAAAAGAACCAAGAGACAGAAGAAACGAAATCCCAACAGCACAAAAATATCACACCCCCAACTTCCCCTCCTAGAGACACATCAGAGCCGTTCGAACCCCCATCTCTCCTCGACGAAGAGGAAGTCCCTGGCCAATCTGATATTGACGCCAGCACAAAGCCAACAACAGCAGGAGCAGCAGTACCACCAAGCCGCCGCGGTGGAGGCACAGGCGGCTATAACGCTTTAAAATCCTTCAGGGGCCAGGTATACACCGGCATGGCCGTCGGGGGCTCTCACACCTGGGAATACCAGCCGGGCATCTGGCACGAGACAAAGGAGGAGCCCGATCTGTGGAAGATAGACTACCGGGCAACGAAGCGGCGGTCGGGCCGCCGGCCGGCTCCCCAGGGCAGCGGCGCAGCCGTCGGCACGGAGTATCACTGGTTCATTGTTGCGCACCAGTACGTCAAGAAGACGGATGCGAATACGTATGAGACGCACATGACTGGGTCGAAGTATAAGCTTGCGCATCGGGGTGCGGAGGCGAAGAGTTGGTCCGTCCCTAGTGTGAAGGACCAGCGGGAGAGGGAGGTTGAGTTGCTGGAGGATGCGGGGAGGAGGGTTAGGGGGTTACCGCCTGTGCTTGCGGGGGAGAAGGTGAGGGTTGAGAAGAGGGAGAAGGGGCAGCAGAGGCTTGATGTTTTGTTTGGGGCTGGGAAGGGCGGGGCTGGGGAAAAGAGAGCTGGATTGGAGCAGGGACAGGCATCGGAGGGGTTGAAGAGGAAAAGAGAGGATGATGATGATGCTGACGGAGCGGATGAGGTTGTGGTGAGCGAGGTAAGTGAAGAGGGTTGAGAGGGGAGGATGTATGAACAAAACCTTCAACTGTGAGATTTCAACAAGTAGTTTTCATGTTGGCAATGTATATATGTATATATATTGTGTATATCAGTGGGATTGACACCAGTAATTCATTTCTGGCCGCGGTTTGGGTATAGTGTCGTCGGGCTATCTAACCAGAAAGCATTCATTCGTTGGCACTACTCGTAGAAGAAATATTTGCATGTAGAGAGAAGAAAGAAAGCAACAAAAAAGGCTAGCAACGTTGATTTCCCAGCGCTATCCTACAGTCGAGGCATTCCAAAGCGGAGAACTCATCATAGTAGATTCGTGGGTGTTCATCCTGTCCAATCGCCATACCACGGCCAGGGATACGACGTTTGAAACATTTCACGACAAGCGTGTTATTGAAACGAGATCTCCCCGCGTCCAGAAATTCTAACCAAGGTATTCAATTATCCATTTATACCAATATATAAATATACACATATCCAAAAACATTTACAATCAAAAAATCTAAATATGTACACCCACCCCTCTCGTCTCAAACTCATCAAATCACCTAGGTAGGTATATCTCATCCTCCTAGGGTTATGTATGTTATGTATGTGACCCTCTATTTCTTCTCCATGCAATTGGCATAGTAAGTAACCGTAGCGGGCCAATCCGAGAAAATGCCCTTTACGCCAACCTGCCTCGCCAACGCATCGATCACATCATAAACATCCCCATCCCCATCCACGGCGCCGGCCACTGACTGGTAATAATACTCCTTATTGGCCGCAACATCCCTCAGCGGACCCGATCTCTCCAACGACCAGGTAACTATATCAAGACCGGCCTTCTTCGCCGCCTTGGCATATCCCGATGCCACAATGCGGGGTTTCTTGCTGTTGCCCTTGTCATCCTCCAGCTCCAAAAGAGCAAAGATAGGCGGTGCCATAATCTTAACACCGCGTTTCGCCAGATCCTTCATGCCCTTTACAGCCGCCTCGTATCCGCTGGGGGTATCGACGCGCTGGTCCAGATAGACGGCCTGGCGCGCGAAGGCGGGCTCATTGTCGATCCAGTAGAAGATGTCATCAGGTAGGAAGGACTGGAGGAAGACGCGGGACGGCTTGATGTGGGCGGCACGGAACTCGTCGACGAGTTGCTGGGCGTACATCTCCTGGGTGTAGTTCTTGCCATCTGGGCCTTGGAAGGGCATGGGGACCTGGGGCGTCTTGAGTTCTGAGGTGAACTTGAGGCCGAGGGAGTCGACCAGGGAGATGAATTCGGCATGAGAGCTTAGCTGGGGACAGCCGTCGGTGTATACATTTGTGCGCCAGTCCTTAATACCGCCTTGGTATTGCTCAGGAGTGGTGGCGGTGTTGTCTGAAGAGTCCATCTTGCCACAGAGAGACTTGAACTCTGCGAGGGTGATGTCGCTGGTGCAGCATTTGGCGGATGCTTCCTCTCTGCCGTCTGCGGAGGCCGGAGTGAAGGGCTTTGTGCACTTGGCGGCGAGTTCAGGAATGGTGAGGATGTTTGTGGTAGTGTGTAGGTCGCACTGGGAGTGGCGGCAGACGAGTTGGAGGTCCTTGGTGAAGGCCACATCGCACTCGATGACGCCGGCACCCTCGCGCGCAGCGGCCAGCCAGGACTCCTTGGTGTGTTCCGGGAACTGAAGTGGGGCGCCGCGATGGCTGATGGAGAAGTCTGAAGGGGTGTTTCGGCGCTCCTTGCAGTTGTCAAGCTTCTTCTTCAGATCGCCCTCGTCCATCTGGTCGACGAGGTAGAAGGGGCGGGGACCAAGCTGGATGTTGGAATAGGGCCGGCCTGATTTACCAGCGTGAGGAGGAGGCTCTGGATTACCAGCGTGGGGAGGAGGCGCGGCGGCAACCAGGCCAGAGGCCAGTGCGCCCACCAAAAGAGTGACGGAGGTGAGAAGCATAGTGAACGACACTTCAGACCACAGCTAGGAAGAATGACCGGATGGAGCAGGGAATTATTATTTTAAGGTCCTTTTCACCGTGTAGACTCCATTTTCGTAACAATTGGGCGGGCATCATGCGTGATTTAATACATTTCCCTCAATGCGCGTAGCGACGCCTGGCCAAGGGCATCAGATCAGGGCAGCTTTGTCTGGGGCATCGCGTGGGAGAAGGGGAGTTTGTTAGTGATCGACATGTTGTTCTGCGCGGTGGTTCTCTTTGCACTATGCCATGGGCCAGGCACTAACAGGCAGGTTCTATAGCACTCCGCACAGCGTGTACAGACCTCCGGCGCCGAGCGTTGGTGTTGCATCCCGATATTATGGATCTGCAGTCACCACATGCGGAGAGGAACCTCCATGATTGGAAGAACGCTCGCCAGAACCTACCCTCGCGGTAGTCTGGCCACCAAAACGCGGGAAAAAAATTGAACAAAGCAAGGAGTAGTTACGCTGGAAAGTCAATCACTAGCCATGTCGCATTGCAGTACGGAGTATACATATACGCAGCGTATATTATTGTTCTTCAACCAGCGAAACTGATCGTACTAAGTTGGACATGGACTGCAACGGTTAGGCCGAATTTGAGCCCTGGGAGTGTCAGTCAGTCGGGGCGGGGTGAAGCTATACAGGTCACGTGGAATATGCACGCCAGGAAACAGGCTGATAAAACAATCAAACTCGGCATAACCTACAATTGGATGACCTTCTGATATTATTCCCTTCACGCTGTTTCGCAGGATTCCAATCCTTTGGAATATTCCAGTTACATATCGACTTATTTCTACGGAGTAGATACATATGTACAAAACTATTATCTCTTCTCCGTCACCACACACAAGGCGCAGCAAAACGATGAAAAGAAAGAATACCTGGGAGGATATTGAATCCCAGAAGGGAGCCAAAGAATATGCCTGTCAAAACCCCGAAGGATGTTGAGTGGCAGGGCTCGCCACGATGTGCAATGTAGGAGCCCCTCCACGGCAGACCGCCTTCTTGATCGCGGATGCCCAAACAAGGTAAGTATGAAGAAGAGAAGAGAAAAAAAATTCAAAGGGAGGACGGGGACAGATGGTATTTATAGGCGGCAAGACGGCGCTGGAACGGCGCTAGTCTAAGCGAGATGGCGACATGGACGTTGATTGGTTGAGCCTGTTACATAAACATCTGGAGGCGGAGTAATGTTAATCCTTTCAGTCCGGAGCTTCTATTTCTCCTTTTTGGGCAGTGAGTGGCACGTGACTGGGAGTTCGGGGAGAATTTTGAGTGCGGGAAAGGGAAAAGGAAACGGAGACACCGCACCACCACGTTATCAACAGCAAAGCTATCAAGTGCGGGATACATACGAGAGAGAGAGAGAGAAAAAGGGAATTTCCATGGTCTACCCTCCCTACTGCACCAATTGCTGAGTGTTGCATCCGCGCAGCCATGAGGACCAATCCCTGGAAGCTCGTGAGGGCTGGAAGGAGGCCGGCGGTCAGTAGGAGTCTACATTATGCCCTTGTCTATTCTGATTATTCACTTCTAATCCCTCCTACAGAAAGTCCTTCAGTCGTGGAACAAAGTCAATCTCTACAACCTCAAACACGCCAGCATTCCCCATACCTCCAACAAAACCTTCTTCCAGCAGAAATGGATCGCCAAATCCCTAGCCCGCACCTACCACGGCGAGCAGGTTCGCGAATCGCAGTGGGAGAAAATGTTCTCCCGTCGTCTGCGCTCTGTCGTACCCATGGACGCCAATTACCTGGCCCGAAATGATGGTTCCTTCGAGTCCGCAGGTCGAGGCTCTGGTGTGGAAGGTGTTGGTCCGCGCAAGGCCCCGCTCACGCCTCATATGCAAATGACGTTTGCGCCGCTGGAGCGGAGGCTGGATGTCGCTATCTTCCGGGCCATGTTTGCTAGCAGCACGAGACAGGCGAGGCAGTTTGTTGTACATGGTTTCGTCACTGTCAATGGGACTAAGGTTAGACAACTCCACAAGTATGCTCAAAAAATGATATATTACATTGTAGTAGCAAGACGCTCATGAGAACCTAATATATATATATATATGTATGTATATATATAGATGAGACATCCAGGATACCTTTTGAATCCTGGCGACCTCTTCCAAGTCGACCCCGAGCGAGTAATGTTTGCGACTGGTGCACCCAAGGACCCTCAACAGCGCCGCAGAGGTCGTAAACGGCGCAGTCGGACACCGACAGAGGCTGCCTCGGAGGAAGTTACCAAAGCAGACGAAGAATCTGCAGAGGCCAGTGCAACTGAAGAAACGACTGCTGCATCCACTGGGGGAGCCGGGGAATCTACAGGAAACGCAGAAAACACAGGGCAATCCAGTGAAAATGCAGAATCAAAAGAGCTATCCCCCGAAGAGGCACGGAATGCTTTAACCCGTCTCCTCTCCCAGGCTAAGGAGATAATGAACAACAAGGACGTCTCCGCCCCTGCTCAGAGACTTAATCTCAACAATTTCCGCAAGGGGGTCCGACAAGCCCTCTCTAGCGCCTTCTCCAGCACCAACATCGTCGAAGACCTCGAAGCCCAATTCCTCCAACTAAAAGCCCTGGCCGAGAAATCCCCCTCCGACTCAAAATCCACAACCGAATCTTCCACTTCCACCTCCACCTCCTCCACCTCCACCTCCTCCGCCAAGCTCCCCGAATCCATTCTCCCCACGTCCACCTCTTCAGACACATCCTCAACAAAACCCACCTCCTCGCCCAGCACCCCTCAAGACCCTGTCCTCGCGGCTGCCCTCAAGCAAGCAATCGAAAACCCCACCGCCCCGCTCGATGAAACAACGCTTCCACAGATCTCGGAAGAAGACCTCGCCGTCCTCCGCCAGGCGCTGTACCAGATGCACGAGAACCCGCTTGACAGTCTGAAGCCATATGCCACCCCCTGGCGGCCGCGCGACTACATGAGCGCGTTCGCGTTCATCCCGCGGTATCTGGAGGTGAATCAGAATATCTGTGCGGCGGTGTATCTGCGGCATCCGGTTGCGAAGCCGGGGAGGTCAGAGGTGCCGTCGCCGTATCCGGATTCGATTAACGGGGCGGCGTTTGTGTGGTATTTGAGGAGGAGGTAGATCTAGTTGTGGCTTGGTTTTTGTTGGGTGTCATTCTGTTTGTTGTATTGGTATGGACTTTTTCTTGTAGTGGCGGTAGAGAAAAGGAGTAGGGGTTTTTTTTTCTTTTTCTTTTTCTTTTCTTTTCATTTATTTATTTACGTGCGTGTTTAATTGTGATATATATAACACAGTGTATAGTAGAATACTTTTTTATATCTTGGTGAGCTCTATTGTTTGTTTATCCTATTGTGACACATTTTGTGTCCACCCTGACGGGGTGGAGATAGCGTAGTGGTAGAAGCGCTATCCATGGAAGGCCCATGGTAAGTAGAAACTGGCTATGAGAAGATGAACCCTTCTGAGAGACACCAGGGTTGCAGATTCAAATTCTGTCTTCATCATCACAAGATATATATATATATATATATATTCAATAGACAGTTCTAGTATATAAGGATTTGTCTTTATATTCACTCTGATTTTGTCATTGGTTCTACAGCATAGAGTAGATAGAGCCTTCAGGACCGGGTTCTTACATCAGACAGCTGGCTTCCATCCTTTTTTTATATAAATTATTATTCCAAGTCTTGTTGTTCAATGGGATGTCCCGTATTGCTAAAACCAATAATACGCAAATTACCACACATTTCCTGCGGCACTAGTCACAGAACGCGGGTAATGCGCCATACATTGATACGGCGCTGGGGTTGCAAACAGCTTAATCGGGCCTAGCGGCATCTCTTCCCCCGCGCAGTTTGATTTTTCAAACCTTCTAAAAGTCCGCTTGTTTTGATTGTTGCTTTTTTTTTTTTATTATTTCTTTTTCGTGTTTATTTTTACATGTTTTAAATATATATTTTTTTGAAGCCCGATTCTTATGATTATTAGATCGTTCGAGTCATTTTATTGGTCTTTTGCGGTTCTTCTGTTTTAGCCCCCTGTTCTATCTAGCCACTATTGTTGAGAAGAAGAAATTTTTCGTTTGCTTGTTTTATTTTACAGCGTAAACTCCATTATTCTTCTTCTACCTTAGTTTTCTCCTTATTTTTATTTTTATTTTTATTTTTATTTTATGTTTATTTGTTTTTGATAGTTGAATTTTTCAAAACAAAAAAGCAAGTGCAAAAAAAAAAAAAAAAAATTCAAAAAATCAAAAAATCAAAAAGGGAAAAGAGGGAAAAACTCGAAATTAGCCAGAACGGGAAAAGCCGACGACATCCTGAGGACGGGACGAAATCCCTCCCATATCAGAACAATCCATTCTCACCACCACGGGCAGCGACCAACCCTATCGTGCAGGGCGATCGCAGGTGAGAGAAGAAAGGAGCAGCTAAAGAAGAGGGGGAAAACAGGAGATCAATATCTGGCTTCTCGTCGGCCGGGTACATATGCTTTCAGACACCGCGGGGAGCACGACAATTACTATTTACTAAATACTTTTTTTTCTTTCTTTTTCTTTATGATTTTTCTTTATTTTGTTTTACTTTTTTAACATAAAATATCCCCATATGACAAAGCAAAGCAGGGAGCAAAATAAAATCAAAGGGAGTCAGACGCGCAATTTCCGGACAAATGTTTAACTGGCATACAAGCGTCGAACATCCGCCTCCTCAAGGGAATCCTGTATCTGCTCGACAACAGCATCAACTCCCGCACCAACAGCACCAACAGCACCAACAGCATCAACAGCATCAACAGCATCAACAGCACCAACAGCATCAACAGCATCAACAGCATCAACAGCACCAACATCAACCGCACCAACATCAACAACACCCGCACCAACAACACCCCCATCAGCATCAGCGTCAACACCAGCAGCACCAGCAACAACAACAACAGCAGCAGCAGCAGCAGCATCAGCAGCAACAACAGCAGAACCATCACGGTCCTTCTCTACAATGGCTCCCCGCTGCCCCGCCGCTCCCTAGACCGCTCCCCAACACCCTTCCGCCCCTTTCTGCTGCCCTATGCCCCCCCAATAACTTCGGGTCCACCACCCAAAATGACCCAGCCGTCCTACACACCCCCGCATCCACTGACCACTCGCTATCAGAAAGCTCCAGCATTCGTGAGAACGCCGTTGTCGAAAACGCAGTCGATCTAGATCCCGAACCCACATATGACCACCCTGCTCCAGGCCCTGAGCCCAGCTCCGATGATGTTGAAATAGACGGAGGAGGAGGGTCCACACCGCGGCAAGCAAGTCGCGTAGGCCCCGGCCGAGGCGTTGATATAACACTGTTGGAAAACGAGACGCCACGCAAGCACGGCAAGCGGCTAACGACGCGCGAGGAGACCGCGCTCTTTGAGATTTGCAACCGGCACGCGGCCACCTTTGGCGAGCGCAACCGCCTGTGCGAATGGTGGGTGAACGTGACGCAGGAGTTTACCGCGTCGGAGGGACATCCGTATTCGTGGCATAGCGTACGGCGCAAAGTGGAGCTGGTGACGCAGCAGCGCATTAAATTCCTTGCCGGCATGGATGGGAAGAGGAGGGATGATCAGGCCGATGCGGCATGGAGCGCTGCTGTCGATTCCTGGATTCCGGCCTGGAAACGGTTTCAGGAACAGGAAACTGAGCGCATCAATGCTAAGCAGGGCAAAAGGGGCCGGAAGAGGAAAGCGGTGGTTGACGCTGAAGGGGTGGGGCTGGGATTTCAGCATATGTTGCCGCCTGGGTTCGACACGATGTTCCCACCGTCATCCAAGCCGGCCAAGGTGACTCGGATGGACCCTCCGGCCTCTATACCTGCCACTACTGCACCAAGCTCAACCACAGCAGAATCTGTTCAGGCCGCCCCGCCTTCTAAACAGCAGAAGCAGCAGCAGAAGCAACAAAAACAGCAACAGAAGCAGCAGCAGAAGCAGCAACAGAAACAGCAGCACGTTCCCACATCAATACCCGTCCAGCCAACCTCGCAACAGACAGCCGTATCCAACACAGCAGCAATCCTAGCCGCCGCCGCATCCTCATCCGCCTCGTCAACAGCAGCAGTAGCCGCAACAGAACCCAACGTCGGCGCCGCCATCCTAGAAACATTATCAAAGCTCAACAAGAACCTCGAAGCCGTCTCATCCCGCACCCACCAATCCAACGCCATGTCCCTCGCCGCAGCAGCCGCTGCTGGTGCCCATCCACACTCCCACCCTCACCCTCACCCTCACCCTCACCAGCATCAACACCAACACCAACAACAAAAATCTTCCCCGAACCCCACGATCGCCAGCCACGGCCGTACGGCGGCAGGAGCAGGCGGGGCCACAGCAGCAGCAGTAGGAACAGGACCAACGCCCGTTCAAAACTCGATATCAGCGTCAACGCTGCACCAGCTAAAGTCTGAGCTGCGCGCGGAGCTGCGGCAGGAGATCCAGAAGGATCGCGCGCAGCTGGAGGAGAAGTTGGATTCGGTGCAGAGGACGCAGGAGATGATTTTGGAGTTGTTGCGGCAGGAGCCGCAGTAGGTTTTTTGTTTAGCTTTTTCGTTCTTTCTGCCTTTTTTTTCCCCCCCTCCCCTTGTAGCGAGGGAGGGGAGATATGTTCTAGCCCTTCTTTAGCTTGGGGAGAAAGAGGTGGACGGTGGACGGGGTTGATGAGATATTAGGGATTGGTATGGTCTGGAGAGGGGATGGGATGGGGGAGCGTACAAGGACTGAGGGAGGGATATATATGCAGTTGTTGGGGCATTTATGAATGTTACGACCTTTTTTCTTTTCCTCTCTATCTTTGTTCCTCTTTTTATGCAGCCACACCCACATTGGTTTATTGTCTATGTTCTGTTTTGTCTTTGCTTCTGGTTCTGGTTCTACGGTAGTATTGCGATTTTCTCTTCTCCTTCGTGTCAGTTTGGTTTCCTTTTTCAGTATCTCTTTTTGCCTTTCCCCTTTTGTGCCAGGACCACCTGCAAACTGCAAACTGCAAACTCCTCCGCTGTCCCCCCCTAATCCCCTAGTCCCCTTTCTTATCCTCCCCGTTCCTTTCCCCCTGTTCTACTACAGTTACAGTTAAACCGGCCAGCTGGAGACTGAGCCCTCACGCTTGCCTCTAACTCGCTATTTGCGCGCAATGCTCTTTTCATCTATCTTTTTGCCCCCCTATCTACCTGATGACGACAAATGGGACATGTATATGTAAATAATATACTACAACGCGCATGTATATACTATATATCAAGTTTCTCTTGATGATGACGACGACGATGATGATGATGATCTATCTAGCTGGGCGTATATCATTTACTTTTATTGTTGTTGTTGTTGTTATTTATTATTGTTGCTTATTCTTCTCTTAGGCGCACGAGATGATGACCCGCCCCCCCTCCCTCCTTGTAAGAAAAGCAAATATCTTGAGTGGTTTGTGAATTTGTTCATGAACGGGATATATATATATATATATATATATATATCAGAAACAGATGTCAATGTGCTCCCCTCCGCTATTCTCGCGTCTCGCTAGCAACAACTTCCTACGTCTTGAAATACTCCTTGCCTCTTAGATGATTCATTGGGATGAAGAGTTATACCATAATACAGTGCATTTTACGTACCTTGAGAAAAAAAGCACACGGATTCGGGAAACTGTGGTTTGCAAAGAAACAGCTATAGATAGATAGGTAGATAGATAGGTAGATAGGTAGGTAGGTGATAGATTGGAGGGAGGAGGCGCAGGGCACAGCTCACTCAATTTTCATATTACTCCACTACTCACGGGAAGGGGGCCGGGGGGGGGGGGAGGAATATGAATAGAAAGTACAGATTTTTGCAAACGTAAGACAGAAAAGCAACAAAAAGGAGCGGAAATTTTTAGGGACAGGACAAAGGTGGAGAAAAATCCATTTTTTTGTTTCTTGGTGGGCACGGTAGGTAGGTAGGTAGGTGAGCTAGAATACAGAGCATTAAGATACGTGAAGGGGGGGGGGAGGGGAAACAAAATAAAGCCAGAAAAACAAAGAGGTAATAACAAAACAGGGGACTGACGAAAGCTCAAGTAATAAAAAAGACATATGGGAAAAGGTTAAAATTGTCCAAGCTGGTTTTGCTTGTTATAGCCCACCAATCCATCCATCACTCGCTAGCGTTTTTATCGTTTTAAAAAGTCTACTTACAGAGAGAGCACACCCACCAAAAGAAATTGAGAGGGAAACGGCAAAAAGGGAAACTAAGATAACAAGGTGGGGAGGGGTTATGTGTTGCAGGTTTTAGTTGTGGTTGATAGCATCGTGGGGTAGTAGAAGTGTTTTAATAATAGAAAGTCTCATCAATAGTTCGTCCGCGTGTCCATTGCGGTTCACTGCCGCGAACATACGTATCCTCAAACAAAATGCGCGGCGTAGCATCCGGCTCGGCCATCAACTCCGCCTCAGCAACCTCATCATCAACATATTTCCTAGCATCCTTATCGATGGCCTTCAGCTCCTCCTCGCTCGTGACGCCCCAATCGAGCAGCTTCTGCTTGAGGCCTGCAATGGGATCGTTGGTGCTGCGCATCCGCTGGATCTCCTCACGGGTGCGGTATGTGGTTCCTGGATCAGACATGGAGTGTCCGCCATATCGGTAGGTGACGTATTCGAAGACGAGAGGCCCCTTGCCTGACGTTGTGTACTCACGGCCATATTGGACGGCAGCCTTGATGGCAAGGACGTCCATTCCGTTGATTTTCAGGCCGGGGATGTACTGTCCGCGCTTGTAGTAATCGGTAAGGGCGGAGGAGCGGTTAGCGGAGGTACCCATGCCGTATTTGTTGTCTAGAATACGTGCAGTAGGTTAGCGTAGTTTTTTTTTTTTTTAATTTTTTAATTTTCCCAGTATATATATACGCGTATTGCATAAAGGAGAGACACTCACTTTCACAGCCAAAAATGCAAGGTAGATTCCATAGCTTAGCCATGTTGAAGGCCTCAAATACTTGGCCTTGGTTGGATGCTCCATCGCCATATAGGGTGATGGTGGTGTTTTTTTCCCCATTGTACTGTTGGGCAAAAGCCAGGCCAGCACCAACGGGAACCTGAGCTCCTACAATGCCGTTGCCACCATAGAAATTTTTGGCGAACATATGCATAGAGCCACCTTTCCCGTATGCAATGCCCTCTCGACGCCCAAGAAGCTCACCAATAATCGACTTTACAGTTCCACCACGCAGCAATGCAAAGCCGTGGCATCGATAGGCAGTGATTAATTTATCGTCCTTGGTAATAGCATGTTCAATACCGACCGCAACTGCTTCTTGTCCCGTCGATAAATGGCAGAATCCTCGAATTTTCTTTTCTTTGTAGAGCCGATCCGAAGCCATCTCCATTCGTCTGCGTCAAATGTTAGACAAAGGGAGGATGTATAAAAGTGCCAGATCGCGCAATAGCGCAATATAGTGATAAATTACCTTATGGAAACCATATCATGGTACATCTGTTTCAACTCCCTCTTGGTAGTCTGGAGGGTGTACGGGGGAGGGTCGAGCTCATATGTTTCGAAGCTCTCGTCCGAGAGCTTGACTGTGAACGGTTTATCCTCTTCCTGGTGCAATTCAATGTAGAGTTAGATGACAGCGTAACTACAGATTGAGAGATTGGGAGACGGGGTGCAAGTGGAAATTATTGAGCACTTACAGCTGGGACAGCTTCAGCATGCGCGGAAGCAGCATCGGTGGTGACGGTTCGCCTTACTACTGGGACAAAGGTCTTGCGGCCCAGAGGGGCAACCTGCCGGGCACGGATCACTCTGGAAAACATTGTGAGGTGAGACGAAGCTCAATGCGCAAGGAACGGGGGGAGGCGGCGGAAGAGGAGGAGGAGGATTGTGGTTGTTGTTGATGTTTTCTCAGCAAGGATGCGGCAGTAGTTTGCTCACCAGAGAACGTTGGGGAAGCCAACAGGGAAGCGCGCTAGAGCTGTTTGGGGCAAGCGGCTGATTATGTCACCGGGCGGCTCCAACTGACTGCCAGCTTCAACCTCAACTTCCACTTCCAACTTCTAAACTTCAACTTCAACTTCTGCTACAATGTCAAGCGTTCGGGGGAGACGAGGAGGAGTCTGTGCATCATGGTGCCGCAATTCGTTTCACACTGAGTCCATATTCTGTTCGCCTGGATATATCACCTGATCACCATCAACCAAATCTGACGTCCGCACTTTCTATGCTTCAACACCTAGAATATGCCGCGGATATGCCACGGATACCAGCAGTGCCAGATAAGCCACAAGCTGCTGCAGAGCCAGCTTGTTTGGAGCTTTACCTATCAAGAATGGGATATATCTTGCATATCCACATCAACGAGACCAGCCACTTCCTCAACCTACGGTTTTAGCTTACTAAAGTAAATGCTTCAAGGAAAAATGGGCGTTTGGAGGTACCGCTTGCCTCCGCCTGGCTGGTGAAAGTGACCGAGATGTTCTTGATTTAAACGGTGGCTAGACAATGAAAATGAAAGATTCCCTCCTGTCTACAGACACCAAGAATCAATGGCCAAACGCGACGACAGCACCTTGGTTATATTTCTTGGCATTTACAACATAAGCTCAACCAACTTCCTGGTTTACCCATCCTGTAAGGCTAACAGTGCCTGTAAGGGGGTTCCTGAGCCCCTCAACGCGCCCCAATGTGGAATCAGTCGAGCACAAAGCTTTAAATACAGTTCATTGGAACTATCATTCTCCATGATGTTCAGGACAGCTATACTGCCAACAGCCGCGAAATAAAATATATTTTGGCTAGCAATTTCCAATCACCTCGGTTTACGAGCCCCTGTTTTATCCCTCTGTTGAACTATATTTCCTCCGGAATGGTTTGTTGCCATATACAGTTACCAGAGATACTTGACAAGTGCCCAATGTGTGTCTTGAAGGGCGCTTTGCAGTTACACGTCAACTACCTTTATTAAAAAAAATAAAATAAAAAGGATTGGACGGTACATTCCTTTCTACTGCCGCTGGCTCTCATCAGTCCCATGAAGGAAGAATGCTATTTAAGAACGCCGTTGTAGCGCCAGCTTCTTCTCTTCTCTCTCTCCTTCCTCTATTAGAACTCATCCGGTCCTTTGACTTCAAACCCAAAGCAGGATCACCACCTTCATTGTTTCCATTGCCTTTCTCTATTGCCATTTTCTGCTCTTTTGTTCGGCCATATCGTATCATACTTTCCCGAAACAAGACACGGACTAGCATAGTGTGCCCCCGCCGAAAGTGAAGTTCCAACTGTGAAATGGAGATCATGTACAGGTTTGGACCAAATGACCTTTTAAACACAATGCCAAGTAAATATTGATTCTGTTTCTGACATAACTGTTCCACATCCCTGGGACGCACGCTCATTAATAATGCCTTGCGCCTCATAGTGAGCTCCGACTCCCAAAATCTGAGAAAGGAACTCATAACGGGTTTTATGGAGGCGGCATAAGAAAGTTTGGGGATCGCAGCGGAATCGAAAGCTATTCCATTAACGTTTTCGCCACCGGCGCTGTGTACTCAATCATGGATCAAAGTTTCAAACGTCTCAGACTAACTGACGAAATCGGCATCGTTGGCTTTAAAAAAGGAGACAAAACTCCTTAAAGAGGTATCCAAGTGGCATTCGTGGAGTACGACCCCATCATTCAGCGATACCTGGCTCGAATCCCTTGATATATGTTGCCTGGAGGAAAATAATAGAGACGCGGTACGTCGAAGAAGCTCTTGAACAGAATTGGCTCATTTTTCAAACCCCGGGCTTACAAGTTTATGCCTTACCTACCCTTTTCTTAGTTGGCTGGACATCACATTTCTGGGGCATTTCTGATTTGGGTGAGATTATGGAGTCTGCAGCTCACTGGTTGTGCGAGTATCTATTGTCGGAGGATAAGGCGTACCTGGAGTTAATAGAAATATGGTCCTAAAATCCTCAACAGACCATCACCTTTAGCATTTGAGCCATACATAGATAGTTACATAGATACATTCCTGTCTATTCAAGGTTTTTTTTCCTTTTGTTTTTAAACGAAAAGAGATAGAGATAGGATAGAGGAATATTCCATGCATATTTATTCAACAACATTGAATTAGCCAGAACAATCCCTTCAAAATCCACCACGACATTACACAATGTATGTACTGTAACTTTCTGAATACTATAGGCATAATAATGACATACAAAGAACAAAGCAACCTAACCTCCTCATTCATTCCGTATCTATTCTCAGCACCACTCGCAGACAATGATAACAGAAATATGTCAGTTGAAAAGAGCGGTTGTTTCCCATTGACAGCCCGCAATTGAACAATGAAGTTAATAAAACTTACCTAACACGGCTCATGGGAAAGTACTCTCTATCTATACCTAGATTTCACCAGTCACACGCCATCCGATTGGAACTTTGTCTGACCAAAACCAAAAAGAAGAGAAGAGAAGAAGGAAAGGAAAGATGTGGCGAATTGGCCTTCTCCGGGTAAAGGATGCGGGTTTTGTTGGTTGTGTCTGTGTGTGTGTCAGGGAGGGAAGGGATTATTAATGTTATTGTCATTAACTAGTTAGCTAACTTCCTTATATTAACTCGGAGATTGGCGTGGAGACAAACCCATGGAAGGAGGAGTGTAAGGATGGATGATCCCAGCCTGGTGATTTGATCGTACCGGGCTGCGATGACAGCCAACCCGCCATTTTGCAGTTCCGAGTTGCAAAGAAATGCATTATGTGGAGAGAAAAGCATGTAACAGAGCATTTCTAAGAAATAATCTATCCATCTATCTAGTCCACACTTAAATTTGTGTGAACCATAGTTATCTGATATCCGGACGCTCAGTTGGTGACCACTGCACAAATGGGAACAAAATATCACCAAACCGCGGAGTCTAGAATGGACGAGAAACTGTGGGGATGGATATTCGTCATTGGAATAGCTGAAATGGCTACATGTAAGATGGAAAACAACAATTATCTAATAACTAAACAAAAGTAGGTGACAGGGGCTGAAATAAATAACAAAATATGATAAATGAAATCCATTAAATAAATAGAAAACCTAATATCGCATTGTACAGAGAAGACACAAATATCTATTATCAACACTTCCCAGTTAGAAATTTCAATGAGCATGTTGCACAGAGCCAACTCATCATCAATACTAGAAATTCGCAAACATCCACCGGCTGCAAGATAAAGAAAAGCAAGACAAAAAATTATATCTCTGGGTAGCAACTCAGACGGCTATCACTGGGGTCGGCTCCGACGCAGTGATGGCACGTCAGCAGGTTCTTCGGGTCCACCTGCTTCTTGATCCGGAGGAGCCGGTTGTAGTTCGCCCGTCCCCAGAAGCTGTCGATATGGTTTGGTTCGTAGGTATCGGCTTCATTTTGGTAGGCGCCGCCATCTGGGGTAATGTTGCGTAGTGGCCGCACCATCGCGCTCGCTTCTCTGAAACGGTCGACGAAAAATTCGGGAGGATGCTCGTTCTGGCCGTCAACATCCCAGGCTTTCTGCATCACCACGTGCCAAATTGCCTTTCTCTGCGTTTTTATCATACGTTAGCGATCGGCACAAAGAAAGAAAAGGGAAGAGGGTGGAGGTTTTTAGAGAGAAAGAAAGCAAGAGGAATGAAATACTGACCCATGCAGGAGTGACGGATGCCTCTCCGGGACCTCCAGGCTTGTCCGAGTCGGGCAAGTCAGCCGCGTAAGGTGCAACCATGTTAAGACCGTATCTCATTTTCGAAAGGACATCTGTGAGCTCCCGTCGCTTTCCTTTATTTTTGAAGTTCTTGTCGGTAACAAGACGCGAGGCCTGCGCGATGGAGATACCGTTGACGAGGACACCAAAGTATTGCATCGCAGGAGTTCGGAGGAATTCCCAGTAGTTTTCAACTGTCGTTACGTCCACTCCGAAGCGAAGGGTACCGTCGTTACGAGGCAGGGCGAAGTTAATCAGTTCTTTCATCGAGAGTTTTGCTTCGTCGAGAGTAAGTTTGGGCGTGATCGCCATCATGATGCTGGATCCGTCTCCGAGACTAGCCACATATCCTCCCCATCCGTCTTTTGCCCATTTCACACCATTATCCACGAGGATTTTCGTCGTCTGCTTATCCAATGAACCTTTCCAGGCGATAACTGCCGTCTTTTATACAGAAAAGGTTTCAAAGTCAGCACAGCTGCACTGGCGGAGATGGGGGTCACTGGTATACAAAGATCACTCACTTGCAAGGGGACTTCAGGGAAGACACGAGCGGTTGTCTCTACTATCACACCGAAAGTAGCACCGCCGCCGCCACGGACCGCGAAGAAAATATCCTGATTTTGACACCGGTTGGCAGTGACATAGGTGCCATTGGGTAGCACAACCTTAATCTGAAGGACATTATCAACACCGAGACCATAGGCAGGGGAAAGCAGACTGTGGCCGCCGCCAGTAAGATAGCCTCCCGACGCGCCCACCGTTGGGCAAGCTCCGCCTAACGCCTTCAGGAAACTAGTTAGCAAAGGGAAAACCACCTGGTAACGGCTCGAAAATGTAGAGAAACCATATCACGTACCATGTATCCATTTGCGTGAGCAAAGTCATAGATACCTTGGAAACCCTGGCCGGCCCCATATGTTAAAGCGGGGCCAGAGCATTCCTCACATTTACTGGCTCTGAAGCTTTTGTGCAATTTAATTGGGGGCTGGAGGTTGTGTGTCCTGTAGAAAAGCATAGTCGAATTGATTCAACGAGTTAGATGCTGGAAGAGTCCGACCAGAGAGTGGAAAGATTATTATCGTACCAGAGGGCCAAGCTGTGAGCACCTGCACTGCGACCCTTAAAATCGTGTCCCGTATTCTTCACCACCAAGGGGATATCGTGTGCTTCCGCAAACCTCAATCCTGCCTGGATATCCGAAACTTTCCGCACATCAATGTAATAGTCCGGTACGTTGCCCTGATAGCAAGTGCCGTCATTCACCAGCAATTTTGTGAGCGGACACCCATGCCCAGTAGTCATGCAGGTCCCATAGTATGGGTTGTGATATCCTCCGGGCTGCGCGGAGATAAATTCGACATTGCGCCGGTTGTCCTGTGCGATTTTGCAAACTGCTTGGTCTGGGGTATGAAGGGACCGCTTGAGCCGGAGGCTATCTACCTCGTATCTCAGGTAACAAGGTTTTGCAACAGGTCGTGCGACACCGAGACGGCCCTCGACACTAGCATTCAGAGCTTGCCAGTCGGCACCAGAAACATCACGGATTTCAGGGACAGGAGATGCAAACAATGGCAAAGCGTTGACCAGGGCCAGCAAGAGGCTAGATTTTCGAGTAAACATAACTGCCTCTTTGTCAAGTACATAAGCACCTAGGGAAAGGAATGAAAGAAAACGGGAAAGAAAAGAGCACTTTTTCGGGGCCGCAATGCATGTATATGAGAAACCGCGGTCGGCAGACGGCTGGTAGTCATCTCCTCCCGCCCAGGCCCAGCTCTGGTTCCAACCTACGTTAACTCAAGTGCAGTGCAGCGGGTCTAAATCGCCCAGGGTTGCAGATTCATGCATCCATCGTGCGTCGGATCCGGTCCCACCTTGGAGCCTTTAAAACAATTGAATAATAATAAACAGTTGTCATAGAGGCTGCAGCTCTTTTCAAGCAAAGTCTTCGACCAGTCTTCGTACCAATGGTACCATTAGTTTAAGAATTCACGGCTTCGCAAGACTGTATCCGAGGGCATCTCAAAAACGTCTCCAAACTCCAGAGGGCCAGCAGATCCCCAGGGTTGGTTTTTCTGCGGCTGCCAAGTCCACTCAGCCTCAGCCACCCCGCTAAGCATCTCACTGGAGTTGTTCGGTAGTTGATATTATTATTTATGTTGTGTGTGAAGTGCCAGGTTTAATATTAAGGGTCTGATGTCGGGGGGGGTGTTGTGTGGTGCTCTCCTCTCGCGGTAACTAATTGGAACAACACTGGCGCTGGGGATTGGTGAGATGTAAGTTAGCGATTGGTCCAGGCGGCTATGCTCCTTTCGGAACCCTACGCAGTACAGTAACTTACGTAGTAAGCTCAGGTACGAAATTGCTTGCATCGCATCGACCAACTGCCATTAGCCCCTTAGTTCCTGAAGCTGCCTGGGTGTTCCCTGTTGCCCCGGGGCTTGAGATCCAATAGGCGAAAGGCGAGGAGCTAATGTAAAAATCAGATTCTATCGTAACTCTCGTTTCTGGAAGTTGTGGAGTGAAGAATGTCAACATAATTTTGCCCACATTTTAAGGTCCTTTTGTTCAAGCAAAAGAAGCAGCAGACCTGTCCACAAGAGAGGAACAGGAAGAACCTGGGAAAACCAGAATAGCATCTGGGCGATAATCATTGCATCAGGGAATTTCTACCGTCGAAAATATCTAGTGTGCAATCCCTGCTGTGTTGGCTTATCGTATCCCCACCGTTCGCTTCTCAAAGGAGAGAATAATGCGAAGTAGCGTGCTGGAAAATTGATAACCACGATCGAATTAGAGGAAGACACCGTTTCAATCGCCATGTGGGATGCTTTAACATATTTTCAACATGTCTTTCTGTTTCTCTGAGCATGGATATATATATGTATACCCATGTGTCCATCAGAGAGGCATTATTAGGTTGGCACATGTTAGATGCCCCGACCTACTAAATTTATATCAAGTTTCTGATGGGATCCCATCAACCAACAATTGCTTTTTTCACTTCTTTCTGGGATTGGATTTCTGGTTCAATAATTGCTCCAGTGGATTTGCAGAACTGGCTGTTCATTATTATTATTGTTCAAGTGGCAAACATTCAGCCAAAGCATTCTGAATGTTATTGGCGCGCGCCATTTCATTGGGCCATTCGACAGGGGAAAACAATACTAATATTTGTACTCCGTTATGCAAACAGTGGTTTGATCCACCCGATGGTCGTTTTCATTTCATTCATGTTGACTGCTGCCATCCGGAAGTTTGCCCATTCTACTGTACTCCGTACTGTACTGCGTAGTTACGCAGCGCAGTGGCGTCTCAAACCAGCTACTACGCAGGGTAACTTGCTAAGTTTGAATCACACCTTCCTTCGGCTGTCGAATATAAATGTGGCTTGAAATTCCCCAGCGAGTGATTGGCGCTAACTGGCACAAAACATGCAATCCAGAAGCTTCCGAGTTGGGCCAATCGGTGAAATGATGGATATGATATGCAAAAGAACGTCGGGTGAAAGGCCAAATTATGCGAAAGTCCTTCTCCACTCCAATAAAGAGGTCCAAATACAAATACAAATACCCAGCTCCAGGCTGATGATTGGGAGAACTGGAAAAAGAAAATACTTGCCTAAAAGAGAGTTTAAAGAAACGGGAGGGACAAGCCCTTGTCACCCTATGTCCACGTTTTCGGCAAATTGAAAGCCACTAATTCGAAAATGTCGCTTATCCGCCTGCTATCATTTCGATGCGGATCGATTGGCCCTGGCGCGGTGTGTTTAAAACTTGCTGTGTCGTAGCCTCGCAGGTGGTGACAGGACGGACTGGAGGCTTTTGGGCGCAACTCAAATTTCCCCCGCTGAAACCTCATCCAATGACTGTTGGAGAATCAACTGCCGGATCAACAAATCGGCGCCTTATTATTATTTCCTGGCGGTTCCTCAGCATGTACGCATAGTATTTTTACCCTTTTGACAGCTGTCCCATCCTGACTTGCCTAGCAGCCGGGCCTGTTTGCTATCACAGATGACCACCGCTGGTATCGATGGGAGAGACACACCCGAGGAGGCCGAGCGAATGGCACTCTCACTGCTGTGGAGTGAGATCATTAAATTCTCCACTGTGGCACGAATAGTACTTGTCTTTGCACGCACCCTGGCAATTCAACTCCCGAAATTCTAACTTCCCCTGGGTGCCTGGCGGAAGAAATCCTCCGTGGTCTTTACCTTAGCCACCCAATCCTAAAATAGCTTCCCCAAACTCATCCAATCTTTGAAATTACTCCGGCCAGGGACGACTTCTGCGCTCTTCTGGTGTGGTTTTGCAGGGCAATATGTGCATCGCGTAATGGCATCGCCAACGCTTTACCGCCACCATCTACTCTCAGGATTTATTGCTTTATCGTCAAACCAGGGGGGGGCAAACCAAACCGCTGTCTGCTTCAGCCAGCATCGGAGGAATAGCTTAACAACTGGCAGAGCCCTTAAATATCCTCATATCGCGAAGAAGTGAGCCTGGTGTTGCAACTTGCAAGAGCAGTCGAGTCGTCTGCCACGGAGGCGTCTGATGGCCTGGCATGCCGCTTAAACCCTCGCAGCTGCCAGCCTATTCCCTATGTGACTGGCTGGCTATACACTCTTGAACCACTGCCCAGCTTTTCCCATTCCAAACAATGCCATGGGAACTTCCTCCTTTTCTGAGTTTGTGTCTTGTGGTCTCTTGAATTCCATTGGCGTATAAAATAAAACCAATGCAGACGAAAGGGGATTAATAGTTGGGAATGTTCGGTCGCTTAATGCTGTTTTCACCCCTGAGGAACTTCAATACCGGGATAAATTGATAATACTCTCTCCAGTATCGGAATAAAGTCGGACCTCCTCGAATGTTCCTCCCGTGGAAACGGGGCTTTTATCCGCAGCGATCCACGGGATCAACCCATGGTTCTAAACATCGTGGATGAGCCATGGTTTGAGTTGCTCCAAACTACCCGCCTTCCAACTTCCAAGGCTGATATGAGATCACCGAATCCACAATCTGATAATCCACCCAAACCAGTCGGTCGAGGATCGGCGTGAATGCACTGCTAGGCGCATTATTGCTAATAATAATATGCTCAAGGTGTCGGCTGAGATGCAGGACTGAACCTGACAACAAAGATTTACCCATCCATGACCCATTGATGATGGGCCCAGCTCAGGTTTTGCAGTGGAGGTCGCTCTGATCAGGGAAGCAGAGATCCACAGGCGATTATCACCACTGGCCCACTGATGTCACTGAGCCAATGATGCTGAAAGCAGAACACAGCCACAGGTAGCCTTTGGAGACATGACGTTTATCCAACAACTGCCCGAATATCAACAGGAAAGGGATTTGAATTGGTTGCATTTTTGAGGAAACCCCCCACTGATGGCCCGGGGGCTGATGCAGCATATCCGCATATGTGGCGATGAGAGAAAACAATAATATGCTGCTTTTGAGGAAAGCGTCATTATTGACCAGCACGGTGTCCACTGGGGATAGACACAGGTGTAATCAGTTCCGAGTGGAACATCTGGAGACTTCAAGCAAAATATTCAGCTTGAGGTGGCTAACAGCGGACTATTAGATGTGATTCTCGTGCTCCACAGATGACATGACGCTCTTTCCCTTGCGAATTTCCGCTGCTTCTTTTCGAATGATTTTCCTGTTTTTCTTCCTATGCATTCCAAAATGCCCCATGCCCCCCATCCCATTGCTGTGGCCTCGCGTCATACGCCCAACAAGTCCAGAGCTTTCAATCCAGTGGAGGACACAATTCCCCTTTTCACAGCAACCCCTTTTAACCCCTGTCAATCACTTCTACGCGGCACTGTCTCCGGTTGGGGCGTGTGTTGAACAATCCCCAAAAGCACAGTAGAAACCGCTTCAGTCTTGTCACAGCCGCCATCTTTCCGAAAAGCCAGCTGCCCTGATATCTTGAAACAAACCAACGCAGAGCTAGACTCTTTATGTCGCCTTCGGATTACACCCGGGGCACAGGCTAAACTGAAACTGTATTCGGGAGATGAGGATCAATGCTCCCGCGGGACTTGCTGGATGATATAGGGATGCCATGTCCTCTGTGGAATATGGATCTAATAAAAAATATACATATCACATCCGATTTTGCTACTCGTCTCTTATATCCTCATGAAGATTCCGCAATTGCCGGGAGTCCATTTTCATATCAAGTTTCGTTGTGACTTATGGGTGTCCCGCTTCGCGGGGATTTCCAAATTTAATTTTTATCAGTTCAGATGAGTCTGATACCAGAGCCTTGCAGCCTGTCATCATTTCGCAACATGTGAGTTTTTATGTTCTCTTCCAATGCCATCGGTAGCGATGGATTGACGGTCGAGGATTTCATGATTATTAACCACAATGTACAAGGGGTAAGTGGTCCGCATTTAACCCCTGCTTGGAAGTGAGGTTGTTCAGCAACCAACCTATCGAATTCCGTCAAAAACTGCAAAGCATAGCACACACTTCCAGGATACCCCGGAGTGCCAATCCGGGTCCTTCCCGTGTCTAGCATGGGATCTAGGGGTAGCGGAATACCGCGCACGGGGCAGGGCCAGCCTAGGATACGATACGTGCTCCTCTGTTTTATGTCACATGCCAGGGAGGAAGGTTTTTTCAAGGCCTGAAAATTTCAAACCATCCGTTAAATGTAAATACGTAGAAGAAAAAGAAAAAGCACAGCACCACTGGAAGCCGGGAGCCGGGGAGAAGAGGAGAAGACGCAGGAAACAGCAAAAGGTCGCGGGGAAACAAAGCCGGGGCCAAATGCACGGCAACTGCAGGATGCATTGCATGCATGCCCCAAGGATGATATTTTGAATGAAGTCAGGCAATTTTTGGCGTAACTTGGCTATCTTGTCTTTACTAGCGGTGCAGATATCGCTCAGCATTTGCAAATCCAAATCCAAATCCATGTGGAATATTTTAATCAACCCCCTTTTTTTTTTTTTGTTTCTCCATAGCAAATCCTTCCAACCTTCTTCTCCACGCAACAATTCTTCTTATTAATAATAATAAGCAAAAAAATCCCTTCATGTCTTCAAGGATGAATAAGACTAAGACCGATGGAATAAATTCCCCGAGCCGCTTGAAGAGAGGAGGGAAAAAAAAAAAAAAAAAAAAAAAAAAAAAAAAAAAAAAGGGAACACGACTAACTAACGTTAGTTACTTAGTTAACTACTTGCTACCTAGGCGCGGAAGCAGACCCTTTTCTTCCCCCCCAAGCGTCATGTCATGGACATGAGGATCAAAATCAATAATGAAAACAACCCTTACCTATTATTATTATTATTATTATTTACTCCGTACTCGGTGCCTATCTGCGTAAAGGTATAGAATAATAAGGACGCATCTTACATGAATTTTGTATGCTATAACATACCACTCCCATTCCCATTCCCTTACTCCGTACTCTGTTACTCCGTACAATCCCCTCAAGTTTCCCGCGCACACACACACACACACACACACACACTCATATATTTCGTTCTTCAGCCCCAGCCCCCTCTCCCTCTCCCTCTCCCTCTCCCTCTCCCTCTCCCTCTCCCTGCCCTATCCTACATAGGTAACGGATTTGCAACATCTTCAACCAAAAACCAACGAACGGCTCCCGACTCCCGAGCGCCATCGCCGAAAGCTGCGCTCCCTTCACCTCCCTCACCTCCCCCGACCCCCCCGCACCCCCGACGAGCGACTGAACGTTGCTAATGATCGACGGCTATGGGAATTAGATTAGTTCTCTCCTGCCGGAAAATCGGCGGGTGGGGAGTGGAGTCAGCCTGGTGGGTTTGGATTTCCGCTGCTCATCCTCACTGCGGGTTATGGTACTGCGTATGCTGCTCCATACATAGATATGGGGGGCCGGTCCGTTGGTGTGCAAATGTATGTAATGTATGTACATGGACAATCGATGGCATTATTATTAGGATTAAATCTGCAGTCCATCTAGTTTCTGTTGGCATGTTGGCATTTGACAGGTTCCCACCACCACCCAGGTCTCTAAGATATACGAGGCGAGTGAGAAATAAAATAATAAGTTAAACAGGAGCATGTTTCGGAGAAGGTTGGCATAGGCAGGCCAGCAATGAGAGAATGGCCAACAGATGCAAATTGTCAATGCCTGCCCTGCCTTGCTACCAACTCGAGGCCTCGAGTCCTTCACCAGGAATAAAAGCAAAAGCAAAAGCGAAAGCGAAAGCGGTTGCTTGCCAAATTTTGGATGTTTCAGGATTCTTTTCTCGCGTGGGGCGCGGGTTTTTTATTTTTTTATTTTTTTTTTCTCCCTACAGATTAGAATAGAATAGAATAATAGAAGCATGCTAATAAAAAATAAGTACTCTTGACTCTTGGGAATGGCTGGCTAGCGCCGCGACCCAGACCCCTACAAGCAGTTCGCAGCATGCACCCCCCCCCCCCCCCATACAACAAGCTTGCTTTGGCGGGGATTCGGGGAATTGAGAACCGGGCGGTTTCAGATGGGAGATGGTGTAACGGGCGTGGCTTATGTGGTTCTGAGGTTCTGAGGGGGGGGCGCGCTGCTTGCACCTGCTAAAAACTGCGAACCTGACAGCTGGGACGGGACCCGACTGGACGAGGCAAGGAGGCGGCGGGGACTCAGGACTCAGGACTCAATCAAGGATCGAAGGACTCAAGGGACTTGAGTGAGTGTGGGAGGAAGTTGGATAGGTCATATATTCACACGCATAGTATATGCTCGGGAACTCTTTTTTCGAAGACGGGGTCTTTTCGTGAGCTTTCTTCGGAGAGTTTTGTGGTGATATCCGTGCTCGTACTACTGTTGAACATGCTCGGAGGAATATGGAACCTTGCAAGAGGGAAGACGAAGGAGCATTGGGCGTAATAGTACCAAAGCACCAAGGTATTACTCAGTAGTACTGTACATACCCAAGGCACTCAGTGATGGTTTCTTTTTCTTTTTTCTTTTTTTTCCCCGAACCTATGAAGATTGTATTTTATATTTTTTAAGATGTTGTACATGTACATGTGCAGATCTCAAAGCGTGGACATGTAACCATCTTCAGATATATAAACTACAAAGTTAAATGGTTACATGACACAACTGCAGTGGCACACTCCCGGGGGGAGCCTGACAGCGATGATCTGGCTCCGAAATTGGTGCTACAAGGAGAATTACGTTGACTGACATGACAGCCTAGCCTGGTGTTCCTCTTCTGCTTCTGTTGCTTCTTATAAGAAATAGAATAATAACTAACTAATGAGGCCAGATAAATAATGAAAATTTGAAAATAGTCAGTGAGTCAGTCAGTCATACATACTGCGTACATTCAAGGGACTCAAACCAAAAAACCCTTCCAACCAACCCGTCACTTTGACAATACGACAAATATTTCTCAAACAAGCTGAAACAGCATTACGAACGCACTCCTCATGCACAGAGCAGAGCCCCTCGGGCCAGGCAAAACACTTACCTACCATCTTACCACGTAATAATTAAATGATTTCGTAGAAGCATGGCAGTTGAAGGGGGATGGAGAAGGGGGAGGCCTCTCTCTGCATATGGGCAAGGGGCGAGGGGGGGAGAGAGAGAGTGAGAGAGTGCAGTGTACTCCGTAGTATGCTTCTACTACGTAAATGTGTAGACAAATTTTCAACAAGCTTTCCGGGGGCTACACAGGGGGTCCTATATGCTGGGTGGGTTATTATAATATCTATTTTTTTTCTTTTTTTCTTTTCTTTTCTTTTCTTTTCTTTTTTTTTTATCTAACTGCGCTGATGATATTAACTACCTGGGGGTATGTATGTATATAACTATATCTTAATCCACGAGGATTCGCAATATCCTCTGTCTTGCCTCGTTTCTCCCGGACATTTGACGGGCATGGTGTGTGTCTGTAGTTGCATATACGGAGTAGATAGAATTGCCTTGTTATAAATTACAGGGGCACGATCCTACCCGAAACGACTCCCGGCCCCTTGCAGGCATCGAGGAATGGGAATGGGTATGGGAATGGGTAAGGGTAAGGGTATGGGTAGGGATTGGGATTGGGATAGGGATTTATTTTTCTATTCCTGGTTTGTCCAGGGTTGTGTAGTTTGTTTAGGCCTGCAGAATATATTACATTACTACATGTAGTTACAGTACATGGGGCCCTGAGAAAACTTCGATGAAAGATATCATGAAGAGATCCTTTTTTTTGCCCAACCATCCGAATCCCATTCCGAGGTTAATTATACTGTACTGTACAGTACTCCGTACATGTACATGTACATGCCATGCTCAACTGATCTTTGATCTCAGGCAGAGATATAACTACATATACATATAGATATATATTTCTTTGTAGTTGGACATACAGGCGGCAGAACATGCATGAGTTTGTATGAGTTGCATGGCATGTGTAACTAACCTGGAAATAGCTCCATAAGGATCAACAACTTCATTCAACACAATACAACCTGGGTGGTGTGATCGTGATGATTTGATTGATGATTGATTGATTGATGATTGATGACTCTGTGCAGTTCCATCCCGCGGCCACAAGATCTTACCTTTTTTTTTTTTTTCTCTCTTTCTCCCAGGCTCTGCTGTACTTGTTGTATAGTTATTAGTTCCTCCGTTGCTCAAACTGTTATTTATTTCCAGGCTGGCCCAAGGTCCCAGACTTCCAGACTTCCAGACTTCACAGACTCCCAACCTCCCAACCTCCCAAACCCAAAAACGCCACAAATATTGATTCAGCCCGGATTTCGGTTCGGAGCGAAACACAAAAAATATATAAAATATAAAATATATAAAATATAAAATATAAAATATAAAATATAAAATATAAAATATAAAATATAAAATATAAAATAAATCAACACCGAATTTGCATCAACCTAGTTACTTCACATAATATCTCCAACCACCCCAGCCCAGCCCAGCCTAGCCCCGCCCCGCCCCGCCCACCACGGGGGGGGGGAGGGAGAGAGAGCTGGAGCTTTTCCCAGCGCTTGGGAATACGATTCCAGCTGCAGAGTTCGGTTTGGCAATTATAATAATAATAATAAATAATATTCAGCCAGCGCGCCGTGGTTTGGGGCTGTCCAGCGGCCCAGTCCAGTCCAGTCCTACAGTCCTACTAGTTCCAGTCAGTCATGTCATGTCATGTCATGGCCCTCATTTGCATTGCATTATTTGGGCCCGGATATGCAGGCAGTAGGGAGTAGTAGAGTAGAGTGGGTGCTAGCCAGCCTTTACCCGCCGCCCTCTTCTTCTCTTCGATGCCTTTTTTGATGGATTTTCTATTTTTGTTGTTTTTTTTTTTTTTTTTTTTTTTTTTTTTTTTTTTTTTTTTTTTTTTTTTTTTTTTTTTTTTGGTTTTTTTGTGTTTTTTTATTTCTGTTTTTCTGTTATTTTGACTTTTGTCCTTGTTTTCTCACATTCTTTCATTCTTTCTTTTGCTTCTTGCATCCCATTCTTCCGGTTTCTTATGTTCTTCCTTTTCTTTCCCATTCTTCCTTTTCTTTCCCTTTCCTTTCTTTTCCTTTCTTCCAGCTATATACCTACATATCCCGTATCCCGGGTTGATTTACCAGTAACTATATTGACTGACCTCTTCGAGGCTCTCTTCCTGGTAAACCCGGTACGGCGTCTGTATTCTGACGCCTTGTCTGCGATTATGCCGATACGGTGATTATTATTATTATTATTATTATTATTATTATTATTATTATTATTATTGCTGTATTGCAGCCCCCTCCGTCCATTCCCGCCCTCGCCACTACACTACTCTACTACTGACTATATATTCCTACAGCTGATACGATATCGAATACAGGCTGTAACTATTCCAGGGCTAAAACTGCTACTGCTGCTAGTCAACGACCGACTCCGCATCCCCTGTGATTGCTGGAGGATCCTGGAGACTGTCTGGCATGCACTACTACTAAGTTACTCTTAGTATTGTTATTATTATTATCATTATCTTACTACTGTCTGTCTGGTCTGGAGTGACTGTGAGCGAGCTCTTCTTCATCGCTCAGCCTGTGTGCTTTGTCTGCCAGCTCCTCTCTCTTGTCTCTCTTGACTCTCTGTCTCTCTCCCTCCATCTCTCTCTCTCTCTCTCTCTCTCTCTCTCTCTCTCTCTCCAATTCTCCCAGACGATAAACAAGAGACAGACGTCCTCCACCAGCGCCCACCACAACGACGCTACGCCCGCGCTATCCTATCCTCACCTCACTCGCGCTACCCGCCTCCAATCTTGGGATTGGAACCTCCTATTATTATTTCTAACCCATTCTCCCTCTCTTGTTGCTTCGAGTCTGATGTGGCAGCACCGAGCTCCGTCCAGGCTCGATTCCACCCCGAAGGACAAGGACGACACCTCTCATCGCTATCTATCCAGTCTTGGCCTGTTTGGCCCAAGAAGATCCTCACGGCAAGGTGGGTTAATTTTTTTTTTTTTTTTCTTTGGCTTGGGGAGCTGTTCGTGTTTTTTTTTTTTTTTTTTTCCCAGACTTTATCTCGGCTTATTTTTTCTTTAAACCTCGTTTTCGTTTTCTTTGCTTTTTTTTTTTTCCCTGCTGCTTGTTGCTTTTTTATAATCCATGAATATTACTCCTTCACCTCCCCTCCTCCTCTTCCTCCCCCTCCCCCCTTTACAGTAGTTAAATATCTTGTATACGTATTTTTACTACTGCGCTCTTTTCCCAAAAGTCAGTTCATCTGTCTAGCATTGACCCATTATTGGCTGCTCTCGATTTCATATACTATACTAGTATGCTGCTCCTGGGCGTCTGCTGATTCGGCTACCTGCATTGCATTACTTCTCTTTCTCCCAGGCCACTGCCTGCTCGTTATTTGTTTTTTTATTATTTAACCTACTACGCCCGCTTTGCCCGATCGACTTTTCAACCTGTCAATCTGTCATCAGTCAAATCAATTATCTAGCTGCTCCTACTTTCGTATGTCCTGCAATTGACAAAAGTAAAAAGCCAAAAACGTTAACTAAGCCAACCACCACGTCGATCTAGACCTCCCCTCGCAAGTCAACCGCTCTTCTCTTCGACCAGACTCGTCGCAGTCAACGCTCTTAACCTCTCATCACCGCTCTCAGTTCTCCCCCTCCCTATCACCTCCAGAAGAACGAAGCCACTCAGCGCTATCCCAGTTTCCCCGAACCCCTTCCAATTCCAATCTCAGGTCATCGTCGAGACCGGGGTATCGCCCAGGATCCCGCGGGCACTCAAATCACTCCCAGACGTCCTTCAACTCGCGACCGGGCAGGTCGATGGCGGGTATGATGGACGTCGAACGGACCCGGCCGCGGAGGGAGAGGACCTTTGTGGGTAGCGAATGCGCAGTCTGCGAAGAGCCGTTGGAACATACTCTTCGTGGAGAACGCATCCTCCAGTTATCATGTGGCCACGTTTCTCATGAAGCATGCTTTTATGAGTATATCAAAGAATTCGAATCGCAGTACTGTCCCACATGCAGTGCGCCCCTGGGTTTGGATAGTAATCGAGGAGGAAACGTGCTTGATTTAGGTAATTTTCACCCTCGCTCTCCCCCCCCCCGGTTTTTTTTATATTTATTTATTCTAGGTGCCAGTTTTGATGTGGGATATGCACTGACTGATTTCAATCCCCCTCGCTTGCAGCAAAACTCTCCAATATTGTTCGATCTGTATCTGTCAGCGATGTGTCCAGCCGTAGAGGAAATCAAAATACGCCCACACCGTGGGATATCAATGGTAACCGTGCGCATGAAGACGACATGGGCAGTCTGCATTGCAGCCGGGACTCTCGCCGGCGTCATAGTAGAGATACCAGTAACCAGCGCGAGAGGGTCGAGCGTCTAACAAGCCCGTCAACACGGCAACCACATTCGCGCTCGGACAGTGGTACCACCGGGGTTGCATCTTCGGGCGACTATGGAGACGGCCAGCACCACAGTACCGGGAGGCGGCATGATTACGACGTACAGGCCATGGAATCCGACCTTAGCCCGCGCCCGGGTGTCATACGGAACCCGATACCGGCCCCAATTGTAACCGTGCGCAGCGAGTTCCCGACACTCAATCGGTCACGGCAGCAGCAGTCCTTGACTTGCCTGGTGACTGTTGAGGTTCCTGAGGGCAACTGGCACCCTGACCTGGAGGATTTACGTCATACGGCACATATACCACCACCGCGCAATGAGGAGATTGTGAGTCCGCCGATCAAGCAGCCTGCGCGACCGTTGCCGGTTCCTTATGAGGCGCAAGAGGCCCTACAGGAGATTTCAGAGGAGTTGCGCATGCGCGTCGACAATTGGCATGGACTGGAATTCCAAAGGTATATATAAAGCTATTCTCGTAGATGAGAAACGATGCTGTAGTTGTTTGGTTATATATATATTGGCTTGCTAACTCATTTCACAGGTTTGGAAAACTCAAACTACATGGAACTGTTCGTGTTGGCAAGGATCGGACGTCGTGGCAGGAGCTAGAATGTTATCTTTTCGCGGAGATGCTTATTTGCGTGAAGGAAAAGAAAAATGGACATAGTCAGTTTGAGGATCCGAGGACCAAGCGAAAGATGACCAGGTGTACGTTGAAGGGATCTATTCTTATCAAGAAACATTTGAAGGACGTGGAATCCGTGCCAGGTAATTTATCCCCTATTCCCCTTACCGAACCACCAGCCCCGATGAAAATATTCACGTCGTCTTGTTCCTAACTTTATCACAGAGGAACCCATTTTGACTCTTAATCTCTCCGTTGCGGAGCTCCCATGTTTCCACCTCCAATTCCAGAGTCGCAACCAGCTAGAGCTTTGGAGACGAGGTCTTCTTGATCTCCACAATCCCGATTCAGCAGGAGGCCGGAACCCAGACTACGACGTGGATACCTCCGGCACCGAGGAGGATGATTATCGGACTCATAAAACTATCAAACGCGTCTCCTCCACTACCTCGTCATATGGGGCATCAAAATCCAACAACACCGCATTAACAGATTACACCAACTCGATCAGGGACACTCTACCCCCAAGTTTCCACGTTCCTCTCGATCTGGTCATCGTCATCCCGGTCTCGTCATCCATGCAGGGGCTTAAGATCACCCTTCTCCGCGACGCTCTCAAATTCCTAGTGCAGAATCTCGGCCCGCGAGATCGAATGGGTCTCGTTACGTTCGGGTCTAGTGGTGGAGGTGTGCCGTTGGTCGGCATGACGACAAAAGCCTGGAGCGGATGGGGAACTATTCTTAACTCGATACGTCCGGTGGGGCAAAAGAGTCTTCGCGCAGACGTCGTTGAAGGGGCGAATGTTGCCATGGACCTGCTGATGCAGCGGAAATCGAATAACCCGCTCTCGACTATTTTGCTGATTAGTGATTCGTCCATTTCTGAGCCGGAGAGTGTGGACTTTGTGGTTTCCCGGGCTGAGGCTGCAAAGTTAGTGACTTGATTCCCTTCTCGATTTTAACCCCCCCCCCCCCCCCCCCCCCGGGGGGCGGGTTTCCCCGCTCTTTTCCCCTAACCTGTTTGCGTATGTTTCTTCATCTTTGACTTGTTTGTCGTGCTCACTTGTGTTCTTTCCGTCAGGGTCGGGATCCATTCGTTTGGATTGGGACTTACGCACAAACCCGATACCATGATCGAATTATCTACTCGGACCAAAGCTTCATATACGTACGTTAAGGATTGGATGATGCTTCGAGAGTGCGTCGCGGGATGTCTAGGATCGCTTCAGACCACCTCTCACCAAAACGCTAAGCTCAAGCTGCGGCTGCCCGAGGGTTCTCCAGCGAAATTTGTAAAAATTAGCGGCGCTCTGCAAACTACCAAACGAGCAGCGGGCCGGGATGCAGAGGCGGCACTTGGCGATTTAAGGTTTGGTGACAAACGGGGTGAGTAAAGACACAAGATGGAATCTTGTAGGCTTGATCTGTGCGTATATATATCCATGGCGCTAATCGTGTGGTGTAGATATCCTCGTCCAACTTGTCATTATCCCTGACAACACGACGCAAGAACATGTACCTCAGGACGCTTGGGAGAGCATTGTTTCCGGGCTAGAAGCCCTTGGTGGACCACTCGACGGCGATGAGCAGCGCATCGTTAGCGTAGAAGAGGTTCCTCTGATCCAGGCTGATCTCACGTATGGAGACATTCTTCGCGAAGGCCACTTGGCGCATTGCCCAAGACCATCTCTCCTCGCGATTACCATGCTCCCAGCCTCCCAGCGCCCCAAGTCCGGAAGACCCTCTACGCCACCCATCCCACCGCACCCCTCCATCGTGCAACGCCGCATGGAGCTCCTCACCTCAGACATGCTCACACGAGCCCTAACCCTCGTCTCGCGCTCCCAACAAGACCGTGCCCACCACCTCCTCACAGAAACCCGCAGCATCCTCAAGGGCCTGGGAAAAGGCGGCCTCCCCCCCCTCCCCCCCTTCGCCCAAAAACCCACCCAAGACGCCGCCAGCGCTCTCAGCTCCCCCAACTCCTCCTCCCCGGAGATCCCCGAAACCACCAACACCACGCACGCCTCCACACCCCCAGCAATCCCCCACTCACCGCACCCCCCTTCCAACCCACCCTCCGAGACCGCCACTATAACCCCACCCGTCAACGCCGTCGATAGCTCCATAATCGCCGCCCTGGACGCCGACATAGAAGCTGCGCTTGAGTGGATAAACCACCCGGCCGTCTTCGGGCGCGATTCGCGCAAAGCGGTGCTGCAGGCCATCGGCATCATTTCGTCGCAGAGGGCGTATACGTTCCGCACGCTGTCGGAGGCGCATTGGGCGGAACGTGTTGCGGGGATTAAACGGTTGACGGAGCGATCGAGGGAGTGGAGGGAAATCGGGGATGATTCGTTGGCGGAGGAGTAGATGAGGTATTAGGTATATATTTGTTTGTTGGGTGTTGGGGTATATACAAACTTGACCACCAACCCCTCCCCCTTTTTGTTTTCCTCCTCCCTTTCTGGTTTCTGGTTTCTCTTTTTCAGGCTATTTGTCTAGTCTTGGGCGCATCCGTGTGTGGTACATCTCGTTTTCCCAGTGCCCTACACCTTTTTCTTTTCTTTTTCATGCCTGTTACTTATCACCACCCCCTCCGCCCCCATTTCATGATTTCCGTTTCCTGGGTATATACTCATATACACACTTTTTTACCCCTTACATGGTTTACCTTCTTACGGTTCGCATTTTCCCCCCTGGTTTGATTTATTTTTTGTTGTGTATCATACCCCTCTCCTGTTGTTTTTGGACTCTTCCTTCTTCTACTTCTTGCTCCCAGATTCCGGATCAGGATTTTTTTCCTTTTCTTTTTCTTTTTCTTTCTCCACTTCGTATACCTCTATACACTATATCCCCTCAATCTATAATCTATATTTGCTATTTTTTAATTCCCTTGGTTGCTTTTTTTTTTTTTTTTTTTTTTTTGGGAGAATTGGTTGGAAAATTAATGAACTCGTTTTTCCATGGATGCCAAATGTTGATCATTTGAATTTTTCTTATATGTTTTACCTCCCTGTTTCTCCCATTTCATGTTTCCGTCCTGGAATGTTTTGGATACTTGGCCATCTTTTTCTAACTCACCCCGGGGACCCCCTTTTTGTGTGTGTTTTTTACATATTTCTTGATTGGTTTCGTTGTCTATCTACCCAGTTATCTAGTTTAACAAGCTGTCTATATATCTCTATATATGTACATTTTTGTGCGACATTTTGTTGTGATATTTCTGCCACAAATGCGCGTACGTGAAATATAGACGGGAAAGGAGAGAGGAATTTTTACTTGGCTGCGATAAGTTAAAGTGAAATGGCAGAGACCAGTTCACTTCTTCTTATCGTTGTTCTTTTAATCCTGAGAGTGTGGGCTGTTTCTCTATCCATAGGCCGCTATCGGGAGCATTTGCTGCTGTTTTTTTCTTTTTTTTTGTTCTTTTTTTTCTTCTTTTTCTATTTTTATTTTTATTTATTTTTACTTATTTTATTCTGATAGTTATTTATTATATTTTACATTCCCTTTCCCACCTTTGACAAACGAATAAAGTAGATCGTTGGTGGGGTGACTCGCTGCGAACGTGCTGGTATATATTTTATGAGCAATGATGATGCACTGTTTGTTGCCTTGCATTATCACCTCACCTAAATACTTCATCCTCGACTCCTGAGAGCTTCAAAAAGCTAGCTTACCACACCGATATCCCAACAGAACTCATAGACCAAGCATTGACAAACAACAGGCCTTGACTTCCACTAACTACTACTACTACTACTACTGCGGAGAAGGAGTTACATACAAGCAATGTGGCGCGCGCTTCACCGCAGCGGGAGCTCGAAGCTCACCACCACCCCCAGCGCTGCCGCATCAATGTTGTCGCAGTCATTATCCCGCCCACATTTCCTTACCCGGACTCTATCGACCGTTACCACTAACCTGAATCAAACTCTTAAAACCAATACCGCATCGACTCTCCGCTCCTTACCCTCGCGACGGCACCCCGTTCGCATCCCGCCTCCGAACTCCGCACCCGCACAGTTCCCCATCCCCCCCCACTCGCGCCAGCTATCCTCTCCCTCGCACGCACACTGGCGATCGGGTCTTGCGCGGGGAGAGAGAAGCCCGTGGGATCCGCACCCTATAGCCCGTCGACAGATACCACCAGCATCAGGCCCAGCGTCCGCGACTTATTATACCAGCAATACCCCCCCTCCCCGCACCACCAGCAACAATCCCCCCCTCCTCCGCTCCCAGAGAGCACCCAGTCACCACCGCCTCTGCCACCGCCTCCGCCTCCGCCTCCGCCAACCACTCAAACAGTTGCGCGCGTTCTCGCAATCTCAGCAACAGAGGCGTGATGGGAATTACAAATACCGGAGCTTTGAGGGGCGCGGTGGTGGATATGGCGGGGGCGAAGGAACGGGGCCGGGGCCATGGGGGAATAGCCGCCTCACGTACTTTTGGGCGCAATATCGGTATATGATTGTCGGGGGCGGGGCGGCGGTGGTGGGGTTCTACGTGTGGAATTTGGATGTTGTTCCGGTGGGTTTTCTTCTATATCTACCTTCACTCTTGCTCGAGCTTTAAAAATTTCGCCCCCTTTCCCCTTTTCTTTGGAGAACCCCCTCCCCCCAACAAACAACAACAACATTCTTCTTTCTTTTTTTCCTGTTGTTTTTTTTTTTTTTTTTTTCAATATATACACGCATACGCATCGGCTAAATCTCACTTCTCTTTTGTTCTACGCACGTATGTAGATGACCGGCCGGCGCCGTTTCAACTGCATTTCCAACGAGATGGAGATGCAATTCGGCAAACAGACGTACGAGATGATCTTGCAGGAATATCGAGGCCAATTCCTACCCGAGTCTCATCACCTCGTCAGATATGTCGACAGTGTCTTTCGCAAGTTGATCCTCTCCGGCCAGCCGCAGCTGGGCGAAGAAGATGCCCTGCTTAAGAATCTGAAGTGGAAGGTGCATGTGATTAACTCGTCGGAGATGAATGCATTTGTGTTGCCGGGGTACGTATATATATATATATATATATATATATATATATACGCTTCAAATTATATAGTATTCGTACGTAGCAAGCAACCTTTTTACTGATCATAGTCTATTTCTTCTTCGCAGTGGAAACGTCTTCGTGTTCACGGGCATTTTACCCATCTGCCGAGATAGGGACGGTCTCGCTGCCGTCCTGGGACATGAAATCGCACACGTCCTCGCCCACCACCCTGCCGAGCGCATGAGTTCGAGTATCATCGTGATCGTCGCCGCGTTGGCAGCATCGATGCTGTTTGACGTGTCGCAAAACCTGTCGTCGGCGATTTTGAATTTGATGCTTGCTTTGCCGAATTCGAGGACGCAGGAGGTTAGTGCCTGTTTTTTTGTTTTACTTCGTCTATGTTCTGCGCTATTATGTTATGGATTGGCGGGAGGAGATTGTTATTGTTCCTGTTGCTAACGTGCCGCCTTACGATATTACATAGTCTGAGGCGGATGAGATTGGACTCAGTATGTTCTGTACCCGCTTCGCACTAGAAATGATGGGCGGATTCTCTAACCATGGTCCCCCTTGACAGTGATGATGGCAAAGAGCTGTTTTAAACCTGAAGCTGCGGTTGGATTGTATGTTCCCCCTGCTTTTTAATATGTTCTAACGAGCCCACGCGTTCAAGGATTTTGATTATAACGTTCGCTAACAACTCCCCGTCCCTTCTTTTTTTTAAAAAATATAGATGGAGCCGGATGCACCAGGCAGAGAAGGCAGTGCCTTCCCAGATATTGTCCACGCATCCTTCTGTGGGTTTATTGATCAATATTTATTCGTATTGTTTGAATATATTAACTGACGGCGTTATATACAGAGCCGGAGACGGATGGAGGCAATTCAGAAATGGTAAGTGTAATTTACAATTCGCGCGGCTTTTACTGTCCTCGGAGAGCGTGCGTATGGGATTTTGATTTGCTAACGACGATATTCCTACTCTAGGCTCCCGCAAGCAAATACCGTGTATGATGACAGCGGATGTGGAGTTACAGAGCGATATGGTAGGTGATTTTGATGTTAATGATTGCTGGAGTTTAATGGACTCCCTGCTGACATGTCATTCGTAGCCGAGAGTTTTGGACAGGCAATCGGGTCTTTCTGGTAGAGCAGCGTGTGTATAACATATGAATTGGATATCTATTTGGCATCTCCAGATAATGTGTACGATAAGTCGACAATAGTTGCAATTTAATGCTAAAGCGGTAATCATTGCAGGCATTTGACTTTGATAGTAGCGAAATATTTTATGTAATCTTCGTACCATGGATGTATTGATACTAGAGTGCAAACAGAGCAAACTCATCGCCCACCCAGGCCTGAGCTCACTAAATTCGGGCAACCAGAGCAGCTTCAAAAACGGAGAAGACGACATCACCACCCACCCGATTCCTCTTCACCACAGACAGAGGAGGAGGCACATATACATACACATACAACCATGTCGTTGTCAATTCCCAACGCCCCAAATGCTGGGCTGTTCAAGCAGGGTTATACCAGGTACGTGCTTCGAACTTTCGCCCCTCCCCTCCCCGCTGATATGCCATAATATTGGTACATCCCACCCACGCACCACGCATCACAACACTATATCTTTTTCTTCAAGTTTGACGTTCTTCTTCGTCTCATTATCCCGTATATCCCCTTCTGCCCCAAGCCACTCGGAGAAACTCCGGTATATGAAAAACCATACCAAATATCAATAACCAACAAGGCCACTCACTATCCATCCCACTCTAACTAACAAACCCTTCTCCGCACAGCCATGACTCCGAAGACGGCGCTGTCCTCCGTAATATCGAAGCATGCCGCGCCATTGCACAGACCGTGCAGACCTCACTGGGCCCTAACGGCCGCAACAAAATCGTAATCAACCACCTACAGAAGCTGATCCTGACCTCCGATGCCGCCACCATCCTACGCGAGCTGGAGGTTGTGCACCCGGCTGCCAAACTGGTCGTCATGGCCAGCCAGCAGCAGGAAGCAGAGATGGGCGATGCGACTAATTTGGTTATTGTGCTTACGGGAGAGTTGCTGAAAAAGGCCGAAGAATTACTGCGAATGGGACTTAAGACGAGCGATATTGTTCTGGGGTATGAGAAGGCGCAGGGGATTGCGTTGAGGTGTTTGGACGGTGAGTTTTTTTCCCCTATTTCTTGTATTCGTTAATTTTTTTGTTGTTTAATTTGCTATATTTTAGGGAAATTCTTTCACTGACGTCTGTTGTTAACCTCTTCTCTAGATCTCGAGGTGGACCGGCTCAAGGAGCTACGGTCTACGACGGAGTTGAGCAAAGCGGTCAGAACTGTCATTGCAAGCAAACAGTCCGGCTCAGAAGATATTCTTGCTCCACTTGTTGCAGAGGCCGTGTTGGCAGTCCTCCCAAAGAACCCAGCAAATTTCAATGTGGATAATATTCGAGTTGTCAAAATCATGGGAGGTAGCTTGGAGCAATCACGAGTCGTCAAAGGAATGGTTTTCGGCCGTGAACCCGACGGAGCTATAAAAAAGGCCAAAAAAGCCAAGGTTGGCGTTTTCAGCTGTCCGATCGATATTTCACAAACAGAAACGAAAGGAACAGTCCTCTTGCACAATGCGAAGGAGATGTTGGATTTCACAAAGGGCGAAGAGGCACGTCTGGAAGCAACAATTAAAGAATTATATGACTCCGGTGTCCGTGTCGCCGTGGCAGGCTCTACAATCGGCGAGCTGGCAATGCACTACCTCAACCGCTTCAACATCCTCGTCATCAAGGTACTCTCCAAATTCGAACTCCGCCGTCTATGCCGCGTTGTTGGCGCTACACCCCTTGCCCGCCTTGGTGCTCCCATGCCGGATGAAATGGGTACCGTTGACGTGGTCGAGACGCTCGAGATTGGCGGTGACCGCGTGACCGTCTTCCGACAAGAGGACGCTGGCACCGTCACACGGACTGCAACCATCGTGCTGCGCGGCGCAACGCAAAACCTCCTCGATGACGTTGAGCGCGCCATTGATGACGGCGTCAATGTTATCAAAGCAGTAACAAAGGACCCCCGCCTGGTCCCTGGCGCTGGCGCGACGGAGATCCAACTCGTCGAACGTATCTCTGCCATTGCGGATAAAACTCCTGGGCTTCCACAGTATGCCATCCGCAAATATGCCGAGGCGTTCGAAGTCATCCCACGCACGCTGGCTGAATCCGCCGGCCTGGATGCCACCGAGGTCCTATCACGTCTCTACACCGCGCATCAGCAACACCGTAGATCGATACCGGCAAACAAGAACCGCCCCTCCAATGCTGACGATGACGATGAAGATGAAGAGGAGGAATCGGAAGAGTCGTCCGAAAACGCCTCCTCGTCCGATGAAGACGAGCCATTCTGGACCACCGGCGTAGACTTACATGCATTCTCCACCTCGGGAACCGTGAATGCCGTCGATGACGGGATCCTTGATTTACTCGTTTCGAAGGCATGGGCTATCAGGTTGGCGACGGAGGCGGCGCGGACGGTGTTGTCGGTTGATCAGATTATTGTGGCCAGGCAGGCGGGCGGGCCAAAGCCACCGGGGCAGAATCCTAATTGGGATGAGGATTGAGGGGTGTGATTTGATCAACGATCAGGTGTTGTTGACGTTGTTGCTGTAGCTGGTGCTGTTGTTCTGATGTATGGTGAGAGTAAATTGCAAAAGGGAAGGGGAAAAAGAGAGAGAGAGACAGGCAATAATAAAATGGATGAATTTCTTTTGGCATTTTTATACACTAATTCCAATGGGAAAAAAAAATAAAAATTGATCTCTTGCTTTATTTTTTTTACTCTCTTTTGGAAAAAAAAAAAAGCGGGAACATGCAAATGGCTAAATGGATTTCTACTACTAGACTACTGGATGTCAATTTGGTTGAGATAGACAGAGGCTGGGCTGGCGATGCCCGCTTTCTTTACCCTATTTTCTCATGGTTTTGGTTGGCATGTTAATTCATGGAGGTAGGAAGTGTAGGGGTAGCGGATTATCAGGCGGAATGAAATAGATTTCCTTTCTCGCTCGAACATGAAATTCATGTTCCATTAGCGTTGAATTGTAGGTGATTTGAAGCCTCGAACTCAACTCAATCACATGTTTATCTCCCTGTCTAGAGAGAGGGAGATATGTAGCGCACCGTACATGCTTAGGAACTATCTACGCAATTATCCACCTAGTTATACCCCATTTGTCAATTGTGAAGCTGCCACAGTTAATAGATGGATCCGATACATTTGATCAAGTGGTATGGATGTATGTGTATGTATGTGTGTATGGGAATGTATCATAGATATCATGTTTGAAACTATGCGACATCAAAAAAGGAATGGGGTTAGGGCCAAAAGACATACAAAAGCAGAGTTCCCAGGTGCGCCAGGAAGCAGGAGCGAAATAGAAGCGGGGGTATCATATTCATCAAATTCGTGAAAGCAAGATAGAGAAGAGGAAGATGCGTATCAGCCAAAAAAAGAAAACATCCGTAAAACGCAAACCTCAGCCCGTACCACCCACCCACGCCATATCAGTAAGCTCCATTGGAAAAAGCACAATCTACGTTATTTAAATAGGAGAGGAGAGGTGTATATGTCCATCTATGGGAAGCATAAAGTCTTCGTCTCTCCCTTTTGCGCGACGCACTGGAGTGCGATCAGTTTAACCCTTTTTCGTTCATGTTGTGCATTGCAGTTGCGTCACTTCGCACACTCTAGATGTCGAGTACTGAGATTTTGTTCGCGATTTCTTCGCGAAAAGAGTGGCACAGTTTATCGGTGAAGTTTACCGCGTGGGTGGAGCTGTAGACGGTTAGGGAGGTTCGTGAGGTGTTATGTTGGACGGTAGATATTGAAATTTTGACCGATTCGTTCCCAAATAATGCATAGAAGCATCGACGTAAGGCGCCATCAAGTCTTTCCTTCCTGATTTCCTCTCTTGATCTGTATTTGGTTTGTCGGAAGATAATCAGATAGCCTCGTTTATTTTGGGGCGAGATGTAAAAAGCACGAGTGGAACTCGGCCACAACTGTCTCCCTCAGAATGCATCTGATATTATCCATTTTTTCGCCTCGCATATCTCTCCGAAATGTGCACATCAAAATCCAACGAAATCCGAGATAATACCGAAGCCAACTCTGGAGGAAACATTAGAGAGCAGAAGTTAGGTTATTAGAATCCATAGCCCAGTAATAAGCTCAAGTCTGGCCTACGGTTGCATTGTCTGTTTCTGTCGTCTGTGAACCTTGGCCCACGCGAGAACTGCGGCGGGCCTGTCGTCGTCGTACGGCAGCTCTGTTGAGATATTTGCGGAGAAGCCTAAGAATTGTTAGGCCAAAACGATAGGAGACCCACGCGAATGCGACGGAGGTAGCAAGCCGTTTCTCCGCGAGTGAGAAGTATATATCCATAGGAGCTTGCTGAAACGGAAGAAGTTCCTCCCCTCTCCCTCCCCACATATGGATGCTGTTGATATTTTCTTTGTCGTTGTGTTGTTGAAGTCAAAGAGATTTGTTTACTTCCAAGGAAAGAAAAGGGAAAAGAGCCTCGGTTTCGGATAAACTTATCGGCGGCCGTATTGTGGGATGCCATCACGTGCCTCCCGCATTTGGAATTTTCAAACCTCCGCGACGATTCAATCTTCGCCTGACGATATCAAACAAGAAAAAGAACCAGCAGCACCACAGGCCCCGTGTCAGCTCAATTCCCTCGCCTTCGTCCTCCACCCTCTCCCTCTGCTCTCCGCTACGTGATAAAAGCCGTTTCTGTCAGATCTCTCATTCTTCAACAGCCATGTCAATTCCTTCACAGACGGCAGCCCGATCCTGCCGCAACCTCCTCCGCCAGCCGCCGTCCTTCCGTCTCTCCTCCTCTACATGCTTCTCTCAATGCAAACGAACAATCCCAGCTGCAGTCGGAGCGAGAAGATGGCAGTCCACCGAGGCGCCGCCGGCGGCTCCTTCGAACCCTAAGATCACACAGATTGTGGACCAAATAAGTCAATTGACATTGTTGGAGACTGCTGATCTGGTTTCGAGCTTGAAGGTGGGCTCAATTGATACGGGCTTTTGTTTAATTGCACACTGGAATTCTGTTTTCTTCTACTGTAAACGCTTTTAACAGTGATGCGTATCGATTTGGTTTCGTTGTCGCTGGCGGGAGTCGGTCAATGCGAAGTTTGTTAGCAGTGCTGCAGCTAACGTCTCACTCGCGGTATCTAGTCTCGCCTTAACATTCCCGATCTGCCCATTGGCGGTTTTGCGGCCGGTCCAGCTGGTGGTGCTGCCCCTGCTGCCGTGGAAGAGGAGGAGCCCGCGCCAGCTGCCCAGGAGAAAACATTGTTCAACTTGAAATTGGAGTCCTTCGACGCTGGCTCAAAGCCCAAGGTCATCAAGGAGATTAAGTCACTTCTCAGCCTGAGCTTGGTTGACAGCAAGAAATTTGTGGAAAGTGCCCCGAAGGTGATGAAGGAGTCTGTACCTAAAGAGGAGGCAGAGAAGATTGTTAAGGCAATGAAGGACCTGGGGGCTAAGGTTGTCATGGAGTAGTTCTGTGTTTTATTGATGTTTTTTCTTGTCCCTCATCCCATTTCCTGGAGTTTAAACGGTGTGGGGATAGAATATTGTTCACTGGACGACTGGAGCTGCGAAACAGTGGATGCTCTGTTTGATAGTTCTGTATGTGTACGAGCGTGGAGGCAATATATTGTACATTATCGCTTTTTGGCTATGAGATCCTTCTCATTCTTACCCTTCTTTTGAAAGCTTTCCCCATTGAGGGTTTCACACCACTTATCGTAAACGATGCGGCTTCTAGCATGAGGTTTAAAGTCAACAGTCCTTTGGCAAAGAAAATCAATTTCTCCCTTTAAACAGCATTTATGAAATCTCAGCCAATTTATTACTGCAGGAAACTGAATATTTAATACCTGGATTTCACTAGAAAATCCCCGACATTGAACTTTAAACGAATGTACCTGCTTACTAAGCGCCATCATCTCCAGCTAACAGATAGTTACACTAGCGCAGTCTTTATTTTCTTTTCTCCAACTCTCTCATTGAGCAATTGAGCATTCTCCGGCCCTGGTGAAGAGTGTCTTTCCTTTAGCCATCCTTGTGACCGTGCTCATTCTTTGATTTTTTTTAATTTTTTAATTTTTTTTTATCTTCACTTAGATGTTTGCTGTGCGATGTGTGAGGTCGCGGCCTCTGTGGCTCACATGCAGGATCTCAACTCTCCCGGGAAAACAATTTCATTCTTCCCCTCCCCACACCGCCGCCAGAGCCCCTTCAACCTGGAAAACAATACATGGCCGTCAGAAGGAAGATAGATATCAGTCAGCCCATAGCTCTATCCGCATGACGGAAGATGAAGCGGAAGCATTGGTTGCTAATCTCCCTCGTGCTCTGTTCGAATCCGCCCTCTCAAGCTTCATGGGGGGCGCAACTATAGATGCAGCTATGCACCTGGCTGGAACGCTCATAAGACTCGCCGTACCGTGTAGTGCAAAGCACGGGAGCGAGATATTCGAGCGAGGTGATGGTAAAGCCCCATTGACTGCTGAGAACGTGGTCGTGATCTGGATATCTAGTTTTCTCAGTCCCGTTAGCTAACTGCCACATAGAACGGTGCATGTCGTCTAGGCTTTCCTTCATCCTTTCGAAACATCCCGACTACCGCGCCGTAGCAAATTGGCTATTGTATCGGCTAGCAGAGTCGAAAGAACCGTTCGCCGTTCTCTACGTTATTAACCAGCAATTCACAGCAGGTACCCCTCTCAAAAGAAGCGTTTTGATGACTTACCTAGAAGAATTTGCTCAACGGCATCTTCTGGACGCAATGGTACTCTACGGGCGCATTTTACATGAGAGGTATGGCCGCACCGAGGAGGCACTTACCCTTTGGACAAAGGCGATGGAGATCTCAGTACCCAATCAGACACAAGTCGGCCACATAGATGAAGACCCATACAGTGTTCTTGGTATCCCTCAAGCCTGGGAGATGTATGCAGCAGTGAAGATTTCTCAGGGGGATATCCAGGGAAGTTTTGAGGCGGTGGTGGCAGGAGCGTCCCTACTCGACCATCCCGTGGCCTACCAGTATCTTGCAAAGATGGTCGGCAACGAAGGCCATCTGGACCGATATGAAGAATACATGACGAAAGCGGCTATGGACTGCAATGCTGAAGCATGTCATGACCTGGGAAGTTTTTACCTGGAGCTACACTATTCTGGGAAAAGGCGGGATAAACCCCCCAAACCTTCAGGGGACAAGGATACTTCTCCCAAAGACCTCGTTGCGCGGAAATACACGAACGACCAACTTCGCCAACTGGCCATGGATTGGTTCGAAGTTGCTAGTACCGGTGGCTGGGGCCCATCAGCTCTCATCATGTCCTGTCTTTTACGTGAGGAAGGAAATGCTCACAAAGGATTACGCTACTTAGAGATCGCAGAAAATGACGAAAAATCCGCGTCAAAGGCGAAGGAAATACGACATATATATCTTGGCAAAACTTTTGAATTGAACATTGAGAAAGAGAGAGAGATCTTTACAAAACAGTTTGCACAGTTCGACTAAAGAAATGCGCTTATCATACCCATTTCTTTTTCCTTACATTTGATGTGCTAAATAGTTTGTCCATTGGAATTTAATTCCATTGCGCCGAGTATGGTTTTGGGCAACTGTACGAGCGCCAAACGGAGTCGAAAACAAGCGACAGATGTCCGCCCTGGACAACTAAAGCAATGCCGGAGCTTGCCAAAAAACTTAAAATAATAGACATTGTTCAGAGGCGCCATCTTTTCCATGGCATTTTTAAAAATGTGCGAATGTATGTACATGTACAGAATCATATATTTTGTGCTGGCGCAAAACTAGGGAAACAAAGTATACCCGAAGAGTTGGAGGAACAAAAAAAAATCCTTGATAGTCACCAATTTTCTTCTCTTCTCTTATGTTCTCCGCCTGTTTGTACTTCTGCGAGAATTACGTTTCTCGGCCAAACTCAAGCTGTTACAGATCCGAAAGTAACAATTTGCCGAGTAAACCAGTCAGCCACAAACAGGATCGATATTGTCCTCGCTAGTACTCTGTACCGTTCTTTTCTGCCGCGACCCCCGTTCCTTTTCCCGCATTTTAATGCCGATGGCTCCCAAATCCTTTAGTCTTATTGCCAAATAAGGGGTTGGTCTCATCCCAGGAAAATCTTTCGCCGCGAACACCTGAAAAGATTGAGACCAGACCTCATGAAGGCACGGGGAGATCCCCAATTTCTCAGTTTCTTGGACATCTACTAGCCGAAACCGTAGCCGATACCAGCCTGCGGTACGCACGCAGAGATCGGAGAATATGAAGAAGGTTGCAGGAACATCCTGTGGAGCGTCTGAAGATGGTAGAATTCGTGGCGGGCGCATAAGAGTAGTACCTGAACTTTGCTCTCGGCTCGCCATTGAACGTGGGTGTTCGGGTGCATTTGCCAGATCGGGATCTACGCCGACTAGGAATGGACTCGCACATGTGCTGCCAGACAGAATTTTGCCCCGTTGTCTATTTGTCGGGTTGCTACCACCGTCACTGTTAACGGCTCCAGTCTCGCTTGGTTCCAAAAAGCACCCAGCATTGCTTTGTGACCGGATTTGCGGTTCAGGATTCACTCCATGCGGTTGGCTGGCCGGAAATAGATGACAGACGACAACGTGTTGCGGGTTTGTGAGCTGCTTCATATCTTCCTCAGAATGGGGGGAGAAATCGATCATTAGAAGCTGGATGACCGGGAGCGGATCAATAGGTCTTCGGGACTTATTTCCAAACCCGCAGGCACGAGCGGCAATGGGTTCTTGCCGCACAAATAAGCGGAGGCGCGAGCGTATGTTTGAGTCTATTTCTGATGCTGGTTGTGGCGGTGGTGGCTGGTGTAGTAGGTGCCTGAAGCCAGATGGCACGGAAGCAGTCATGGTAGCGCCGTGTTGTGCAGATGGAATAATTGAATTTGGAGGCAGCGTTCTCGAACGTATCGTGAAGCTTCACTATTGATAACAAGTTGATTATTAGAATGGTGGGCGTTTTATATCGGCACATGGACGGTCAAAAATTTCACCGCTTTCGCTCATTTCCTATTACTCTCTGGTTGGCTAGCAACAATGGCCCCTAGTCTGGTATAAGGGATGTGTGGCACTGCAGACGACATATCTACCCGTCGAGGCGTTGATACTGGAAGATAAGGAGGCTGGAACGGGTATTCCGGCCATTCCGGAGGATTGAATGAATAGGAAGGTCGAAATAGGTGTTCCATTGGCGAGTAAACCACGCTGTGTAACCATTGAGTGATCATAGCAAGGGAAGCTCATACTAAACAATGACAGGGGGTGCGAAAATTCCGAATCTGCTGACGATGTGCGGGTTGGGGGTCTGTGGGTGGGTATAGCGGTATTCCGGAGAATATTCTGACCTATTGGTACCAGCTGGCGTTCTGCCCTGCGCAGGATCCATTCTTGGGATTGAGAAGCAGAGACGGGTAATGAGGACGATAGAATGTACTATGCCTTACCTTGGTTCGACTCTGGTTTCCTCCGGGGACTGACGGTATGACAATGCATTCGTCGCTTTCAGTGAGCGAGTCCGCATTCGGGTTTCATGCAGTGTCTGAAGTGGGCTGAGAATGGATACCACCTGGGTACAGCTGTCGGGTCACCAAAGCTGGGGTTTAAGTGTGATAAGGACTTTCTTTTATATACAGGATAATAGATCCCAATCTTGGATTTCCGCACGTGTTACTTGTAAAATATACATCATGCCGGATTCGAACTCCAATCGCGATAAAATCAACAAAGACATAATGATAGTAATATCAATAATATTAAGCAAACTGGAGTAAGCCTATCCTCATCCCGTCCATGCCGACATCGGTTGGAAGGCTGAGCAACTATTAAAATGGAATATGACGGGAGCATCTCAGCTGGATTCATATGCATGCACCTCCAAAGCTAAACACGAGCTGGTGGGTCTGAGCCAAAGGAGCACGGTGAAGTTGCGGGAGATCATATGAAGGCCGAATCATCGATACCGAATAGCTAGGCAACATCATCTCAACGAATAAGGCAGAAGAACGGTAGCCTCTTCGGCGTCTTCGCTCACCACTGTTAGCCATTCTCGTTAGGTTCGATCGATCTGGAAAGTCAAAGAAGTCTAGCACTCGTTAACTATATCTTAGCTCCGAATTCCCTTTCCTTTTTTGCTTTTTTTCCTGTCAGTCACCAAGTCTATAGAGTACTTCCCGAGTAGATAGTTATTGTGGTAGACCTCATTTTAGGTTAAGGCGACGGTACCTTGATGATGAATTTAGTTGGCAGGAGCTGGTCCACAGCTACATAAGTACGGAGTGGTGTGCATCGATATGACATATGGAGATAGTCAAACTCTGGCTATCTCTCGAAGTCACTCTGGAGGGAAGGTCGGGGCGGAGGACCCGCGCTCCGAAATAGCAAAAAGAAGTATAACCAATGTAGCGAGAGTTAAATAGCTGATCCAAGGCGGTGGTTGCTTCGCGGAATCTCTGAGTGCTATTCAGATCCCAGACATAACCAACCGTCTCTTGTTTCCCAAGCGAGGAGCAGCCTGTTTTCAGGGTGCTATTTCGCGGAAGGAGTAGTATTTAGGAAGTTAGACAAAAGAAATATATCTTCCTTCTTGAAATAATACCCACAATAAAATGCAGAGAGCCGGAAGCCGGAGAAAGCTCAGGATCAGTTCGCTGTTCTGGCTCCATTTTCAGCTGCAAGACCCCAACAAAAAAGAGACTGGAGACATCTTCTTGTCGTTCATTGTTCAAAATTGATAGCCCCAACTGCGCCCTGAATCGGTGAACCTGATCAGCTGCCTTGCTAATAGCTCCATACTTAAGCTTTAACATGCCTCTGTAGAAGCTAGTATCTGCACATTTGTGTGTTTTTCACCTCTCCCAGACACTAGCCGTTAAAAATGGACGGCGAGGACCAAGTCTCACAAGCTGGTGTAAGATACTATGGTTCATCCAATAATGGCGTGGACCAATTCCACAGGCTGAGCATGTGGAATTCGGGGTCTAAAGGATTGATGGCTTGAACCTCGAAAACAGCATTTTTAGCTGGCAAAACGTGGCGTATTTTTCTTCGAGCGCCACATTGCGCTGTATCCTTTGACTGGTACGGAGTACAACATCCGTTAGACAGCGGCGAGCCTAAAGCAGATTCAATCTTTTACTTGCCTGTACTCGGAGCCAGCAAGCCACGCTTGAGTTGACGTGTGGGACTGTGACGCAACTTCCTCGAGCCACCGCGGATATGCCTGAGGTTGAAAATGCGGCCCCCATGTCCTGAGGCCGAGAACTCGGAAAGGAACCAAAAACTGAGGCACCGCTGTCCTCTTTCCTTTTTTCCTTTTTGCCTTTCTTTTATTTCCCCCTCCACCAAGCAGTCGCCAAGTAATCCTCTAAGAATAGCCCAGGCTCTTGGGCTGCATTGCATTCCATTCCTGCGTCCCCTTCGGTAAGTTATCGGTGCCCTATTTATATTTTGTAGCGATTAACCATCATAACAGCCCTGGAGGCTACTTCTGGGAGAACGAGCAGGCGTCCATGCCAGGAACTAACAGGAGCTGAGCTGTCACATTCCATGCAAGTTGTGCGCAGGGTCTTGTCTTAATCCTGTCAAAAGAGGGGGCACCAGGAGGCGCGTCCTTCGATGTGTGATAACAATCTCTAGCGGTGTAAGCGGTTGGGAGATCCCTGCGTGCTGTTCTAGTAGCTGGATACACGTGGAAGCACTGTCTCTCTTCGCTCATATGATAGTTTTTGAAGGTGGAGCGAATTCTTGCATGCTCATGGACACCGGCTAGGACTCCCGAGAGTCTAGGGCCAATATGTGCGTGCGTGCGGGAATGTCTCCAGTGTGCGTCAATTGTATGGCGGCAATGTCCACGACCCTATTTCAACCACCATCCAACTGAACGCTAGACGCCGATTTGCCTAACCTTCCAGGAGAGGTATTGAGGGCCGGTAACCCCCAGTTTCCTAGCCCAGCCTCTTCGCTTCGTTTTTTTTTTTTTTTTACTGCCAATGAACGAAGTTGCATTGAGCTAATTTCAGGCTTTTCCAATTGGTCAGTCCTTTTGGAGAGTTAGCGATGCATGGGCTGCAGGAGGATGGAAAGAAATTCTGCAAGATGCGATGTATTGTAGCAGCAACCTCGAGATATGCACGACTGTAGAAGCGTCTGGGGAGTGGCTTCGATACTCTCGTATGATGCCCAAATATAAACACGTTTGAAGCAAATTGCAGTTAAAGTCTTGAAGATCAATGCATGAAAAGGCCTAGAAATGCTAGAAAATATAATACATGCCATGCTACCATTCTAGCCCGGAACCCAGCCGGAAAGCAAAAGGTTAAGGCACGTGTCTGTGTAAGAAAAGCAAAAAGATACTATACATACAACGAACAAATCTATACTACATTACAATGGTATCCATAGCCGCAAAGTTGGATATCGGATATCTAGGTATACATGACGCTGTGGTGGTAGTTACAAAATATAGACATGTAGACAACGGTTAAAGACAGCAAAAACCTCCAAAATATATGTTGATACGTATCAACTTCACAATTCTGGTGACATAGAATTGATTGGTGACCGACATAAACCAGAGAATCGATGGTGGAATTGTATCTTGCATCTCCTTGCACCTTCTTGAAATGCAATTTATGATTTGGGGATGAACGAAGCGAACCATGGTAGGCGTAGAGCGCTTTCCGGATCGGACGCCAATGGATGGAGATGGTAACTTCGCTTCAACACACAGCATATTGCGTTCATGTTAATCAGTTTCCCTTGGGGAATTGACACGCTGTCGAAGGTGATAATGAAGCGGATGCTGAAATTACCTAGGTGACTTTCAGTCTAAAATTCCGAATTGAGCGAGGGTAGGCCGTATCTGAATCAAGGGACGCAGCCTCCAGTGTATGAGCAGCCAGGGCTCGTTCATGAGTCAAGGTAAGCGGCAGGGTCAACGTCTAGCCAATAACGAGTTTCCATAGGCGAAATAGCACCAGAGTATTCAGAAAACTCGGACTGAAAATCAGGAGATAGTTTCAGGCGGAGTGTGGCAACAGATGGGAGTAATAGATGTGAATTCTTGGGATACAAGCCAGGATCAATAGTCCCCCAGCCTTTTCCAAGAAAGATCATGATGAGGCGTTCATGTAACCGATCCCAGCAGATAATATGCCCCGTGTCTCTCCACTTCGAAATATCACCAGTTGTACTGTTGACCCCGCCTTCAGCAGAGCCTCGCCTTCTCTCGCAGACGTAACCGAGCTGCATTAGATAAAGCTTTCTCATACTCAATGGAATTGGTTTGCCGTCTATATCGTGAAAAGCACGGATTAAGCCCAATGATGATGGAGTTTGTGGGCCAGCTATATTGTAAGGTGATGGCGGAACATTATTGGAAAACTCAATGGGGCAGCATTGGGGCAGCCACGCAAACTCGTGAACTTGGCCTAGGTAATCCTTTGTAGAACCAAGGGGAACTTCGATGCCCTCAAAATCATGTAATAGGTTAGCGACCCTCGCAAGCTCCTTGGTCGATCTAGAAGAACCATAAAGTTCTATTTCTCTAAAGAGTCGCTTTATACAACCTAATGAGCCGGATTTGTTAGAATCGGAGTCGAGGCTTGGCAGCATCGCATCCGCAGGCCACTGATCCCACCATGGATCCGTATCAGTTGTCTTAAGATGGCGCCCTCCGCCGTCAGGATCCCAGGTGATACCAAGGCTAGTTTCCATGGAAGTGAGCGCTTCAACCATGATCACATTCATCGTCTGGCTTGAAACCAATTTCAGTAACCCCTCGCTGTTTTCCTGTTCAAGCAATTGTTTCCACATCGACGCCGGTAAAAAATCGTTTAGATTGGAAATGGCCGACAATTGTTCTGCAAAATAAGCCGCTTCGTAACCGAATCCCGATCTGAGAAGGGCGGCCAGGTAACTCGTTACAAAGGTTCGGACATGGCGATCGGATGGACTCTCTGTGAACCTATCCCGAACTGTAGGCCAGATGTCTAGTAATCTTCTAGAGCCTCCGATAATCCCAAGAAGTTGAAAATAGTAGCTATAGATATAACGTAGGCGAACATAACCGGACATAGAGAGCAAGGAAAATAGGCTTGGCTGTATTGCCGAACCATACTCGTCTAAACCAGTGACAAGTTCTCGCATCGGACCCAAATCGATCATAGGGCTTTCAAAAATACTCATTTGACATGATAAGTAGAGGTAGCGGAGGAGTCTTCTAGCCGAGTTCCTAGGTAGTGGACCATGTCCAGCAGCGACATAACTGTGGAGATAAGACCGAAGCGCTGGTGCGGAAAAATGTTGAGCAGCGGCGTGCATGCCAAGGATATGAAGTTGTTTCGGTACTCTGACCTTCAGCAAGGTAAATCTTGCAACAAGGGCATTCACCGTTGACAGAACTCTGGCTAGGTCTTCAGATTTGCCAGAGTACGTCAATGGGCCGATGATGGCATCATCGGATTTCCAGTATTCGCGGGCTACCTGGGGAGAGAAAATATATTTTTCACAAATGGCTTCGAATTTCGGCAATTCCGTCGGAACCATTAAATATTTGGGGTCAATTCTATCAACAACGGTAAAATGTCTATTGAGGCTTTTGCGTTTCGAGGGGTCTGTGTTGAAAATGGTCCAAGTCTCAGGCAAATCCGGGTTAGAGAATGCCTCGAGCATATATCCTTCGAGAGTCTCGGAGAAATATCTGTTGGATGATGTTTTTAGAGTCCCCGTTAAAGCATATCGGAGCAATTGAGACGCCGAAGGTTCCGGCCGCGGCGTTGACCTTCGTATATGGCGCAGGAGTTTATCAAAGGTCACCAGCCGGGGCGGTAGTGAGCTAGAGGCGTAGCGACAAAGACGAGGTTGCGGAGGGAGCCATGACCGGCAGATCAAAGGACTGGACATGAGGACGTCTCCTCTCTCTCTATCTCTCTCTACGAAAGTTTCATAGGGAGACGATCAGGGGAAGATGGGGTCCATATTGTTGAAGCTGAAGTTTCGCAGGAAAATCGAGAGTTGGAGATAAAAAAAACGGATTGTGACTAAAATTACCGCGCCGGGGTTCGCGGAAACCGTGCTAGTCCTAAAGCGGCAACTCCCCCCAACATGCCCTGGGTCAAACCTTTGCAACCAAAACCTCGAACCGTCAATCGTCGACTAGGATATGTTCTAGCTATTAGTTATATATCCACAACTTCTGAATTTCCATCAAACAATAGCTGGGAATCTGTTAGTAACAACGCCTGTGGTTAAACCCGAACCCCTCTTTTCTCTCGTGCAATCACGCCGGACCAAGATACCCAACAACTTGGTCGAGCTGTGGCCCTAACATACGGAACCAGTGACACCAACTGCCATGGACAAAGCCGGGGTGCAGAAGGCGAATAGCAACTCTCCTACATGTCCTGAAGAGCATCCCATATCAGATGATGCGAAGACTTTGTCAGCAGAACCTGAAACCAATAAGACAGTAGATGCTGCTTTCTCTAGGACTAAGGAAATGAGAGAGCGTTTCAAAGCACTTCAAGCAAGAGCCGTGAGTTTTCATCCGTCGCGTAGCTCCCATTGATAAATTCAGGGACATGCTGATTATAAAGTAGAAAAATGCCACGGAAAGGAATCTGAAGGAAACGGCAGCCGAATCGCAACGTCTAGCTACTGACCCTAGCCTTCTCTCCAGTATCTCCCGGAAGCATGCCTTTGCATCGCATAACCTTCTCAAAGCAGATACTGAATCACAGGGCGAGGATTTCGAGCGAAAGCGTGCTTGGGACTGGACTATCGATGAGTCTGAGAAATGGGACAAACGCATGGAAAAGAAACAGAGACACAGGGACGATACCGCTTTCCAAGACTATCGCCAAGATGCCCGAAAGATCTACAAGAGGCAGATGAGGCAAATGCAGCCAGACCTTGAGGCGTATGAAAAGGAGAAAATTTTGGCCGTGGAAAAAGCTGCCGCAAGCGGTGGACTACAGATAGTGGAAGCAGAAGATGGCGAGCTTGTTGCGGTTGATAAAAATGGCACCTTCTACTCTACGGCCGATTCAGTAGATTTCGCGGAGAACAAACCAGACCGCGCCGCGGTTGATAGATTGGTGGCGGACTTGAGAAAAGCAGAGGAGATTCGCCTGAAGAAACGTAAGGACCGCGGCCGGGGCGACGAAGAGGATGATGTTACCTACATCAATGACCAGAATAAGAAATTCAACCAACAATTGGCGAGGTTTTATAACAAGGTGCGTTGGAGGCGTATTTTATAAACAGTACTTCTTGCTAACTTTTATTGTTTAGTATACTGCGGAAATTCGAGACAGTTTCGAACGGGGTACCATGATTTGAGAGAATATTTATTGTACAAGCGAGAAGAGAATCGTCTTTCTCCGCAACACCGGATTCAAAGGAGAAAGGCAATGGCCCCAGATCAAAGCATAGATCTTCTCCAACCCTTCGTTGCTAACGTCTCAATCTTTTTGGGTCCTACAACACCTTGGACATCATCATCACCAATTGCCTCCACGACAGCCTCGCCCACAATATTGACGTTTAGCGGCTTTGCAGTCATCATTCCCAAAAACGAGAGCCTTCCTCCAAGAAGCGCGTTCACTTCCGATCCTACGATCCCGCCCAGCGCAATGGGTAATGTAAGCTTGCGCGATGAATCGTACATGAAAGTCGGTCTTATAAAAATACTGCGGAGGCCAGGGAGGTTGGAAGATACGAGAGCCTCGGCATCCCTTTTTGACGTGATGTATCTTTCCGGAACTACTGGAGCTCCGGCTGCAGCTGATATGAAGGCAAAGGTCGGAACATGCTCGTAGGAGGCTTCTTGCGCGAGAGCGACAGCTTTTGCAGGAAAGTATTAGCATAGTTAACGGCACTATAAAAAAAATGAAAATGCAAGTTCCAAACCAACCAGAGTCCCGATTCATGAGCTCATATGTCAATTGGCCACCTGCTTCTTTGGCTATCAATTCTTCTCCCTCTTGCCTTTGTAGCGGATTTTGGCTTCCGGGCCTAGAGGATGCGAACAATTTCTGTAGTCCACTAATTACTGATTCTCTCCCTTGTACAATGCCCTTGTAATCCGCTTCTAAAAGTATTCCCATGGAATGGACGACCGCGGACGCTTCTTTGAGGAACGGCTTATAGGTGGCGGGTTTTAGAATATCGGCTTTTGCCCATTCAACAGACTTCGCCCACCGTGGCGCATGCGAGGACGAGGTAATAGTTTCCCAGGCTGGTTCACCGTGTCGACTAAAATATAAAACGAATCATTAGTATGATTTCTGGGTGTAGGGCGAGTAGTCAGGTTAGCTTAAAAGGACGAATTACCTCAATGATACTACATCCCATCCTCGAGTCACAGCTGATTTGCATATTCTAGAGCCTATATCGTCAGAGTCAGGTAAACTGGTTAACACGGAACTTGCAATCCCGTTGTGATATGACAGCTATATATTTACCTAGAAATCCGCTGCCGCCTGCGACCACAATTCTCTTCGTCACCGCCATTGGTATTAATTTAGATCGTAGGCGTCAGTATATTATCACCAATTATTTTATTATTATTGTGTACTTAAATGTTTTTCGGAGCTGTAGGAGCTCATTTGCAGCGATATCATTGCTCCCGTCAAGCTGGTTCATCGAGCTTCTGCATCACGTGACTTAAAGTTAAAGTCGGCGATTGTTGAGAACCCAAACCTAAAACCTCCATCACGCTTCTCACGCAGAACTCTTTGAAGCTACTACTAAACATCTGAGCTAACTTCATTCCTCCTGCTCATATCTCTGTTTAAATAGCCTTTGGAAAAATGGCTCCCCCAACAGGCACAAAGCGCGTTCGCGTGAGTCTACGCCGTAAAGTCCGCAGCTACCTAACTACCGCTCGTGATGCTAACTTATTTCGCAGGGAATCTCAATCTTTAGACCGTTCGGTATGTAATAGTTTGTACAGACACGCTCCTTCATTCACCAACTCTCGTTCTTCCTCGTCTAACGGTCAAGTTCGCAGTTTTCGGAAGCGAAGCGCAGCCCTTTGACCCTGCAAAACGTCCTCCCAACGCCCCTGAAGACCACACCCACCAGTGGCGCGTATTCGTCAAAGGAGTCAACGATGAAGACATATCATACTGGCTAAAGAAAGTGCAGTTCAAACTGCATGAGACCTATGCACAGTGCGTGCGCACCATAGAATCGCCGCCGTTCGAGGTCACAGAGACGGGGTGGGGCGAATTTGAAATTCAGATCAAGTTATATTTTGTTGCGGAATCGACAGAGAAGCCGCAGACGCTATGGCACAGCCTAAAATTGCACCCGTATGGGGATGACATCGAGGGGAAAAAGGAGAGGCGAGACGTTATTGTGGCTCAGAATTATGAAGAGGTTGTGTTCAACGAGCCTGTTGAGCAGTTTTATGATCTTCTTACGGGCGGGTCGGGAGTGGTGCAGCACCAACTTCCTAAGGGGAAGACAGGGAAGGGAGCTAAGCAACCCCAACCACAGCCAGAGAGGACGGCGGAGATCCCGTACTCAGATAGCCCGAGGAACCCTTATAGTCAAAAGACAGAAGCGAAGGAGCTGGATAGACTGGCTGAGGCCCTTAAGACTGTAGATCAGATGCTTAAAGAACAGAAGGCGAAGCTTACGGAACGAGAAGCTAAGTTGGATGAGTTGAGGAAGAGCGAGGGTGTTACAGCCGTTGTGAAAAAGAAATAGACGTTTTCTCTTGCCCTTTTGTTTTCATGCAAATTCGAAGGATATCGAGGCATTGGAATAATGGGCGAGAAATCTCGCATCTGACCAGCTCTGGGTATGCTCCGTCTAACTAGAGATTCTATTACTTAACAGTTCCCCTAATAGCAGGTTCCCTATTCCTGCCTCAAGGTCGAAGCGCGACGAAACAGTATCGCTCTGTCATCTATCCGTATGGAAGATTAACGGACTTCCGTTCCCGAATCCGAAATCCCGGTCTCTGATCACCAGAAACCGAACGTCGAAATTTCATATTTATTACTGACCCGCCTTCTACGCTGGCCCTTAAGGAATGCCGAACCGATCCCTTCCAAAAATGTTCGTTGGTGCCAATTTGACATAAATGTCGATTTCACGCACATTTCTATCCGCTTAACAACTATTCAACAATCACGCCCAAACACACAAACACACAAGAAACCCACAAAAAACCCACAATATTTCCCCTTCATCCCCATCTTTGGAGGATCCAAACTACAGTGGTTGAGTTCTCCGGCTCCATCGAAGCTCTATCATCATCTGAACAGTTCCAGACGCACGAAGGGATTTCTGGAATCAATTGGCCATGTAGCGGCCGCATGTACTCACTTATACTGCAGAAACCCTCGTCTGTTTCCGACGGCCATTACACCCTCCATTTAATATTGAGCCTCTCCTGTGCTTCTACGAGATGCGGTTTAATATTATTTGGGAGAAAATCTTTGCTTAATCAAGGTATAGAGTTCTGCTAGAGCTCTTGCACCGAATCAGGCGTACATATATCTATCCGGCCTTCTATTGGCGGTTCTTGTGATGGACATGGCCATGTTTCTAAAACAAGTACAATAAAGGCGAACGCCCCACACTGAAAGTTTTAAATCTAAGGAAGAGAGCGCTTCAGAGACGAAACCCAAAAGAATAATAGAAAATCTAACAAATCCGCAGCTGAAGAAATCTAACTCCATGACATTGGACATCGCCAAAGCTATATTTCATTCCACAGTCTCTCGTATATGCATGATCAAACCCGCATTCCCAATCCAAATCAAAAATCTACTCCTTCGCCCCAAACACCTTTACTCTCTCCTCCAACGGCTTAAATGTCTTCTCCATTGGTTCGCCCGTTGCAGTGCCGAAGACCATCTGTGCGACCTGCTCCCATTCAGTAGGGATGGACCATGCCTTAGCAACCTCCTCGTCGATTATGGGGTTGTAATGTTGCAAATTTGCGGCGAGGCCGACTGATCGAAGGGCTAGCCAAACTACATAACAATGGGCTATTAGACATATGGGGTTTTCAAGCCTGACGCAATGGCAGAACATGCGAAAGGGATCTTTCAGATAAGACATAAGAGTGGGAAGGAGGGGGGTTTACGAACGGTAGTATTGATGCATGGCACTCGTATGCTGTGTCCAGGGGTGAAATCGATCTGCATACGCCGGGAATTTCTCTGCCAGAGGCGCAATATGTGCTGGGTCTTCGAAAAACAGAATCTACATGCGCGCAAACAGTTTAATTATGTGAATTTTGCGGAGAACAGGCAAAAGAAAGAAAGTACATACGGTCCCATATGCTGCCCTAAATCCCTCCAACTTGGGCTTTGTATGGTTCTCCCACATTTCCTTCGGCACTTTTCCCGACGCGACCATCCCTTCCTCGAATGTCTTGGACGCTAGATCCCACAGCTTCGTATGCTCCTCATGCAGGAGCAGCACGAGGCGAGTGGACTGTGTGTTGAAACTACTTGGCACGTGCAGGATGGCACTGTTGACGAGTTCCTGGATCTCCGAGTCTGGTACTGGGCTCGAGGCGGACAGCTGATAGACTGAGCGGCGAGCTTTGGCGAGTTCTATCAAGCCAGCGGTGGTAGCGGCGGGGACGAGGGGTTTAGGCGTGGCTACAGTCATTTTTCCGGGGCCTGTTTTCGGCACTGGCACTGGTGTTGGAGCTGTGGAAGATTGGCGGATTTGAGAGAACAGAAAGACAAGTGCCGCTGGGACTCTAGACGGGTGTGAAATTGGTGCTTGATAGGAAAGGACGATATACGGGAACAATCTAGGGATATCGGGAGGAAATGAACTCGTTTGAAGCTGCTTGGTTTAAGGGAAAAAAAATATTATGAGGAAGTTAGGGAAAGGAGCTGTCTTTTAAAAGAACAAATTGTGTGTAGGTCCCCGCGGCGCGGCATGGTGGCGCGCTCCATCGCAAGAGTTTATCAGAAACTCAGAAGGAAACATTCAATTATTCATAACTGACAAATTGGCCATTTTCAGCGACACAGTAGAAGAAAATGAAAGCGGAAAGGGCGGGCGCCGCATATACCGCCGGAATTGCTTATACCCCGACTCCCAAACGGCTTTGGACATTCATTCCGGGCTTGAAGGGAAAAAATTTCGGCCCGGCGCTAAAACGATCTCTAAGCGCGTTATCATCCATCCCACACGCCAGATGGCATTACATTACCAATGCTTAACAAGCCTAAGTCCATCCGTGTGACATGTTCATGTACTTGGCGGACAGTAAAAGTAATCATTAAAAATCAAAAATGTATGAAGCTAAAAATAATTACTAAATAAAATAAAATCTTATTATTACGCAACATTAGTGATTCAAATAGTTAACTGAAACTATCACTCTTACCAAAGCGGTTACGAGTTTGACCCGGCTTCATCAAGTTACCGTGCACAGAGTGTACAAAAACGCTTCTTAGAGAATAAATCTCACCGTTGGCTAAAAGAGCACTTGCACCGAATCTTGCATATAATAATCATCGAGGTAGAATTAATAGTAAATATTATAGCTACTATGTAGCACAAGCAGGTTAATAAAGAAAAAAGAAAAAATAGAAAAGGGGGAGAGAAACGAAAACGAAAAGGCCTCCAAACTCGACCGACCATAACAAAAGCCATTAGAAAAGAAAATCTAATATACATCAACTACCCTCTTAGCCAAAGGCGCAGGCAGACAGTCTTTCTGAACGTTCATTATTCCAATGAACCCGCCGGTATTACCGTAAAGATGGAGGTACACCCCTCCTTTCCCCAGTCATTACTATATCTTCCCCTCCGCAAACGTATGGAAGTCACCCCGCGGCCCTTGTAACGAACATTCGCTAGGCCCCTGATCCTGATGGGTCCCTCTGTACCACCCGTCTTCAATGAGTCGACTTTCCGTTTCTCGCCAATACTGCAGCTTCCCGCCGATTCCACTCTTGAAATCAAGATCTCCCAGACGTGCTTCGAGCGGTTCATGTTCGTCATGTGGAACCTGAAAAATAGAAGGTCAGCCATAGCGTACTACCATTTTCTTCTTCTGGTGATGCCAGCCACTTACCCTAACAAACATGGTGCAGTCCCTCAGCGTCATGGAAATCGCACGTTCCCGGATATGTGCCCGTAAACCAGGGAGGCCCACTGCATTCATCTGGCGCTGACACTCCTGAAGTTTAAGTAGGGTGCTATTTCGATGCAAGAACGCGGCGACACGCTCTCTCCCATGACCTCCACGAATAAATCGTGTTGCGCGCAATACATCCTCAAAGCTATCCGAAACTAAATCAAGCGGGCAAAATGACTGCTTTTCGGAGCTGCCAGCTTTTCGTGCATTATAGTTTTTCATCTCTCGCAACGCACAAGTCCTGCATCGTTTTGCATCGGGTGGCGCTGATGGCGACTGAAGCAACCACTTCGGTTTGAATTCCCACAAGCATTCGCCTGACCCTGGTGCAGGAGTCATGTCAGTGATCATTAAACCGAAGGGCTCCTTGACGGATAAGTAAACACCAAAGCGTCCTTTTGGGCGTAAATTGCGCGCTTCATCTACACGGAGCTGTTCGTTGCAATATGCTATGAATCCTTTAGGGAGCCTAACAAGTTCCTGGTCGACCAATTCGTGATCATCAAACATAGGTCTGATGTAGCTATCAAAGTTATTCATGGTGTCGGGGTAAGGCGTGCCCGAACCGATCTGCTTCCGCAGCCGCAGCAATTTCCTGCTATTCTGCTGTTGCCCGTACCCATTTGTCGTAGCTGCTGGAGCATGGTTATTGGGAACCGTAAACTTGTAGACTATATTAGCGCCGCCTTCGGCAAGATAGGACGGTTGAGTGCCAGGAGGGATTTCCGGAAAGGTATGCGCTGCGGTATCAGAGGTTTGGGACGTAGTGTTATCTGATTTTAGGTGGCCCATTCCTGTTAAGTTGCCGCGGCATGCCTTTGTGCTCTGCTTCCCCAGTCCACCGTGTGGTTGCGAGGGGGTACGAGTGTGGGATGGCTTTCGATGTCGACAAGTGAAGTTCACGATAAATAAAAGAGCGGACAAGCCAAGGATGACGATTAGGCCGACCATTTGGAGATAACCAATTGCTGGCAACAAATGAACCAATAAACCAACTAATATTCTTTCAATGCAAGTTCTTAAAAGACAGAATGGCTTGCGAAGGGGGAGTACTGTGCCGCAACAGCTACTTGAATTGGTTCTGCCAGCCCACTTAATAGATGCCAACTCCAGTATATAAGACCTTTGTCCCAGCGCTGCGCAACCTATTTACCCCTTTCTCGGATTGAAGTCGTCAACCCCGGTAAACCATTGCTATTTATGTAAGGAGGCGCAAATGTTTTTTGTTGGGGAGGGCCAGATGTGACCCAGCCAAAACCCCGAAGACACACAAGGGCTTGGGATGTGACGAGGAATATTGGAGTATGTCGATATAACTCCCCTGAAATCTGAGGACCGCGGCACAAGAAAAGATGAATATCTCGGGGGGTAGAAAAGAAAAAAGAGGAAGAGAGAAATGGTATATCACAACAACAACAACAACAACAAATATACTCCGTCTATGTAGGTGCGTAGAGCTCGTTCACGGGAGGAAGTAGCACCCTCAATGCGGCAGGTAGACAGGAGCAAAATCCGGTCGTGTAATCAGCCGCTCCGCCGAGCAAGAGGGATCATGCAGCAGATGCCGGGCGTAACGCTGGTGAACCGAGTGGTCCAACAGCCCGCGAAGAGACAGGCCAACTTGGACTTGGGCTGAGGAGGGGTTGACCTTGGGTTTTGGGTTTTGGCGGGCGCAACTGACACTGGCGGCCGCTGGAGACGAGGTCGGGGAAGGAGAGGCCTGCGATTGAAGGCGATGAGGGTTGAATCCAGAGTTTCCATTCCCAGGCGGTCAGTGCAGAACAATCACCTCTGCGAAAGAGTCGGCTTAAGCTGGGTGAGAGAGGAGATATATACAAGGTATGATTGGTATGAAGACAGGTTTCGGCCCGGTGATGGGATGGGGTAGGTAGATAGATGGCTTTGACAGCACTCTCTTTCGATGCTTTTCGCTTTGATTTTCTTTTGTAATCTTTCTCTCCTTTCTGGGCTCTTTTCTTTTAATCTTTTGGTCCGCTTTCTTTGCTTTACTCCTTCACTGTCCTCTTGCGAAATTTTTGAATTGGCAACGGCGACGTGAAAGATGGCGTGGCCAACTTTCTTCTCTCGCCACAAAAAAAATATAAAAAAATAAACAGTAACAGCCCAAGAGGTCGCGCAGGCGAACAGCTCGAGTGGCTTAGTTCGATTCTTCTACTTTCGAGGTCGGCTAACGCTGCCTTTCGCGGTGTCTGTAGGCGTCCTCAGATTAAGTCTTGCGGTGGTGGTATTGTGGTCGATGAGGCAGCGGAACCGGGTTAGTTATATGGTCAAATGTGCGCCAGGAAAGTACAAATATCGTATTGACTCCCTGGAGGGCAGCCAGCCTGTGGGCACGAGAGGTAGCTGTATATATCCCAATTGACAATTGAGGGCGGGCCGAGATATCTCAGCGTAGGGTTTGAGTTCTGGTTAAATCCGGCTCATGCCCTCGTGTTCAAAGGATTTGTCGCATAAAACCTCGGGGCCTGCTTTTGTAGCTTTTTCCTTTGGTTTAAAAACACAATGGGCCAAAATTGAACCGGCGATGGTTAGGAATAAGAAAAAAGGAGCCAGTCAAAAGAAGTAAACTGATGGATCAGTCGTTAACAAACAAACTCCGCGTAGGGAACTTCCCGCAGTTGGCAACAGAAGAAGGTAAACTCAATTTATTTTTAAGTATTTACTTTTTTCCCCCACTCTGTTAACATGTGTTATTTATGATAATTATTACATTTATTCTTGCTCAAACATTTAGAACCAGACTTGGCCATGCTGAACTAATTAAATAAGGTGGCTGCAAGCTTTTTTTTGCGATCCACAGCTCCCGGTCAACAGTGGACACTTTTAGATGTCAATAATAATAATAATAACTAGTTAGTTACTATTTAGCACGCGGGGAACCCTTCAGCTCGGGACAGCAGGATTCACCACATGTTTGGGGCATCAAGATGCAGCGGGAATGTTATTTTTGTGAAATGGCATGTCCAATCTAGCGTAGTGTGAGGGGGGGTAACTTACGCTGTAGAGGTTTCCCGGCGGCCAGTCTAGTTAATTTCAATGGGTGATTTTAGAATTTTAACAATGAAATTATGAAGAATTTGAGATGTATAAGAGAAATCACAGTCAGTAAGTTAATTAATATTAAAAAAGAAGTTTTTCTTCTTTTGAATCTGAAACATTTTTGCAGTAAACAGAGATTGTTTTCTTTCTTAATTACTTGAATGTTATTGTAACACTGTGATAATGTATGTCAACTGATTTCATATTTTTTAGTGATTTCAGTGTAATTAGAAACCAATTGCAGGTTCAAATCATCAAATTGCTACTTGTATAACTACTTCATGATGCATATTGTGAGTGTTTGAAGGTGGATAAATAAAGGAAGAATTTGAGTGAGTGAGTGTTGAATGATGAAAACAAGTGTTGTAGTGATTTGATTATGTTAGTTAATTAGTTAGTTAGTTGTTAGTTATTGTTGAGAGTCCCGGGAGTTGGTCGGCCCTTCTATCAGCAGTGCACTGGTGGTGATTGAGCTCTTTTACCCCAGTCACTAGCCTACAGTTATAGTTGGTTATCTGTGGTTATGAATAATTTATCTCAGGAGCTGCAGGTAGAGTTAGGTTAGTGATGATGAGTGCTCCTTGAAAAATATTGTCTATTGAAAAATGACAAGAAAGCATGTTCTTCATTTATATCAATATTGAAATATAGAACTATATATATATATATTTATTTATTTTTATGCTTGGGTGTGGTTTCTGCCAAGAGAGAAAATTCAACAACAGACTATGATAACACAATGAGGTAATAGCTTGTACATAGTTACATGTACTAACTAGTTAGTTAGATCTTAGACATTCAATATCATCTCACTGAGACAGTCATTGATCTTGAACTCATCAGTTTCCCAGTATCATTCTTTAATATATATGTCCACCACTGTCTCTTTACAGGCATATCCCCTTCCAAAAATCACACCACCCCACACCCAGCCATGGAGAGCATATCTAGTACAATTACCACTCCGTCCCATTGTACGGCGGATTTCTGCCTGATCCCGGTATGTTATGGCATGTATATCTGTGCAAAAAAAAAAAAAAAAAAAAAAAAAAAAAAAAAAAAAAAAGTGTACTTCATTGGCAAACCACAATTTCCTACATCAATTTATCCTCTCTGCCTGCCCCGATTTCAAGAGAGTCCAATCAATTAATGAATGAGAAATCAATGATGTATCACTGGGATTTTTCTTTTCTATGTATATATTTAAATATATATTGTCTGCCGCATTTGCGTACATTGCTAATTTCTTCACCAGATTGGCACATCTTCAGCGTCAGTATCTCAACAGGTCGCTGACGTCCAACGTCTGGTTGAGAAATCCGGTGTGAAATATGTCATGCATTCAGCAGGAACAACTCTTGGTACGTTCAACTACTTTGGCCTTCCTGTCTACAGCTAGTCCCCATTACCATTTGCCAGTTAACCTGGAGCGTAAATACCCTCGAGGATCTGATTGCGTCTTCTTCATGGTTTCTCTTTTCGTCTGGAAATAAAAAGCTAACAACCAGCAGAAGGATCATGGGACGCTGTGTTTGCCGTGATCGGTCAGGCGCATACTATGCTCCATAAACAGGGTATTGTGCGTATCCAGACGGATATCAGAGTTGGGTCAAGGTGAGGACTTTGCTTTTTCTACCCTACCTATATTTTTATATACACCTCTGTTCCTGTTAAATTCATGTAAAAGTTGCATCGAAAAAGTCAAACTTATAGCTAACTGGTGGAAATTCCAAAAAAAAAAAGAACCGATAAGGTGCAAAGTATGGAGGACAAAGTAGGCGTTGTCGAGAAGCTGCTGGGGAAGTCATCTTAATTTTGAGGCTACTATCACGAATATGTGCTACATATATTTTGACCTCGTCGGAAACAAGTTGGGTTCTTTCCATTGCCTGTATGCTCTCATAATTGAGCTCGCCAGATTTGCCGACATCATCTGGCGAGGATGTTTTCCCAGACTCGGTTGCAAAGTGGTCGGCTCTTTCAAATTTTTATCATGACTGAGAATCACTAATTATGCATGAAGCTGGAGGGATCGAATCATTGAAAGAGGGGCCTATAAGAAGAAACAAAACAAAAAAAATCTATTATATAGCATCGTACTCCTATTTAATAAAAGTTAAATGTGCCTATCCATACTCAATAACATTCTAGAATAATCAACAGTGGGTATAGTGTGAATATATTAAAAATTAAATCAAATAGCAAAGGACCCAAAGAAAGACGCCTGCTTGTATACATAGCTATCGTGACGATAGCTTTCACGGCAAAGGGAAATTTCAGGAAAAAGAGAATGCCCTCCCAGCCCAAATACCTATCTTGCTAGATATTCTCTACCTTTCCTCAATCTCGCATTCGCTCCCAGCTCTACCCGGCCAACATCTTTGTCTGGTTGTACATCCCCAAATCATCCATGTTTCCGATCTAAGGCAGTTACTCCCCAAGAATTTGCTAAAAGAGCTGGTAGTGGGCCTGTGGTATCATCCATGGACAACTGGGCACCTAACCGGAGCATCACGAACGCATCTAGAGTACTGACAAATGTTGGAACTGAATAAGTATATCCCGCCACTGCGATAAGGTTCAGCAGGAATATGCCCAGCAACACAGAAATGGCAATGACATCCACGTTGCTGATCACAGGCATTGGTGCGTCGTTACCCACGTCGGACTGAATTTCAAAGTTTCTGTCACTGCGGTTGCCACTGATCAAGCCAACCTTTATAGGCCAGGTAAAACGGCGGCAGTGAGTGTGTGCCTCATTTGAAACTCTTCCCAGTTCATCGAGTACTTTCTAGCTTACCTGCGTATCATCTGGACGTCTGAGGCAATTCAACCAAGCCTCCTGTATATCGGAGCTATAACTCTCACGACGTTCTTTCATCAGGTTGACAAGGGGGGCTAGGTCTCTGCACGGGCCGTAGCGATCAGTGCCAGTATATCCCAAGGGCGGAGTGTGAGCGTGCGGCGATGAAGGAACTGTTGCCAAAGAGCGCCTTGGCGACCGTGTAGAGGGGACCTAGGTTGACTCTGCGATCGAGATCTTCGGAATGTCGTATTCCATATCGACCTTAAATCCTACTCCTTTGCTATCGTGCAGGGGTAGTTGTAAAGTTAGTAGACCAGCGTTTCGATTTCCGACTATCACAATTGTTAGTAATGATTCTGTTAGCAGATTCCATACATTGAAACAGAGCCCAAGCGGCGGTTGAGCTGGATTTCACTAGGTGACTCGCGTAATTATTAGCATATCTCCCTGATCAGTGAATGCTCATCGCAAACTCGTCAGGGTCTCGTGGCAAAAGGTCACCACCAGCAGTGTTATTATTAATATAATAAGGCAATTCGGAATACCCTGAGGTACTATCGGCTTCCACCTTGAAAACAGTTGGTCCGCCGGAAAAACCGGGGAAATTGATGCCATAATCGGATAAAGGGCTTCTGATATGGTATGCGGAGTTCGGAATTGGATTTTCCCATGGCGAGTTGCCTTGGGTTGCTGGCATGCACGCCTTGACGCTGTAATGGGGATTTCCGGCTATCATCCCAGAGTATGCCGCATAGAAGGAACTAGGGAGACTCGAACCGTCAGCGGGCAAGTCATCCATGGGAACAATATCACACGAAACCGTTGAGTTGTGTCCGGGAGCGAATTGGCGCAGTAGGCCCTTGTTGAACGTTGTAAATGTAGGAGATATACACGATTTCCCTGGGTCTAATTCGCCCAAACGATGACCGGCTATGTGAAGATATAGCCACTTGTTTCTACAATGAAGCGCTAAGGGATCACAGTGCATGGAGTCACAATAAGCTTTTTTTAAAGTTGCGTGGACCGGATCTTCTCTATAATCTAGGCGATTAGGACCGTGAAACCGAATATCCTCCATTGAACTCACACAAAGAGAGGAACAATCATTATACCGTCACCGTCGCTATCAAACTAAATGCTTCATTTTGCGACCAAAGCACTATCCAACTGCCATTCCGCCGCCAACAAGCGAACCCCGGCCACCACCGACTCATATCAAATTATCAAGCGACGGATACGATCCTAACTTCACCGTCTCCAACAAATTCGAAAGGTCCCGTAACATGTTAGGGTAGGGCATGGTTTTTCCGAAATCTCGAGTCCTTCTGAGTTGGACCGGGGCGCAGGTTTCCTCCCTTCGCGATCGGCAAACCCATTGAGCTTACCAACTGTAGCAAATGCACGCCCCTGATCGAGGAAATCAACAAGAATAACTGCCGGTCGACGTCCCTGACAAAATATTTTGACAAACGGACAAAGTTTGTGCTGGTAATTTTTTCCAACTTCGGGGGAAACGATCCCCAACTCATTTTGAGTGCCTTGGACATGGTTTATAAACGGTAAGCGTCCTGATGAAAGGACCACATTAATGTTGCTTTGAACCTGGGAAGGACGGCGTGGTTTTCATAAGAATTCCGTGGGGGCGATACGATTTCGAATTGCGTTTCGAAGACAACAGTGAAAAATCGTCGATGATGCAAGGCGTGATGTGATGGAGGCGGTGGAGTCGTTTGGGGAGGCCACGAAGACAATGAGGCGAGTGCAATGTGGGACAGACCGTTGGTGGTAAATTGGGGATGGAGGAGTATATACATGGATGATAATATGCGCGGCTGTAAATTCCGCATCGGGAGGGAGAATGACAATGTATAATATCACATTTAGTGATGACAGCGGAAGCGACAGAGTCCGCTCCCATTTGGCATGGAATATAAAACATTTATATATAGTATGCGTGACAACGTAAATTTGTAGATGGAAACACTCCATAATCCCACATAGCACGGCGTCCTGAAATATCTCCATTTCACCCATGATCCACAATCGCCGTTGTATTTCATCTGGGAGGTAGACATATTTCTGCATTCAGCGCGTTTTCAGCGTAGTCGGAATCTAAGGAACCAGAAAGATGTAAGCTTAATAAACTCGACATAGAGAGGTGATTGAAAACATACACTACAAGCTTATTAATAGTTGTGAATGCTTGGCTACCTCAGGTATTTGCAAAAAGATAAATACATTCATTGGGTAATCCAAACAACCAACCATGTCAACACTCGAGGCAGTAAAAGCCCTAGTAATCACCATAATCATTGTGAAGCTGTTTTTCCGCCTTCACTCTTTCTTCTCTATATGTCCTTTGCCTCGATACACGTGGATAATCCGACCTCTCTGACGACCTGCCTTCCTCATTCTCTTGGCCTGGGGTGCGAGTTTTGGGGTTCACGAGGTCATACATATCCTCTTGCGCCAAGTACCCAAACAACGGCAATTCCCACACATTATTTATATCTTCCAATATCTCTTCAAGGGTCCATGGATTCGTAGAACGCAACATGCGGTTTTTCGGGCGGTTGGAAACTCGGTACTCACCAAATAGCACAGCGAGTCGATGTCGAGTTGCCCGGCGAACCGTGTTCATTTGCACGATCACCCCCTTTAGTTTCAGCTCACGCAAGAGGACGTGCCCTCGTATCCAGGGTATGATTTTCTCGCGCTCCGTGCTGAACGGATTGTAATATATTTCCCTGGTGTTGGGCGGAAGGTTAAAACCCCACGCGATTATGGCATATTGTAAGTGCACAGAAAAAAGCTGGCGGAAGGGAGCATTCGGATGTGCAGCTGGCAGGAACTTCCCATGGTCCACATTGGAGGTAGGGCAATCAGCTGAGGCAGCGTCAGCGTCAAAAGTTGACGCAAAGCGCTTGGGATTGATTGGCGAGTAAAAATGTGTTAGCCAGAGGCACAATTTCCTAAACTCTTGCCAGTCACCGCTCATGCCAAGTCGTTTCAACACTTCCCTCCAACAACGTGGTGGAACCTCCATCCCAGTGCTCACCATATTTTGCAATGTGCCAATCAAAAACGTGATTGCACGAGAATTCTCCGGATTGCGAGGTTCCTGTGTTCCCGGCCTCCGTTGGGGCAGTATCTTCTTGACCATAACATATAGAGAATAATTTGCCGGGGAAATGTCATGTTGCCTCATTTGGTCCAGCATGCGGGGTATTTTTTGCCAATCCCTCATGTGTGCTGCATTACGGAGGAGGATGTTATAGTGAAGAGGGTCCTCAGTAGACAAGATGGACAGGGCTTTGAAGAGCATACGAGCCCGTCCCATCTCACCAGCGACAGAAGAGGAATTAAAGAGCCACTCCACGGTTTCCAGGTCCTCCAGAACATCCGGGTGCAGATTGCTCTGCAAAAGTTCATACAATATGAAGTCATTTCCTTCAGAGGCTAGTTTCTGGACAACCCTCGAAAACGCCGAGTTTCCGATTGAAATCCCTTCTTTCTTCAAAATATCGATCTGTTCACGTAGTTTTTTCGCGCCTCCAGCCTTCAAAGCCATCTGTCTCAGGGTTTGCGGCCTGATAGCGGTAGCGCCAAATGCCTTGACGCCGGCAAGGATAAGATCAAACGTAAACGTCTTCGTAGCGAACAAGCGGGCACCGAGCTTGTCGTTGACAGCGTTCGTCTCTTTTTGTTTAACTTCCGGAGGGACATTTATACTCGTTCGATTCCCGCTCGTTGGGCTGAGAGTTATTATTGATATATCGTTTTGGAACAGGCCTTTCAACTTTAAATTGGCTAGGAACAATTCTATTTCCGGCTTCGAGCCAAAATGTCGTAGATGTTGTATTAAAGGCGAGATATCTTGTGCTGATTGGGGCAAATCGTTCCGTTCTATGAGGAAATTATGCATTGCAAGAGCATCGGCTAGTCTTCCAGCCTTCACGAGAAATGGCACAGTATGGCAGTATATCTGGTGATTATCAACTGTTCTGCATACCTTCCTTAATGCTCTTAAACCACCATCGATTGAAACCGCGGGTTCAAATAGTAGCAATAACATAGCATTTGGGTTTGACAAGTGAGTGTCTTTTAGTTTCTCGTGCCATTGGACTCCCCTGGAAAATTTGCCCGCTTTGAATAACCCGAGCACAACAGACTTGTAAAATTTCTCTCTATCCCAAGCCTTCCCAGATCGCTCATAAAGTTCGCAGGCATAGGAGTATACTTCAGTCAAAAAATCATTGCGTTTCCAGCCAACTATGATAAAGTTTCTCCAGAAGAGCGAAGCATATTCTCCTTCCACAGGTAAGTCGATTGGTTGTCCTCTTTCCCTTAAGCCCTTCCAGATATCTACCACGCCATCGTCTCCATAGTGTCGTTTGCGATAAAGGAGCAAGTGCTTCCAGAGCGTAAAATCATTGGCAAAGGGGGGACTGTCAACCAATTTGGTTCCAATATCTCTAGAGTGGCCAACGTCCGATTCAAACTTGATCCTTTCGGGATCCAACCGCCAATCTCCGGAACGAAAAGCATCTGAGTCGTGCAAATAATTTGAGAGCCGGGAGGTCGCGGCAGGTGTCTTCTCTTCCTTTGAGGTTGTCAAGGAGGCTTTCATGACCGAATCTATATTGAGGTATCGCTGGAAACTAAGGGAATGTCCGTATGGCTTTGCGTGAGTTGTGGTGGGACGACTACGGCCGTACAGCTTTGCATCTTGACTTCGTCGCCGGGTTCCGTTAAGGACTGTGATTTTGCTATGCTTGGGTAGATTTGTCACATAAGGTTTGTTCCCATAGGCTCTAGAGCTATGTATCGCGCATCTTAAGCATATCTCATTCAAATGCAATTGGTCTAGCGTAGTTGAAGCAGCAAGCAAAGAGCTGAGTAGGGACAATGTAGAGCGCGTTCCCAGCCGCTTTCGGACAGCCAGTTGCATTTGGGGCCGCGGCAGAGAGCGTAGCAGCAATGGACGGTTACGCACGCCCAATAGCACTTAACTGTCGCAAGAGTGAAAGGGCAACGTCAGGACAGTAGGGTCTTTTTGCTTGCTTGCTGGTGTGTAGTTCAGTCAAAGTAAAAGGCGACATCTGGTAACCAAGTTGTCGCCTTAGAATCAACCGTCAAAAATGATGCCAAGCAGCTTTCCGGAAGAGGCTAGTCTGTTTTCTAATCCACGTGACCTGAGGTGATCCGACCTCAAACAACTTCGGCAAGGAAGCGGAACCTCATCGTCAACATCAAACAACAACTTCACCCCATTGACCCCCAGTTCCTCACTCTGCTCCCCAGTTTAGCACTCTCAAACCTCGCAGCCATGGTATCCCGAACCTTCCCCAGAATGGCCGGGTAGGTTTCCTGTCGAATTGCCCTATCGCAGCCTGGCAGCATATTCCAATTCCCGAATGACAGGACAGCACCAATTCAGATGCCAGTTGAACTATGAACTTGTGTGCAAATATTTGGTGATACGTGCTAACATTCGCAATTGTGCCTATTTAGATTCATCTTCCGGGAGAACCGTGTCCCCTACTACCAACGCCTCTTCCAGAAAAATGACGGCAAGCGCATCTGGAACAAGGTGCGTTAAATCCGCTTCCCCAATTCCTCCCCAAAGAAATCCGGATACAATTACGCAACACAACTTAAAGAAAAGCCGAATATGGGACGACCTGATATCTAACTATTACTCAAAACTACAGTCCCACCGCAGCCCGTACCTTCTCTACCCATTCTACATCTCCCTCTTTGGCTCCTTCGGTGGTATGTTTTCCCCCAATTTCCGACTCCGGGTCCTATATCAAACGAGCCCAATCCAAGTTAGCTAACCAACTTGATTGCTTTGCGTCTACAACAGCGTCCTTCTACGCCATGTGCCGAACCGTTCTTGTGAGTTCTACTTTCTTTCCCTTAAAAAAATCCCGCTTTTTCCAAATATCCCACAAAATAGCAGGGTGAATGATGCTAATTATATCGGATTAACAGGGTTACAAAACCTGGTATTAAATGTATCAAAAGGAGTTGGCGAGGAGATAAGCTCGCTGAAATTCTAGCCAATGCGCAAACTACCTTGATCTGTGAGAGAGGGTCGTCCTTCTCTCAAAGCAGAAAAATAAATCTTTTTGATTATGAAAAAGTTACATCTTAGCTGGAATTGCTGCGGCGAGAGGATAGAGGGTGTGTTATGTGCGTGATATGATATGCAAACTTGTATATATAGAAATATGCAAAAGGAACAAAAAAAAAGTCCTCTCACAACAACACACATGTGTTCCACGGCGTTTCATTAACTGATATCGTATCCATTCTCTGCTTAATCACTTTTTCCAGTTACCCGTGGATGGTTTTCCAATCTATACTTTTCAAAAATCCGACAGAGGGAGATAGAAGAGTAGTTATATGATCGTTCTCGGTGTCTTCCAGGTGCCTACCCGCCCATTGGCTCACTCCCAAATCCATATCATACTTCTCCATCTCCATATGCGTTGGTGGCATTCTTATGATAGTGCTTCGTGCATAGTACAATAACATGTGATAATTGACATGGTTGGTTCTGCATAGGTAGCATTCTCGCCGCTGTCGATTTGACTCAATAAAATTAGAAGCCTGTGGAGGAAATCCGTCAAAAACATGACAACCTTTTGAGGTTTAATCTTTTTATTCAAAATCAAAAAAAGGTCTCTCTTGCCCTAACGCAACATGGATACATACCCGGTTTCATGAAAACAAGTACGGGAACAAGTGTTATAAGCAGACCCTCGAAAATAAAATAATAAAATACCTAGTTAGTAGATACAGGTGGCTATGTAGTAAAACAAGCCCTTACTTAACAGTAACAAAGCACAAACATCATCTGGCGACGTAGGCCCAAAAGTTATTTATCCCCTCCTATAAAACCACCGATATTCCTTCCCACCACGGACTCATGTTGCTTTTTATACAAAAAGGAAGCGAAAAACTCGGCTTGACCTGTTCCACGCACACACACAAATCGCGTCTCAACCACCTTGCATCAAGCCACCCCCCACACGGGTAAAAAAGGAAATAAACGACACTGAACCTTTCACCTTGTCTGTCACCTCCCTTCCCCACCAAACTCCCCTCCCATTACACACACACACACACTCACTCACACGCCACTCAAACACGCGCAAAAAGAAACCATCTACCCCTTCCTCGTCGCCTTCTTCATCCCCCTTTTCGTCTCCCTCTCCCTCTCCTTCTCCAAAAACTTCCTCTGCTCCTCCGCCGACATCCCCCTCAACAACCGATCCCGCTCCTCCTTCTTCGCCTTCTCCGCCTGCAACTTGCGCTCCTCGCTCTTCTCCTCCTCGTACGCGCGACGCAGCTTGCGCGTCTCCTCGTCGCGCGTGTTGCGCAGTTTGCGCACGACTTCGGCGCGGAAGTGGGCGGCTGAGACGACGCGGTCGGTTAGGCGGAGGAAGTAGGTGAAGATGGGCATCGTGGTGGCGTAGGAGCCGGATTTGGGCAGGCGGAGGGAGAGGTTTATGCGTTTGCCGGGGGTGGTTTCGTCAAGTCTGTTTTGGGGGTTGTTTCTTGTTAGTAAATTGCTGAGGGGAAGGCCTGTTCATATATTATATATAGATATGTATATATAAGTAAAATCTTACTTCGTAGGCTTATCCAGCGGCTGGTCAGTAATGATCAAGTACTCAAAATCCTCCCCAGCTTCTTCCACCGCCTTGATGAGGTCAGCCGTAAGCATCGTCTCTGTAATCTCCGCACTCTCACTCATAACGGTCGCCCACTGAGGTAATTTCGGATTATCCCTCGTAAACGTCAGGGAGATATCATATCGATCCTCACGTAGCTTGCGCATGCAGTTCTTATGCACAACCGCAAACACAAACCCATCGTAACTCGAGTTATTCGCCGCCCCCTTCGTCCGCTGCTCGATGAGCTCCTTCTCCACCGCCGACGGCGCGGGAACAAGATCCTTTTCCTTCCCATCAAACGAATACGCCGTGCACTCCACCCGCTCCACCGGCACAGGCCACGAGTCGAAAAACATGCTCACCGCAAAATCACCAAGCATGTACAGCGGGTTATACCACCGGAACAATTTAATCGAGACATCCATGAACGCCACATTCTGCCGGCCGGTGGCGTACGTCGCGAACTCCGTGCCCGACATCTCCTTCAGCATCGACGCGGGCACCACAAGCTCGTCGCCCGAAGACGCCGACGCAGCCGCCGCCGCCTTCGCCAGCCCTTCCGCCTGCACGTCATCGGCCGACGGCGCCCGGCGCGCACCACCCACGCCGCCATAGCCGACGACGGCAAACTCGCTCTGTAGGATGGGCAGGTGAGCCTGCGCCCATTTCTTGGCTCTGCGCCGGTTCTTGCCCATGCCCCAGACATGCAGCAGGAGCAGGACCGCGATGAAGGGGATCACGAAGGCTTCTTGCATAAAGTCCTGGCGCGAGTGGCGCTCCCAGACGCGGTACCATGCTGTATATGGTCGGGCGTTGCCGCTGGCCGGAATGGCTTCCTGGGTCGCTGTTAGGGGGGTCCCTGCGGCGCCGGTGGCGGTAAGGACAGGTTGTGGTGGAGGAGGTTCAGGGATGCCTGCGGCGAAGTCGGCGAAGTCTAGATTGTTTAGAAGAGAGGGGAAATGTCAGTTAGCCTTTTCTGTTGGAGCAATTGGGTTTTGTGTGGGGAAAGGGAAGGGAAAGGGAGGGGAGGGAGGAAAGATTGACCGCATACCTGCGTCATCGCCGCTGGAGGGAGCTGACGATGGAGCGTTGACATCGCCCTTTAACAGGTTCTGAAGTAGGCCAGACATTGTTGTCGATGCGACCTCGATTGGCGACCTTAGAGTTGTGCCGTGCCGTGGGAGAACTGGTGGCTGGTGGTTGATGTTGGTGAGGTGAGGCCACGAGACGGAATGTGGTTGAGGTTCGAGGGCAAATTTCAGCTATTTACAGCACAAACAGCCAGGGTCTAGTTATCTAATAATATAATAAGGAGCTGGTAGCTCTGCTTGTGTATTTAATAAGTGCGCCGACTCAACGCAACGCTAGGCCCCGGATTTAGTTTGACGGAACAGAATATCTCCAGGAGTCGAGGGAACAGGGTTTTTGCGAGGGAATTAAGAGGGAATTAAGAGGGAATTAACATTGTACTGTACATGTACATTGTATAAAGGTAAGTTCCATTGAATTGTTACTGACTGACATATTGCATTATTCTTTAAAACGCCGCACAACATCCGAAAATAAAATACCACTGGGAAAAAAAAAAAAGTTCTGAACAAATCCAGGACACGAAATCAACAAGAGAAATAAATACAAAATATATCACCAACTATACAAATTAGTACCAATTGAGTCGCATCAAAACCAAAACCCCCATTTATACAAAGGACAGAGTTGAGAGCATGTATGTAGTACATTACAGTGCCTTTCCCGCGCGAAAAGAAAGGGGAACAGAATAAAGAAAAATAAAAATAAAAAATAAAACCGATCAAATACCAGTATACCAGCAGCCAGCCGCAGTAATTCTTTTTGTTCCGCCCTTTTTCCATTTTGTGCTTTTTGTGTTCCCTGCCGCCAGCCAGCCGTAGAAAGGACAAAATAAAAAAAATACCATCAAATACATTTTGAAAACCAAAAGAAAAACCGATAGAAAAGGGGTATATCCAAGGGGTCCTAATGTCGCCCACGCGCCAATATAATACAACCGGAACGATGCTTCCCCAGAAATAACGGGGGTGCTTAAAAGAGGAGGTTTTAGGGGTGAGGAGAGGGGTAGAAAAAGGAATAGACAAGCAACGAAAAACAATATCATAGCAATCATGAAGGTAAAAGGGTTTCCCTGGGGATCCGGGATTTTTCATCTGCACCGGTGAGAACAGTAGATGTGCAGGTGCAGACTGTCTGTAAATGTGCAAGGGGGGCAAAACATGCGATGCTCTCTGCCCGGAACACCATGCATGCCAAATCCCAGAGAAGGGGGGTTAAAAAAATAAAAAATAAATAACAAATAAAAAATAAAACAAAGGAAAGGAACTGTAAATAATGATCATAATAAACCAACACCAAGTGCTGAGAATTGTCACCCTCAATCTCAATGCCGATAAGCAGGCGGCGGGGTATGCGAGCGCATTGACGGGCGTTCCCAAAACCCACCACCACTGCCGCCACGGCTGCTGCTGTTGGTAGGATCCTCGCCGCCCATCTTCTCATCCTGGATCCTGCGCGCGATTTCACTGGCCATCTTCATCATCCATGCCTGTTCCAGGATGCCGCCGTTCTGGGCTGATTCCATGATGAAGGATGAAGATGGGCGGGAGAGTTGTTGCGGCTGCTGCTGCTGTGGATCTCGCGCGGAGGGAGAGGAGGAAGATGTGTAGTTATTAGAGGCGTTGGGTTTTTCAGTTGGGTATTGTGGAGTAGAAGATGGAGAAGGCCGGAGTGTTCGGATAGGGGCAGTTTCTTGAAGTGATGGTAACGGCTTCGAATCTGCAGGTTGTTGCTGTTGGAGTTGGCGCTGGAGGTTCGAGGCTGATGCTATTATCCTGGCCATATCATTGGCTATAGGTGGCGAAGTGCGGACAGCAGGCAAATCATGTCCGAATTCCGCGGGTATGCCTCTCCGAGAGTTTCTCTCGGCGTCGTCACGGGCGGCAATGCGGTCGCGTAGGGTTGGTCGCCTGATCGTACGCTGTGGTGAAACTGGAGGGGTAACGGGGTCATCGTTATTCTCTTCTGGGATGGTTGAGCCGGAGAATACAGAGACTGCACTGGTGGTGGTGGTGTACGCGCTTTCACCGCTGACGCTTTCCATATCATCCGCGCTCTTGGGCCGTCGTCGAAGATCGACGACCCGCTTCTTTCGTTTCCTCGCGTGGGCTTTGGAATGCCGACCGGCACCCATGCTGAGTCCGTATCCACTAAACCCAGACGAAGGGGGGGTTGGTCGACTGTGCGACGAAGACGCCAAGCTTGCAGCGTCTTGGAGTGAGAGTGAAGATGTTGCAATGTGCGAATGGGTTCTGGAGAGCGGGGGACTCATGGGGGAGACGAGGCCGCTGGGTCCATCAGCCTGCTCCATTGAACCCGTCCACGCTCTAAACACGACTTCTCGGATAGACGGCGTGAACAGAGACAGTGTGCGTTGGGAATCCGTCAGCGCGGCTAGGCGGAGCACATTCTTGCGGGAGAAAAGGGAATGCATCTCGACGCCGGAGTCGAGGGATAGGGATGCGATCTCCGAAATTGATAGAACATTCCCCGATGCGTCGACGGGGTCCTGCGGGGGGTTCAACAGGGGATCCAGACCGGGACCATCAAGGGATGGATTCGTGACTTGAGCTGAGGTGGTCTCCAATTCGCTGTATTCGGTGCCCCACAGCCGCAAAGACAGCCTGTGTATGATTGCGGGCAACTCGTCCATGAAGAGGATTCGCAGCTGGCCTTCGATTTCTTTCTGTAGATAATCGCGGACGAACGGGATCGAATCGAAAGTCGACGAGACTTTTAGAGATTCGAGGGGATCGTTCCGAAAGACAACGGTAATGCCCTTTTGCTTTGAGAAGACGAGGATGACGAAGCCGGAGAGTTTTATGTCAGAGAGTGTAATTTGGAGGGGGATGGTTAAACCAGTTCTGTAGTAGGAGAGGGGGAAAGTTGTTAGCAAATTTTTTATGTTCTTAGTTTTCCCCCACTAGAAATAGCAACAATATATATAAAGAGAGAGAGAGAGAGAGAGAGAGAGAGTAAAATAGAAATAGTCGGCCACTTACGCAGCAGCAAGAGGTTGCGGAGAGGTAAAGGGGTGTCGAGTAAGGAGATACGTATTCAAGGGGTTTGCCTGGACACAGGTCTTGAGGGTTAAGAACGCATCTCCAGCATAGGACATCTTGAAGATGCCGCGGAACCGATCCTCCGCCAGATCCCCAATTTCCAGGATTTCCAGTTCGGGCGGGTTGGAGCCCAAATTCAGCTCGGTGACGACGATATCATCGACGATAATGGGTGGTTTGGGGGATTTGTTCAGGGCGGCAGTCAGCAGCTCTTGGGCGCGGGTGTAGAAACCGGCGTCTGCCATGAGGGGCGACCAGTTGAAGTTGAACGCCATGTCGACAATGCATCCGACATGGGGATAGCTGACAGTCTGGAGAGATTATAGAAGATAGAAGCCGAGAAGATAAAAGATTAATCAGACATGAGATGAGGGAGGAAGTAGGAGGAGGTTGACGCGTCGGGGAAAAGGGAGAAAATTCTCGAGTTTGGCGCCAAAAACGAGAATGGGACGGGAGAACGGGAATAAATAACAGGGCAAAGAGGAGGGAAAAAAAAAAAAAAAGAAAAGAAAAGAAAAAGAGAAAAAAAAAAAATTGGTGTCGCGTGCTGGAGCCGGTGATACAGCCAGATGATGGACGCTCCTCAAGGCAGAAAGAATTAAGAGTAAGGGACAAGATAATAATAAAAAAAAAATAAAAATAAAAAAAAGATGGAGAAGAAGAGGAGGAGTCAGGCTGAGTGAGTCTGCATGTGATGTGGGCCTCGGATTGAGGGGGATAAGAAGAAGAGGATGTTCTAGATTCAAGGAAGTATTAAAAAAAAGAAGAAAAAAGAAGAAGAAAAAATAAAAAATAAACAATAAACATCGCCCAGAGTTTCATTGGTTGGGTCAAGCAAGGAGAGAGCCAAGGGAACTTTAGCAGAGAATGAAGAATGAGATGATGATATTGGATGTCATTCATATTACTCAAGCTGCTGGAGAGTTAATTCAGAGCTTTTGCTAATTATCTCTGGTAATAATAAATAATATAACTAGAAATATTTATATACATGCCCTCTCAATGCTTGAATAATTAATTAATTAATAGCTTTAGTTATCTATTCCACACTGAGGATCTAAATAAATGTACATACAACCCTGACATCATATCATCTCTCATACATACAATATCATCCCTGTCGCGTTTTTGCCCATATCAGAGCCCTGTTAAGGGTATTTAATTACAATCATTGCAACAAATAATTACCCCTTTTTTCAAGGATGATGGTGGTTCAATAGCATGCTCATTATTACTTACTTTTATTTATTGAGTTGAGTTCTGTTGGCTTTCTCAAAATTCATAGTCATAGACTGTTGCTCCAAACAAAGGATAATGATAGGGAGAAGAACATACAGTTCCCTAAGACACACAGCATCTGATCTGCCTGTTATTTCATCTGGAAAATGAAACGAAAGGTCAAGTTTGAACTCGCTTCATCCAGCCAACTACCCCCACGAAGAATGACTGAGGAGGTATCTTCAACCCATTCTCGCTTCCGCAGGGACGACACTCGTGAGAAATAACTTTACTTAGCTAGCTCAGTCGAGTACCCCTCTTAGAGCGACTGTAAACCATTGCGTCTCTTATTATTATTTCATATCCTCGAGTGTAGGATATATGTTAGATATGCCAAGGTCCCCCATCCGTTTCTTTCTCTCTGGAAGCCTTGTTTTCTGTTCAACTGTGAATCTTGACCTCTTTCTCATCTTCTTCACCTATAGCCAACATACATGGAACTGGAAGGAGAAGTAGACGTATCACCTTTTCTTTTCCCATACCTGCACATGGGCCAATAGACATATTGCCAATATCGAATATTCTCAATTGTAAACAAGCATCAAATGCTCGCTTACGCTCGCTTTTCTGCTTGCGCAGCCCCCTCTACCACTTCCACCCTCCCCCCCAACCACTCCCTACCCCCCCTTTACCACCCCTTCCACCCCTTACCCTCTACCCCCTCTACCACCACCACCGCCTCTACCGCCCCGCAATCCCCCTCTATCACCATCATCATCTCTATCACCTCACAATCTTCTTTATCAGTTTCATTCTCTATCTCTACTCACTGTTATCACTCTTTTCATCTCTTTCACTCTCTACTCTCTCATCATCATCATTATCATCATCTCTACTTCTTCTACTACTCTCTTTCACTCTGTATCATCTCTATCATCATTATCAGATTAATCAGAGCTGTACAGACTGCAGAGTCAGCTATTCAATCTCATTCATGAATTCAAAGAGATGTATATGACATCATATGAGATTTTATTACAGAGTATTTAGCAGTATATACTATAAACACAGAGATCAAAATGTGATAGAGATAGTAAGAGAGAAGTAGAGATAGTGAAAGTAATAGAAGAGACTGTAGAGTAGTAGAGATAATGATGATGATAGAGAGGCTAGAGAGTGAAAAAGATGACAGAGAGAGATGATAGAGATGATAGAAGTGAGAGAGATAATAGAGATGGTAAGAGAGAGATAGAATAATAAGATAAGAATAGAGATAGAGAGTGAAAGTGATAGAGGGTGCTGTGAGGCAGTAGAGGCAGTGGTGATGATAGAGAGAGTAGAGGTGGTAGAGGTGGTAGAGGTGGTAAGAGTGAGTGATAAGATGGGGATAGGGGTATGAAGTGGAAGTGATAGGGGGTGTTACGGGGCGTTAGAGGCGGTGGTGATGATATAGAGTGATGCAATTGGCAGGCGCCACTACATATCCATGGATTTTTGATGGGGTGCATGTGATGTCACGTGAGGTCACGTTACAGGGCATTTTACTCGGAAAAAGTTGGTTTTTCTATAATATATAGAGAGATGACATCATCGTGATCAACTGGGAACTTTGAAGATTCAACCGACAAATCGTGTAACAGTCATTTCAATACACCAAATTCACCCTCCTTATCAATTATACACCGGAGTAGAATTGGCCCTCGATTGATAAAAAAGAAAAGATCTATGTATGATAACTAATATTTGTAGCAGAATTTAGTGAGTGAGTTACAATTCATTTACATCAAACCTTCCGGCATCAGGAAACAACCTCGGCAGTCCTAAGTCACATGATGTGTTGTCTCAGCAACAGAGCTTTTAGCCGTTTAGGGAAATATATAAACATCAGTTGCGCCTCACCCCCTCAGATCGCTGGGAGTGCTTGCTGCCTCATATATAGGAGTAATAATAACCCTCAACAACACTGCATACTATTGTATATAGTCTATATATTGCTTATTATTATTTTTATTATTTTTATACTATTCACTCGAACCGTCCTTCTCTTCTTCCAAATCTACACCTCAACCGTCACACTCGTTTCAATTCTGCAATCGATGCGACATGTCGCTATTCTCACCCTCCGCCAGCCCTATATCTTCAACTAAGAGATTACCCCGGAATACACACACCTACACAAAGTCTGCAACTACTGCGGCTACCAATAATCGCTCACGAAGGGTATATGGCAAGCGGGAGGTAGATGCGCCCCGTGCGGTTCTCGAGCGGGAGCATAATAATGTCCCGAGTAAAGCTCCCGTTATAGCAAATGAAAGGCAGGAAGTTGAGGTTGAGAATATGATTACAGCTCTAGGAAAGGGTTTATCTGCGCTTCAATTGGACGTTAATGAGCGGACGGTTGATGTGGACAGGGACGAGGAGGATGTTTCTACAACTGCACAATCAGATGTGCCGGGCGAAAATGAAGCTCAAGGGCGCGAACAGCCTATGGTCGAGATCCGCATATCTGCTTACAATGGTGTCCAACGAGAGGCCGTCACACATGAACGAGATACCAGCGTCTCCAAATCCCTAGAAACCGCCAAATCTAAGCGAAGACCACGACGCTCGTCCGGCTGGATCGAAGACCTAAAACTAAACAGCTACGTACGCCCCATCCTCAAAGAAGCAACGTCCCCCATATCCTCGCGCGGAGTCCAGAGCTTCGCAAGCTGGGCTCGACGGGCGGGTGATATGTTTACTGTCGAGAAGATCGCAGAGGGTTCCTACGGAGAAGTCTACCAGCTACGGCTCAGCAAAGATATTTCCAAATGCAATCTCTCCAAGTCACGACTGGCCCGCCTAAAAGTCTACAAGGATGGGGTATTCAAAATCATCCCCCTCCGTGCACAGCGTGGCGTCGGCTCCAAGAAATTCACCACCGTCCAGGAAATCGTGTCCGAGGTGCAACTCCTGAAGCTGCTCGATTCCATCCCGGGCTTTGCGAGGTTTCGGGAGGTGCATGTCGTCCAGGGACGGTTCCCGGATACGTACCAACAGGCGTGGACGCAGTATAAACAGACGAATGCGAGCGAGTGTTTTAACCCGGACCCCAGTAAGGCAAAGTCGTACCCAGATACGCAGCTGTGGGCGGTTTTAGAAATGGATAATGCGGGCTGCGAGTTGGAGAAGTTTCCGTGGTCGTCGATTTTTCAGGTTTATGATATCTTTTGGGGGGTTGCGTTGGCCCTTGCGCGGGCGGAACAGTTTGCGGCGTTTGAGGTAGGTTCTTCTTTTTACTTTTTTTTTTTTTTTTTTTTTTTTTTTTTTTTTTAACTGAATGGATGTAGTAAATGTGTATTGCTAGACGTTATGTATAATCACTGACAGCCCTTGTAGCACCGCGACCTTCACCTTGGGAATATTTGCATCAAGCCTACGAAGAAGGCTGGTAACATGTCGATGGGCTCATCGACATCAGCCTTAGAAGGGTTGGGACGAGGTGGTAGGACAACGGGGTTTGGTCTAAGTGGACTTGAAACGACTATAATTGATTATTCACTTTCGAGAGCAGAGTTACAAGCACTCAATACGCCCGATGGGGATGTGGAGGCGGAGGCAGAGGCCGAGGCGGGGAGCGAAAATCCAACGGTAGAGATTGCCTGGTCGGATCTTGACAAGAGGCAAATATTTGGCGCAATTGGGCGAGACGCGGATGAGAAATTGCTGAGGGATACATATCGATTGTGAGTTGCTGTTTCTTTATTTCTTATTTGTTTCTTCTTCTATCATTATGCATGTCCTAACTCGCTATGTAAATTAGTATGCGATCCGAGGTATATCATCAAGAGAACCTCCTCTGCCCCACACAACCTCCTTCCAAACCCCGGCAGTGGAAGCACTACAACCCCAGAACCAATCTGATCTGGCTTTCATTCCTGCTGCAGATGCTCCTGAAGAAATTGGAGCCGCCCTGTCCGAACCAGGGACAGACAGCGGAGCCACTGCAACTACAACTGCAACTGCAACAAAAACAGCTGCAGCGGGCACCACTTACGCCCCGTCCCGCGAATCATAAGTTACATAGCAATACCGTCCACCATGGAGATGATGATTCGCCATTCAGATCACGAAAGAAAAAGACCGCCCAAGTTAAAAGGGGTGGTGGTGGCGGAACTGAAGAGGGTGGGAAGCAGTTGGATGCTGTTCTAATAAACAAACAACATGTTGGTCAACTGCAGCAGCAACAATTATTGAAAGAGGAATTGACAATGCGCCTTCAGACGACGGCGGATATGTTGAGTGTTGAGAGTGGGATTGGTGATTTGTATTGTGCGGGGGATCTTGTGGCTTTTGCCCTTGGGTCTGGATGGTTGGATGAGGGGGATTTTTTGTGTTGAGGCTGTGGGGTTGGGTGGGCGGGGGTGTTTTCTTTTTCTTTTTCTTTTTCTTTCTTTTTCTATCTCCATTTTAGATCGCGGGGGTTGGGGATGAAGATAGAGAGGTGATTGCTTTTCTTTTTGGGGGTATTGTGGCTGGCGCTATGCTATATGCATATATAGGAAGGGCATTTTGAACCGGTGTTATTTGGGGTTTTGGTTTCATGGTTTGGTTAATTAAAGAATATTTTACATTGTTTTATCATAAATCCGGGGGTTAACAGAGGGTGCTCAAACTACGCGGATCCAGCTGCGTGTGTGGTCCTGCGGCAGCTGGACCCTGACATACCAAGTCGTCCCTGGTCACTCTGGCTGCCGATTGCTAAGACCGCGATGGGGACATGGGTTCCTTGGGTCTCTGGGAACAAGAACAAAAAACGTCATCATCAATTTGACACTAACAATAGCTGGCTGCTCGGGCGGGTAGGTTGATGCGAGAGTCGTCGTTCGGATACGGGACTACGGAGCTATGCAACTACGCAGTACTACTGTGTAGATATGGGGGTTTGCAATGCTGCATTCACGATTAGCTTCTTATGTATCTACGGAGGTTGGTGTGGAATAAGTGGTTATACAATCCTTACTGTTTAGCTGTTTAGAAGTGGCACCTGTTGTGCCTATTGCTCAGCTGGCTGGGCACTACTGAGGGCCTATTCTTTAGGGCCTCAGCCCCTAAACATTGAAGGTGCGGGCCGGCACAATTTGAATCTGGTACTGTACTGGAATTTCAATATAAATTTCTACCATGTGCAAGTACTTATGTTTCCACACCTCCGTACCTAGGGTCCCAAATCTCTCTATTTTGTTAGTTATGGCAGTACTTTATTTTCTACAGAACACTGAATTTGAGCATTTCAACTACCTTAGAGGACTTACACAGTAACGTAACTAACAAGAGGATGCGGGGGATCTACGAGGCGATTCATGGCATCTTGCTCCGGTGTCGCAGGAGCTAACGGGGCATTTGCATGGGCTCCGAGCTAGTTCAAGATGGCTGGGGTCGGTTGCATCCACTGCACTGGTATCCGTGCTAACTTGATAGTAAGTCGAAGAAATTGACAATCGACGAAGGGCCCGGTGAGCTGCTTTCTTTTTGTATTTCTATGATAGGCTGCAGATAGCTTAGACTTCTGCAGCCGGCAACCCAAAGAAGATCCCAATCGCAGCTAGCAGCGATGACGTGAATGGCCTAGCACTGTTAGAGTAATATACTGCGAGATGTGGCTTTCAAGATTTCCCCAACCTTCATTCAACCTTCCCCCGCTTCCAAGGCTGTTACTAGTGTTGGTATATAGTCTGCTTGTGGCTTGCTCACTGGCTAGTTCGCGGTTTAACTCAAGCGCTTGACCACCAGTGTTTGCACAAGCTTCCTCCCCTCCAGCATTCGACATCTATATTTCAGTACATGCGATCGGGATACTGCGTGCATTGACTACTTTCGTTTTAATATCGTTGCAGTTACTCTATGCGATCGTTTGAAAGCAGTATCCGTCTTCATGCTTAACCATCCAACCGCGAAACAGGAGGAGCCGCAAGAGGGAACACAGCGCGAACCTGCGCCAACTGCGACAAAGAAACCTAAACGATTCCAATGCATGCGCTGTGAGACGCGATTTGCACGACTTGAGCACCTTCAGCGTCATGAGAGAATCCGTGAGCACTGTTCCTTCTGCAGTAAAATGTACCTGGTGAAACTTCGGTTAACTCGTACGCTCTGTAATTAGATACACAAGAAAAGCCTTTCTGCTGTCAATTATGCGACCATCGGTTTACTCGAAGGTGGGTATTGAGTTTTTTTTCTTACATTGGTTGATTGTTGGCTGGAAGGTATAATCATAATAGTCCCACTGACTTGATCATACCAGTGATCTTTTGATCCGACATGAACGTCTCTCACACAATAAAGACGGACTGCGGAAAAAGCAGCCACGTCCTCCAAAACCGCGTAAATCAATGGCTAGGAAATCAACTCCTCCCGCTACCGCATCGCATCCAATTGCTCCTATAGCTATAAAACCATCACCAATGGATGATAGGCAGAGGACAATGTCTCTGGGATCCGACCCGCACTTATATGGCCCTGTGTATCCAAGAAGTGAGGCCAGCAACTACCCGCTGGCTACGCTGACAATGGTTGCTGAGCAGGTAGCTTCCAAAATACCTGATAAAACCGTCAATACGCATGCCTATAATGTCAAAGAAAACACAGGACTCAACCAAAGTGAGCCAGCCTGGAGACTATCAGGGACACCAGCAGCGGACAGCCATGCTATAAACGTAGATTTGAAGCATTCCATAGACGCGCTAGCCACCTTTCTAGATGATGGGGCACACCATCCTTATCAGTTTTCACCGTTCGTGAGCGTGGAGCAACCGGTACCGTTTTCCTGGCTGGAATCAACTAGTCACCCAGATGGCCCTGATGCAAATATTCGACCGTCCCCCACTGTTCATTACAAATCGAATGCCGACCAGGCAGGTTCATTCGCCCGTTTTGATCCACACTTTTCGCCTGCCCTGACAGAAAAACAGAAATATCAGACTGAACATACAATTCCACAGCGAAAACCCTTGTCCGAGGTGTCATCCGATGACAGACGGTCTATATTGTCCAGGTTAGAAGAATATTACTCAGTAATACCTGCAGGGTTTCAGTTACCTTCTCGTCTCGCTCTGTCACGATACATCGCTAGGTATATTAGCGGCTTCCACGAACATCTTCCGTTCTTGCATATCTCCACAATGTCGATCAGCAGTTGCGCAGTAGAGCTTATTCTCGCTATGGCCGCTGCGGGGGCGCAGTATTGTTTTGAAGATGAAAAGGCCGCCGGGTTGTTTTATGCTAGCAAGGAAATTGCTATGGAGCGCATAGGACGTAGAGGTGTTAATCCTGCGGCAAACCAGCGAAACGCAAAGTCAGGGTTAGCTTCTTCAGTCGGAGGCACGGATAACGATACAGTGCCACGCCCGCATCAATACCATGTTATACACAAAAGACATGGTGTACCTCCCGAATCAGCCCTGTCGCCACTGGTAACTCAAGACCAGCATCTGATCCAACAAACCCAGGCTCTTCTAATATTAATGGCTCTAGCGACACGGGCAAAGGGCAAAGACATACTCCGAGAAGCTGTTGCCTTACAGAGCGTGCTATGTACCCTCGTCCTTAAAGACGGTCTCCACAGCCAGCCTGCGCCTCATGATATCTCCTGGAATGATTGGATAGAGCTCGAATGCATAAAACGGACGAAATTCGTCACCTATTGTTGTTTGAACCTCCATTCCATAGTGTATAACATCCCCTCCCCCATTCTTAATTCTGAACTCAATCTTTATCTGCCATGCAGCGCAGCCGAGTTTGAAGCCCCAAACCGGCATAAGTGGTTGGAGGCGAGGGCCAAAGCAAGCCCTCAAATAAACTTCCAGGAAGCTCTGAATCGCCTGTTCTCGCATGGCGGAAACGAAATCACGGAATGCAATTCAGCCTTGGGTAACTATATTTTGATCCATGCGATAATCCAATATGTATTTTTTCTCCGCCATTTTTCTCGTGGTAGATTCGATGGTAATCGCGATGTCGCGCCAGAGGACGTAGCTGCAACCGAGCAAGCACTACGGAATTGGCAAATAGGCTGGAAGCGTAATCCTCAATTATCCCTTGATCCACACGATCCAGATGGCCCGGTAGCGTTCAACTCAATTGCGCTTTTACGTCTTGCTTATATCAGGTTGAACATCGATGCAGGCCCCGGAATGTTGCTTGACACTCGAGATCCAGTCCTGATAACTAGGACTTTCCGCGCAAACCCGCGGGTCAAACGCACGCCGAAACTCGTTCGCGCCGTTCTACATTCAGCCCAAGCGCTAAGTATTCCGGTGAAAATCGGCATTCGGCTCGTGGCGCAAAGGCAGATGTTTGTCTGGTCCATTCAACACTCACTATGCTCCTTGGAATGTGCTTTGTTACTTAGCAGATGGCTGGAGGCGCTATCACAGCCCAATCCAGAACCGCCAGTGTCAGAAGACGAGCGGCGGATCGGCACTTTGTTGAAGGTGATGCTGGACGAGACGGAGTTTGCTATCGCACCGAACCTGCCTCTAGGATCCCCGGCCATGATCAGGCAGATGAATGCGGGGGTGTTGCGGGTGTGGGCGAAAATTTTCAAGGGTGCGCAGAGTTGGGCTATCCTTGATATCATTGGGGACTCGCTGAATTTGTATGCAGATATGCTCGAGGAGGGCTAATTCGGTGCCCTTTTGGGGGGCTTGATAGCAGATGTGAGGGAAGCGGGCTCATGTTGGAGAATTATAAGACCGCATTTGTGCTCGGGTGAAGCCCTGTCTCATTCTTATCAATAAGTATTGTTATACCAATAATTTCCTAGAACCATAGCGCCATGAGACCAATAAATCTATTCAAATAGTAGATTCTCAGAGACACTGTCGTTTTGCTATACGAGGTTGATACTCTCAAGCAAGTATTATAAAAGTCACGGCCACCACGTTTATATGACCCACTAGTGAGCGGCTGACGACAACGGAAATTTAATTTTACGTGGAAACAATGCAGAGTAACGTATGTGGTTTGGTGCGTCTGTGTCACCGGGTGGGACGCTAGCCACACGGCAATATCGATGTTCACCATTTATTTCATATACTGGACGCAGCGCACTTCTCATTCGCCCTGCAGTTGGGATGACATAAGAGAGGGTTCCCCATCTCACAGGCCTCTTTCGACATAGATGCCTGCCATGAAGAAGACTTACCGCACAGTGATGGTATGCGGACAGGTGATATTAGTCGCTGTTCGTGTCACCTCTCGCGGGTTTTTATCTAGGAACGAGGGGGCTATTTCTGGAACAGTCGTGGAGGGTGTTTTAACCGAAGAAAGCATGTTTGGTGCTACATGTAGCACGCTCGGTCTCTAGCGCCGAGCCGCGCGTGCCTGATCGACCCTCAACTTGTTTTATCTTTTCCTCACCCTTTGCAGGTATGATTTTCAGCCTCAAAAACAAAAAGGCGGCTGGCTGATATACGGGCACCGTTTTCGTACGAGACCCATGATTACTGCCCGAGTTCATCCATCAACTGCGATCGGCATAATCTAAGGGAAGCTTGTGCATCCCGATGACACAACCTCTGAACTGTCATGTAAACTTGTGGATCATATCAGAGGATAAGTCGTAGCCAGAGATCCACGGAGTGGCTACGGTCCCATGCACAAGGGCTAGGGGCCGGCAATAGATTCATCCGCCCAGGGAAGCATTTGCGGCAGGCAAGCTAATGTGGAGGTTTTGTGAGGGGGACGGTTGCAAATGCAAATATAGATCCCTGCAAAGGATGGAGATGATGGTGAGGTAGTGCGTTAGGGAAGCTTGGAAAATGCCAAGGCAATGCATTATGCAGCACGGAGGCATGTGTCGGTATCGAGGAGGGGTGTGGTTTGGTTTGGTGTTGGCCACTGATGGAGCTGGATGACTTCTCGATTCTACTCAGAAGAGGGTCTTATAGGTAAAGTATATGTGCGAGATTCCGGGATACGAGCAGCAGGGGCTGCCGCATGACAGGCGCCCAAAGGTTATTTCTTGGTTGGCCTGCACGTTAGAGGGTTGTCTGCGAAGGTATCAATGTGATTTCTGAAAATGGTAAGGGCTCGTAGTGTAATGTCTTGTGCTCTGTATTGCTACTCCCTTCATCCAAGATATATAAATAGTAGGGATTCGGAGTCGTAGTGTAGGTAGAGTCAAGAGATGGATGTTTACATCGTATCGGGAAGTTGGAAAGTCGAATTAGGGTTGCTCCAGGAGATTGATAAGATAAATAAGCTCGATCAACCCAGGCACGTGATTCACCACTTCCAACTTGAGTCTGACACAGGATACAATATACATACCTATATATACATACCTATATATACATACCTATATATACAGATAGGTATATATATATGCACTGCGTGGCCATCTTCCAATGATGCTTTGATAACAACTGTCCCAACAACCACTTGACAACTGTTTGCACACCTCTCCGGCTAACAATGCTGGAAAACCGCCTGAGGAGCCTGCTTACCCGACGTCGACAGCAGTCGTACGAGCAATTGCGGGACGAAGCTGATGTAAATGAGATTGAAGATGGAAGCTCATATAGCGATAGTGGGAGAGGCCACCAGCTGGATGACTGTACGGCCTCGCCGTTCTCATGGCTTGAATACTCGATCCTGTTCTGGATGGGCGTGAATATGCTCTGGGCTTGGTATGTTTCATAAGTTGACCAGTTAAAGATGGAACTGTTTTGATAGCTCAATCTACTCCAATTTTTACCATGCGGGGCTATGTTGTTTGAGTGTATATGCATATATAAAGAGCTATAGCTAATATATGAACCCATAGGAACATGTTTCTGGCCGCGGCTCCATACTTCCAGCTCCGATTCACATCCAACAGCTGGGTGTTGACCAACTTCCAATCATGTATCCTTTCCGTCTCATGCGTCACAAACCTATCATCTGTCCTTGTCCTGGCTAAATTGCAGAAAAATGCATCTTATCCCCGCCGCATCATTTGGTCCCTCACCCTTAACATAGCTGTTTTCACCCTGTTAGCCCTCTCTGCCGTTCTATTTCGTGACGTCTCCATCCCTGTCTACTTCACCTTCCTGCTTTTCATGGTGTTTGGCGCCAGTCTTGCAACCGGATTTAATCAGAATGGGATGTTCGCTTTTGCCTCCGGATTTGGGCGGGCCGAATATACACAGGCTCTCATGGCAGGGCAGGGCGTAGCAGGTGTTTTGCCATGTATTGTCCAGATCGTTTCCGTCCTCGCCGTCCCAGAGCAAAGTGAGACCGTGAGCGATCAGGTGGTTCAATACAAATCATCCAAATCCGCATTCGCCTTCTTCATCACCGCGACTCTAGTATCTGCCCTTGCATTGTGTGCCTTTCTCTACCTTATCAACCGCCAAAGGAAATCAACCCCCCTCTTGAAGAACCCAATCGCCGCTAGGCCTGACGACGAAGAAGAACTCGAACCCACCACCGTCAACAGTCAACCCAAAAATCCAGTACCGCTTTGGCTCCTCTTCCAAAAACTCCGTTGGATGGCGCTGGCCGTCTTCCTCTGCTTTGCCGTCACAATGGCCTACCCAATTTTCACCAACCAAATCCAAAGCGTTAGAAACACGAACCCCACCACGACGACAGGAGGTCAACAAATCCCCCGACTCTTCCAACCCCCCATCTTCATCCCACTGGCCCTCCTATTCTGGAACTCCGGCGACCTTGTCGGCCGCCTCATAGTCCTCATACCCCAAATAAGTCTAACACACCGGCCCTTCTTACTATTCCTCTTCTCCATAGCCCGCTTCTCCTTCATCCCCATCTACATGCTCTGCAATATAAACGGGCGCGGCGCCTGGATAAACAGCGATGTCTTTTACCTAGTCGTCGCGCAGTTTCTCTTCGGCGTGTCGAATGGGTATCTTGCTGGAGCGTGTATGATGGGTGCGGCTGAGTGGGTGGCTGTCGAGGAGCGGGAGGCTGCGGGCGGATTTATGGGCTTTATGCTCGTTGCTGGGTTGACGTTGGGGAGTTTGCTGAGTTTTTTGGTTGCTAATTAGTTTTCGTTTTCTAATCTGCTAGCCTGTTTTGATCTTCATTAAGCTCCTGGTTTAAACTATGTACCTTATTATGACTATTACGACTGGACCTGGGCCGCTTCTCACGTTATTTCTTTATCGTTAGAATCCCTCAGATTCTCCCTCTCACATATTTTATTTCACCGTACCCCTGTTTATATCATGGTCGTCACTGTGGGCGTCGATGCTGCTATTATAGATGAGCAAGACAAGGCTGCTTGCGTTTCGTGTCCGAATATGGCCTTATCGGACTGAAGGTAGCCACTGATCTTGAAGAATTACTAGATAGTTAAATTTGCATATAGACTCTATCGATGAACAACTAGCCTAGAAAATGAATAAATCTATATATGCTAATTCATACAACATCGCTCTCTCTCTCACAAACACACATAAAAGTTCAAGTCGAGAGAAGATCATAGTAAGTTGCTTGGGGGAGGTTAGGGAAACGGTATGGATGTCATGTTTTTTGTGCTTGATAGATAGACTGATTGATGTGTTGATCTGATCGGCTAAAGTGGTGAAGACGAGAGGAGAATTGGGTTGGGAGGAGTGGGGAGTAGAAATGGAGAATGTAAGGGTTCAGGGTTGGCGTGTATATACAAACTAGAAATGACAACGGTCCGTTATGGGATCGTGGGAAGGTAGCAAGCAAAGTCGGGTGACGCCGACTGACATATATATTGGGAGGGAAAGGGGAGATGTATGCAAAAGTTTGACGGGAAGAGGGGGTCCAGACAAGCACGCCATCTCCATGAGATTTCGGAGAGCAAGAAAAGTAAGACAACAAAGGAATCCATCAAATGGATTAAAGGGGTACTGTACAGCGAGTAATAACTGAGCTGAAAACTTGAAAGATAATCGATTGTAGCCACCCAGAAAAAGGAAAGGAAAAGTAACTGGACTCATGAATACGGCGCCTCGGAAAGGGGAATGGAAAATATGATCACAGCAAGAAGAGGGACGAGGGGAAAGCAACGGGGAAAGTCGGTGAAAGGTGGGGAGGCAAAAGAGACAGACAAGCAATCCATATCTTAACTTGCTAGTCGTCAGTTTCATTTTGATCGTTGCCGCTCGGCTTCTTCCACGCCAGCAGTAACAGTAGCCTCCCCACCAGCCCGTTCAGAAGAAGCCTCCTTATCTTCTTTCTGCACTTTTCCCTCATCACCCGTCTCCTCCTCTGCTTCTGCATCATCATCCTCTGCATAATCCTCGTCCCCTTCCTGCAACATTTGCTGCAATTCCTCCTTCTCAGACGGCGGGCCCCGTCCCGCAGAACTGTCATGCGGCAATGGTCCAACACCACCTTCTCCACCGCTTAGCTGCCACTCCATAAGTTTCGTAAATGCGCCATCCGGCCGCGAGCTTAACTCTTTATAAGTACCCTGCTCCGCGACACGGCCATCTGAACTGAGCACAACAATAGTATCAGAGCGTTTAATAGTTGAGAGGCGGTGAGCGATGCTGATGGTTGTGAGGTTGCCGCGAAGGAGTGCTGCGAGGGCGCTGTTGACAAGGGTTTCGGATTCAGCGTCCAAAGCAGATGTGGCTTCGTCGAGGATGAGGATGTCGGGGTTCTTGATAAGGGCGCGGGCGATGGCAATCCGTTGCTTTTGGCCACCAGATAGCTGGGCCCCGCGGGCGCCGACGTGGGTGTCGAGGCCGTCAGGCTAGATGGAAGAGAGATGTGAGTTAGCCCCCTGATTAAATGAGGAGGAAAGGACGAAGAAAAAGGAGGCTTACGAAGTCACTTATGAATTGGCAGTTGGCTTTGCGTGCTGCTGCGATGATTTCCGCCCTTGTCGCGTGGGGTTTTCCGTAGGAGATGTTATCAGCGATCGTTCCAGAGAAAAGTACTGGCTCCTGAGAAACGACACCGATTTTCCTTCGTAATGATTTGGCATTCATCGTAGAAATATCCTTGCCATCTATCAGGATTTGGCCGTTTGTAGGGTTATAGAACCGGAGTAACATGGAAGCAATGGTTGATTTGCCACCCCCTGAAGGGCCAACGATCGCAACGTTGCTTCCCTGAGGGATTTCAAAGTCAAGGTCTTTAAATATGGTCACGGCAGGTCGGGTAGGGTAGCTGAAATCTAGATTCTTAAAGCGGATTGGTCCTCGTGCAGAAATGACATGGTCTCCTTTGGTGGGGGAGACTGTGGGATTGCGGTCTTGGAGTTCAAACAGCCGGCTGGCAGCGCCAACTCCCTTCATTAGTTCCGAATAGAAACTGGAGAGGCCGAACATGCTTGAGCCAGCGTAGGCAGTATACATGAGGAATGAAGTCAAGTCACCAATTGATATAGCACCGGATTGGACCATCCCGCCACCAACATAAAGCAAACTCAAGATCGTCATGTTGCCCATCAAACCAGTCTATAAACACACAACGCCTGTCAGTCCATATCAGGGTGCTAATAAAAGAAGTATGAGGAAATGAAATGCTCACTGAACTAAAGAATGTCGCGCTAACAAACGACTCTTTCTTTCCAAGCTCAAAAATCCTTCTGACTTGTTTGTTATATCGATTAACTTCCAAAATCTCCCCTGCGAAAGCCTGGCTTGTCTTCACATTCCCTAACCGCTCCTCTGCAATTTTTGTCAGGCTGCCCAGGTTTTTCTGAATCTTGCGGCTGAGATTTCTTATCGCTCTTCCGTAAAAAAACGCCCCAAGCGCTACCGGCGGCAGCAGGACTAAGAGAACACTCGACAGTTTAAGACTGACAAATGCCATCAGACCAAAACCTGCAGCGCCACTGACAAAAGCTCTCAGCCCATCTGAAAGATTCTGCGTAATACTCTTGCCAACGATTATCGTATCAGAGCTTAACCGGGAAATTAAGTCACCAACGCGATTCGCATCAAAAAACTCAGCGTCCTGGATGAAAGTCCGCCGGAAGAGCTTCGACCGCAGCCTCGCAACAATGCGTTCGCCCACAATCCGTAGAATAATAATCCGGCCATAGTTTGCCGCTGCGCCCACGGTAAGAATACCGCCCAGAACACCGTAAAAGACTGGGAGAGTGAGACCGAACAATTCATTGCCGCCTTCCGGGGTGCCATGTGTTGCGATATCAAGGATCTTGCCAATGGAAAACGGGATAGACATTGTGATGGATGACGAGATGAGTAGGCAGAGGAATGCTACGGACAGGATTTTGGCCTCTGGGCGAGCAATCTTCAACAAGCGCCATACCTCGCCAAAGCCTGCCTTTTTCCCGCCTGAATCCTTTGCTAGCCTGGCGCTGAGGTTTATTTTCGCCGCCTGTGATGCCTTTTCCGTGAGCTCAAAGCCCCGATGCATTTCTTCCAAGGCGGCCTTTTCCTTTTCCTCCAGCTCCATTCTTGCGTTCCGCGGGTTGTTCGGTGGCTCATGCTTGGTTACATTCTGTCGTACGTTTGTCGCGGAGAGGAATCGGACCTTCTGGAGGCAGCCCGGCCTCGCAATGGATGAAGGCGCGGCATGGTTAGTAGCTGCAAATGGCTTTCGATTCTCAGGCTGCTGGAGGATACTCGGACGTAGGGATGGGTTTGAGATGATCGAAAAATGCCGCCTTAAGTCATTGTTTGCATCAAGCGACGCTTTCTGAGCGTAGGCGGAGACTTGAGCTGAAGAGATTAATCCAGAATGAGCAATGCGCTGTGATGTTGCTCGTGGAATAGCGGCCGCAAGCAGCCCTGAGCTGCGCATTTCGAGAGGTCGTCAATGCCTCCCCTCGTGGGCTCCCTTGCTCAACGCCGCTCAACCCACGAACGACTCGGACCTATCGCGAGATGGAAACAGAAGGCAGTCCCATATTAAGCAGAAGCAAGGCAACCAGGAGTGATGCCCAGGCCCGAGTGTGTATATAAGGTGTTGTTGATATGGGATGGTTTTGTTCTGCTGTGGTCGGCGCCAAACAAGGAAAAGGTTGTCGTCGGTTGAGTTGCGGCTCTCGGAGAACAGAGTGGAATCACGGGGAAAATTGAAAGTCCAGATAAACAAATAAATACATACAACGCCACTCCGCTCCGATGGCATGTATATCTAACTCATAACAATAGAAACATCCCTTGCTCTCAATAGCTATAATTTCCCAAACAAAATATAGTAAGTTTTTAATTGAAGGCATGGTTTTACAGCAGACAATTTGATATACACCCTCTTCGTCCGCCAGTCGTCCCCGCAAACCGCAAATCAACCGCAAACCAAGCACTGGTTACCCCTCTATTTTCCTAAAGTGCGCCCCTGTTTATCCACCATTTTGTGCCCGCCTGGCTTCTGCTAGCCAATATGGTTCTCGACTATAGCAAATGGGATGCCCTCGAGCTCTCTGATGACTCCGATATCGAGGTGCATCCCAACGTCGACAAACGGTCTTTCATTCGCGCGAAACAGAATCAGATCCACCAACAGCGCATTCAGCGCCACCAGGAAATCGAAAGCCTGAAATACTCCCGTATTATAAACGATGGACTGTTAAAACGCATTGATGCTCTGATAACCTCACTCAAGAGCCATGAAGACAGCTCCAGGAACCCAGATGAGCTTATTTTCCAGGCCCTAATCGAGTCTGCTGGCGACCCTAACGAAGATACTCCCCCGCCAGCTCCTGAAGGTGTATTTACGCAGGAAAAGGAACAGCCCAAGTACTCGCAGATGATGGGGTCATTGGTGGACCAGGTCAAGAAAGAGCTGGATGAATCCAAAACGGAAAATCGGTTCCAGGACTACATAAAAGGTGTGGAGGGGCATAAGAATAAAGTCTTGGACCTACAACAGCAGTTATTGGAGAAGCTCGCTGAGTTGGAGAAAGAGGAGTCCAGAAAAATTACCAGCGAAAGCATACGTACCGGCTTTGACAGCAGCTTTGTTAACAAGTCGAAACCCAAAGCTACGGAATCTGAGGAGAAGAAAACGGGAGCTACTACTTCGGTTGAGCTGCTGAATCCAGGTGCAGCCAAGAGCACAAATGAGGCAGACGTAGTCTCCTCTGGAGCTGAAGCTGATGTTGAAGACGAGGGAGATGAAGATAACATTAAGGTCACCCCGCTGGCTAAGCGATTTGCCAAATTCAAAATCGGCGACTACAGCGGTTGTCTGCAATTCATCGCTGATCACCCGGAGATTCTGACGGAGCGCAAGACGGATGAACTACTTATGGAAGGCTTCGACGCCCAGCTATCCGGGAATGAAGAGTATGCCCGCCAATGTGTGCATCAAGGCTTACTGCTTCAATACTGTCGCTCTCTTGGCCGTGACGGCGTAGGCCTCTTCTTCAAGCGGTATGTTTGAAAGCCCCGCACTTTACTTCCCATTTATATTTCAAATGTAGCGAATATGAATACATAAGCTAACCGCCCTTCCGCCAAAAAACAACAGCATAACCACAAAGGACCACAAAGCCTCCGTCCTCTTCTACAACGACGTAAACGAAACATACGGCAAGATGAAAACGCGCGCCGCAGAGCTCGCCAAGAACGCCACCGGCGGCCCTACAGAGGTTGAACAAATCCAGCTCCACGCCGTCGATCCGAATACGAAACTCAACATCAAAATCCCCTCGCCCGAAGACACGGATGCCGACTCGGTTGCGGCGATGGAGATCTTCAAAACCTTCCCGCCCGGCCTGCAGCGGGCGCTTCAATCCGAGAGCCTGGATGAAGTTAATAAGGTTCTTGGGAAAATGAGTGTGGAGGAGGCAGAGGAGATTGTGGAAAAGTTGGGGAATAGTGGGATTTTGACGATGGAGGAAGGGATTGTGGATGCGACGACGGAGGAGGGGAGGAAGTGGTTGAATGAGATGGAAGGGCAGAAGGGGAAGGGAGAGGAGGAGGAGAAGGGAGAGGAAGGGAAGGAGGGAGAGGAGGGAGAGAAGGGAGAGGAAGAGAAGAAAGAAGCTGTTGGGGATCCTGAGTGAATAGGAAGATTGTTTCGGTGTACATTTGAGGGGGCGTGGGTTTTTTTTACTTTTTTTTTTTTTTTTTTTTTTGCGGATGAACCATGGAGTGCCAGGGAGTGATAATTACTAATCTACTGTGAGAAGTTCGTTCTATCTACTGTCTATGAAAAAAAGCCAAGGTGAGGGGGAGGGAGTTATCTGATTTTTGGCATTCTTTTACATACCGAACAGCTAACTAACTCATGAACTCATTCAGAATGCATGCAGCTGACAACTAACTTGAAGCAAAGCACAAAGGTCTCACTCACTCTACCAAGAAGGAACAATAATGAAAGTGAAAAAAATCAATGAGGTTAAATAGTGTTACATCCCACACCAGGAGTCATTTACAATTTTTCGAAGCCCTGTTCTTTTGTTTCTCCTTCCCATTTGATAACCATGATCACATCTTACTCTTAATGCCCCTGACAATGTAATGTATGTACATGTACAGTACATTAACTATGACCACACCTTTCACTGTTGTATGCTGTATAAAACAAGTGCCATAAAACTTGAAAATGAAACAACAAATATTGGGCGAAAAAAATAGTAGAGGAGCTTGGATACTATAGTATAGTGTCAGCCAAGATTTACTTTGTCATGGATGACTTCTGGTTTCATTTTCATACTAGGCTTCCCCCCCCCCCCCAACCCCCTTTTTTTTAAAAAAAAGAGCAAACAAGTAGAAAACACAGATATTATAATGATACATTATTCTCTAGGGAGATAAAAATCGGGGGAAAGGGAAAAGGGAGACACGGAGAGCAAGACAGAAAGAAAGCAAGAGAGAGAGCTAGGTAGATGTTAACCAGAAAAGTAAAACAATAGAAGCTAACGTCCCATACCAAAATCTAAACGCCAGAAGGGTGATGTGTATCGTTCGCATAGTTGTTAGGTACCTAGGTGTATGTAGTGCCTGGGTAGACACCCAATATATGCATATATGTATGAAGAAAGTAAGCAAAGAACGCTCTGGTTCTCGGATTTTTCCAAGCCATCCAGTAAAAACATTCGCATAATAATAAAATGTTGGCTTGTGCTGGGGCTTGGGCTTGGGTTTATGGAATCCGTCGTCGGCGAAGAATGCAGCTTTTGACTAGCAGAGGCTGGGCTGAGGGACCGGTGCCATTTTCGCTTGGGGTATGGAGGTGGGAATTCGCCTTTTCTTCAATTCTGGAGATGAGACTTGGGAACGCACTGTACCCCCTGTCGTCGACTTAAGAAGCAATGGCGGCAGCGTTTCGCCCCATCTGTCCAAATTTTCCACCTGTAAGAGAGCGTGTGGGGTAGGGTCATTGTAATTCGGCCCCGTTTGGCATATTTTGGCAGCGGCCAGACCGGAAACAGTCAATTTGAAGAATAGAATAAATAGTAAAAAATAAATATAAAAATAAAATAAAAAATAAAATTATTTATCCGCCATGTACTTCATAAACTCTTCAATTTTCGCGCACAGCTTAGGTTTATCATTCCACGGCGTAAACTTGCCTTCAAGTTCGCACGCCGTCTTCCGCAACTCGCCCCAGAGTCTGCGCTCGATATCAAAACCGACTTTCTCAACCATATCATGTGAGGGACCCCACATGCGCTGCGGGCTGCCGTCAGCATTCCACGCCAGGCCCCTTTCCCCAAATACGCTGATGGGGTCCAATTTGGGCAAGTTGGCATGGCAGGTTATGAAGGATTCTGGCGGGGCGCTCGGTTTCCCGCCCCAACCGTAGACTTCGCCGTCTGGGAGGCGTGAGTCCCAGATCGGATGGGTTTGGAGGATCACGCCGCCTTCCCACCCGCCGTCTGGTTTGCGATAGCCGAAGACGGCGGGGCCCGTGGATACGGCGTAAAAGGGTAGATTCAGGATCATGGCAGGGGCAATGAAGGTTTCCTTATCTCCCTCGCCTGGGTGGCCTTGGGAGAGTAACGGATAGTAATGTGACGGGCCGTAGAAGTTGTAGTAGGCTGAGAGAAGAAGCATTTGCGCATGGGATTTCTTGGAGACCAGCAGTTGGCCTGATTCTGTGGATGCGTGGCGGAATCCTGCTGGGATCTTTTGGGAAGAGACGTAAAAGAAGGAAGGGTGGTAAGTAACCTGCCAGAAGTCTGGCCAGGTAATCAAGCCCGTTGAAAGGAATGGCTCCGAATCGAATAGATTGATGGGGTCGTGCATGGGGAACGAATCGGCATCGAGGAATAGCACCTGCTCGAAGGACGAGAAGAGGAGGGAAAATATCTTGAACTGGTACTTCTTCAGGCCCTGTTCGAGGGGAGAGTAGTCCAGAATATCTGCCAAGATCACACATCTCGCATTGAGCGAGGGCAGCAGCACACCACAAACATATTCATCGTATTCACTTTTGTCGGCCACGAAGATTTCAGCGGGAAGCGTCGAACCTGTTTGCCGCAGCATGTGCAGCGAGGTGACCAGGACCGGCAGGTATTGGCCGCCCGCGGTTGAGACGATACCCCGTGTGCCGGAAGTGTAGTGTAATTTTGGAGCAGTCGGGCTCGAGAACAAGCTGGTAAATCGCGAGTGCGCCGTCTTTAATATCTCCCTATCTTCCGGCTCCACTATGATATGCTCCGGGAGCGTAACATTATCGACCTCGTCGGGCTTAAAGCCAATCGCTTCAGGATGGTCTTCTATCCGCTTCGGTGACTTGCAGCGTGGTTCAGCGGCTCTGAGGATCTCATGGAAGCCCTGCCAAAACTTGCCGTGGTCCGTAGTGGTCGGGGTCGGGGCGCCTGATACCGGGCGATTACGATCGTTTGGAGGCCGAGAGGAGGAGGACGAAGAAGAAGAAGAAGAAGAAGAAGAAGAAGAAGAAGAGGAAGTTCTGCGGAGGGTGAAGTACAAGAAGAGAACGATGAGAATGAGCGGAATGCCACGTCGATAGCGGAGGCCTTGAGCCATTATCATTGTTGATTGCGTTGGAGAGAGAGAACAAGCAAGCGGCTCCTCCGTCTGTCGGAGGGAGGACAGTCGGAGGAAGAGGGAGAGAGAGGGAGAGGAAAAAAGGGGGATTTGGACTTAGAACAGCCCAAAAAGCGGCGAATGCGACCAGCCAGCGATGACACAACCCACCGGCATCTTTGAAGAACAAGAATGATAATAAATAATAATAATGATTATTACAGAGGGACTGCATATATCTACGGAGTACGGAGTTATCCACATGTACGCACAGTACCGACAACTCTCGAGAAGCCCACAGTATTATTAGCAACAATCTTCGCTGCAAGGTCTCCGCATCTTCCCACCAAGACCAAGCTAACTAAATACCTTACTAGCCACACCTCCTGAGAAACTTTCTTTCAACATTATTTCTTCCATTCCGGCGGATACGATACAACAGTGAGCTTCATCAGTGAGCTCCGTTCGGCCAGACCACTTGTCCATGGATCAAGTGCTGGCTGGAGATGTGCCCTTGGCTTATCCCCGCGCTGAACGCCAAAAGGAAGAAATGAATAAATAACTACGCCGCTAGTATTCCTAGTATTATTTATTAGCAGGGATGGGAATGATGGCGCCCAACTGCCCAGACAGACAGACAGCAATAATAATAATCCCGTTCGTTCGCCGTTCGGTTGATCCTGACTCCTGAGCGTGCGCTTGTCACTGCCTGTGGGGCTTCCGCGCGCACCGTTCATGAAAATTAAAGAAGAAGTTGTCGTTGTCTGGATACTAGTTACTACCTAACTTACTACTACTACTACTGCTGACTGGTAGGTAGTCGGAGTGCCCCAGCGGCACCGGGAGGGGGGGTTGACTGGGGGGGACTTCTTCATTTCCAACCTTATTATGTTCAAAGGGTGATTGATATACGGAGTTATGGCACGATGGCTGAGTGTCAACGGCTGGTGCCCCTTATCCAAAGCCAACCCAACCTTGAAATACAAATTATAACTCCAGGCTCTCTCGCCTCTTTGCGCCAACCAGAGCTAAAATCTCCAACAGCGGGTTCACTTTTAGGGCCAGTGATCCTACAGGAAATCCTCGTTTGAGCTCTAGGGATTCTCGTTTTGAGGGAGGCAACTTTCATTCCTCTCTCTATCTTCTTTCTGTCATTCTGTCATCCTGTCATTCTTTTTCTCTTTCTCTCTTTCTACGCTTTCTGAGGGCCTCACAGCCTTCATCTTGCAATTATTTTTATATTCTACTTTATTTCCCAATGATTTCTTATTCATATATTTCTTCGTCTCATTCTTTGGAAGAAGCGCTGTCTGGCTTCTTATCCACAATTTAATTTACACTCGCTCGCTCACTGTTGTCCTCCTAACCCTTCAACGACCAGAGAGATATGGTAGTCCTCCAACCACCCCGCCAAAGGGGGTTCACCTCCGGCGCTTTCTCTCTCCTTCCAACCATCGTTCAGAACAGATTCGATCCCAGATCAAGGAAACAGTCGAGGCCGGTCGGAAAAACCGCATATTTAGATGGCATCCGTGGCCTGGCTGCGCTCGGCGTGGTGGTGCTGCATATGGTTTTAGGGTTCTTCCCGAACTCCTCATATGCCTACAATGGGTCGGAAGGCCGCGATTCGATCTTCCAATTGCCCTTCTTCAGACTCCTCTATACCGGACAGCCGACCATCTTTTTCTTCATATCAGGCTACGTGCTATCAATTAGCACAATCAGAAAATGCAGAAGCCAATCCTGGGCCCCCTTACAGCTGGACTTGAGCTCCAAGATCTTCCGCCGTTTGTTCCGATTATATATCCCCTCCATAATCGCCACGTTTGTCCCCATGTTTATGGTGAGTTTTAATCTTTTCCCCGCCGTCGCCAAGTTCGGCGATGACACCATGCCACACCGCACCTTCGACATGGCCCCCCAGGAATCGACTTTTCTCCGCCAGTTCTGGCTCTGGTGCAAGACCATCCCGCCCCTCTTCTGGCCCTTTGACTGGGAAAACTTTAGCCAAAACTCCCCCTACGCCTACCAACTATGGACTATCCCCGTCGAATTCCGCTGCTCAATGGTCCTTTTCCTCGTCCACGCAGCTCTCGCGCGATGCTCCGGCAAAACCCGTCTGACCTTCAACGGCATCCTCTCCCTCTACTTCCTCACCTTCGAGAAATGGGACGTCTTCCTCTTCCTCGCCGGTTCCTTCCTCGCCGAACTAGACATCATCAAAGAAGAGGCGGCAGAAGCCCCGCTCCCCAAGGTCGAAACCACAGACACAAAATTCAACTCTAAAATCGCCCGCTATACCCCGCCGCCCTGGTTCATGGTCAGCATCATGGTCCTGGCCCTCTGGGTCCTCAGCGTCCCCGCCGCCGATATCTGGAACGCATGGACGTTCGCCGTGCTCGAATGGACCTCTCCACGCACCTACACCGCCTTCTTCCGCTTCTGGGACTCCGTCGGTACCGTCATGCTCATTTGGGCCATTACGGGCCTCCCGTCCGTCCAGCGGTTCTTCACCAGGCCCATCTTTCTCTACCTCGGCAACATCTCCTTCTCGCTCTACCTGACACACACCATCGTGCTGAAATTCCTCCTGTACCCGCTCATGCCATGGCTGTATATGGTTTTTGGATACCAGACGCCGTTTCAGTACGGGTTGACATTTGCTATTGGAGGGACAGCGACGGTGGTGCTCTCGTTTTGGGTTGCGGAGGTGTTTCAGAGGCATGTGGAAGAGCCGTCTGCTGTGTTTACGAAGTGGCTGGATGTGAAATGTTCGTCGACGTGAGTGTTGGAAGCATGACTTTCCCTTTTCTTTTGTTCCTAACTCACTGCGTGAGCGCTTCTTGTGTCCATATCGATATGATGATATATTGAGATTTTGGATTATCTCTTTTTCTTTCGAGTATCTGTATGATTTCGCCCTTTCTTTCCTTTATGTTGCTTTGCGGTTCTTGCTTTGCCTTTGCTTGGAGAGGCGCATAACTCCATATTTAGAATTCATATATTTGTATATCTAGAGTTTTTTATATACCAACGCCGTGGACTTCCATCACATACCCACATCAATATATATGCATATGTCTATATGAATGTTTACATATATTTTGGCACATTTCACGTTCTAGTTTATATTTCCCACTCTGCACACAAATTCTACACCGTGGGCCATCATCCAGCAATTCACTTTTCCGCTCATCTCGCTATATACCCTCAAACCTACCAGAACCCAAATACTATTATGAGTATACCACAAAAAATCATCTAGATATCATGAGCTCTCCTTTTTAACCTATAGCCCGTACCCGTCCCATACGGCGGCCATATCATAATATGTCCTGTTGCCATTGCCAGATCGTAAAGTTGTACGTTAACCCGTGACTGTGTTTCTCATACGTTTCTCGATGTATGTATATGTACCCTCCGTATTCTGCTCAACGGTCATCCCCAGGCACCATGCGCCCATACCATGCCATGCCGTGTGACACATCTAATTCAACGAGCTGATTGGAATTGAAGTCGGGACAAAGGGGGGAGGGAAATAAATGTGTAGGATGAAAACCTGGCGGGTCCCCGAATACGCGACGCAGTAGTAGGTATGGGTCTGATGCCGTGAGACACAGAAACACAGAAACACACAGAAACACACAAGGATGATGTACTGTACTTGTACATTACATATATGGCCGCCCAACAGCGCCTGCTGAAACCTTTCAAAACTGCCTCTGAGTTTATCTGGATGGAAGAGAGTCTTCGGCGAGAACGAAAGCTGTGTCGGTTAAATTACTAGAATTCTTCTAACTACTATATTACCAATAACTAATCAATACTAACAAGCATCAAATGCTCGCTTACGCTCGCTTTGCTGCTTGCGCAGCCCCCTCTACCACTTCCACCCTCCCCCCCGACCACCCTCTACCCCCCATTACCACCCCTTACCACCCCTTCCACCTCTTCCATATATATTCTTGATATTCTTTTCTGAACTCATCAGTGAAGATGGAAATTATCATTGAGATATATAATACAAATTCATTAAGAAAAATTCTGAAG